GCTCACGTGGAAGAAGCACATGGAGAAGAGCTTCAGACAATAACCACAGGTTCTGGGCCAGTTCATGTGGGAAAATACAGTCCTTGAGGTAGTGAGGTCATGAGCACATATGGCTTTACAGGTCAAAACTAGCACTTTGAATTGAGCCTGGAAATTATCTGGCAGTCAGTGAGTCATGCAAGAATTGGTGATATATGTTTAGACTTTAGAAACTCTCTAACCCTGTATGGACCCCTACACATCTGCATATTGCAGAAAGCAAGATCAGCAGCAGCTAGAAACAAGGTTTCCTCTACAGTTACCTCAAAACTCTTGAATAATTTCCTGAGAAAGGTCATGAACTGTCTCTCTCGAGGGAATTCTGGAGGGATCCCAATGCTCATTTATTTCCATGGCTTTCAGCAGCCAGGATGAATATGGCCAAAGTATGCAGGCTGTACTAGTAGGCTGTTGAATTTAACTGAATCTGAAATATATATATATATATATATATATATATATATATATCAAATGCAAAAACCTTATGCAAACCCCTTTTGTGCTTAGGAAACATTGCAATAAAATGTATTAAGTAAAATGGCCAAAAGTCCAATGGTAGGCAAGTGTCGACAGGAAAATTATTATTTTTATTAGTTACGTTCCTAACAAAAGTGACCCAAAACAACTTACAGAAACGGTATAAACCAAATTATAAACCGATAATAACAAACACAACCAATAAAAGCCTATAAACACATCTATACAAATAAGAAAAGTCTTACAGATCCTACCCCACTAAAAGAGGCCACAAATATCTGAGACACTTCAAATTAAGGAAGAGAAGCCCAGATTTTTAAAAAGGAAAACTTTGTTTAGCACCTAAAAACAGATAAAGATGTCACCAGGTGTTTCTCTTTGGGAAAGCATTTCAGAAGCAGGGAGCCACCACTGAAAAGGGTCGCTCTTCTGTTGCAACCATCTAGAGCAGGGGTCAGCAAGGTTTACCTCCCCTGGGCTGGTTCACTCCTGCGGAGATCGCTCCATGGGCCAGATCGCGTCTGCACAGACACGATTTCCAGCGCCGCAGAAGCAAGTCCCCGCTCCGCACTGCAGCGCGCGGGGATTCACTGTGCAAGCGGCTCGGTTTGGGGGCAGCTCGTGGGCCATTTAAATGTCCCCCACGGGCTGCAGGTTGCTGACCCCTGATCCAGAGCTCATGTGGAAGAAGCACATGGAGAAGAGCTTCAGACAATAACCACAGGTTCTGGGGCCAGTTCATGTGGGAAAATACGGTCCTTGAGGTAGTGGGGTCGTGAGCACATATGGCTTTACAGGTCAAAACTAGCACTTTGAATTGAGCCTGGAAATTATCTGGCAGTCAGTGAGTCATGCCAGAATTGGTGCTATATGTTAAGACATATATGTGCTAGGCAACAATTTGGCCACTAAATTCAGTATCAGCTGCAGTTTCCAAATACCTTTCAAAGGCAGCAGCATGTATAATGCATTGCAGTAATCCAACATAGAGGTTACCAGCACATGGACAACGTAAGTTAGGTTGTCCCTTTGTCTTCTCAATGGAAAAAGTTTACTAGTACAGTGGTACCTCCAGTTACAAACTGAATCCGTTCCTGAGGTCTGTTCTTAAGACGAAACCGTTCTTAACATGAGGCACGGTTTCGCTAACAGGGCCTCCCACTGCTGCCGCACCACCGGCATACAACTTCCGCTCACATCCCAGGGCAAAGTTCGCAACAAGGAGCATCTACTTCCGGGTTAGCGGCACTCGTTACCCGAAGCATTTCTAAGGAGGATGGTACATAACACGAGGTTCTACTGTAGTAAAATGAGGCTTGGAAAAAAATATGCTCTGATTTGTCAGGGCAATCAGGAAGTTGTTAATAACATTTATGGTGCTGGATATATGTTTTCAAACCATAGCAAATGGTTCACATATATTCAGAAACTTTTGGGGGCCAAATACTCTTTTAGGAACTAATTTCTTGTCTGACTTTGCTCCCCAAATTTCTATGCCACTCTTCATCTGAGGATCACAAAGCGGTTTGCAATATAAAAACACAAAAATAAATACCAAAGTAACAAACAAAAACAATACCCCCACAGTTTAAAAGGCCATAGATTGTTTAATTACCAGTGTTTCTCAAACTTGTGTCTCCAGCTGTAGTTGGACTACAACTCCCATCATCCCTGACCACTGGTTCTCCTAGCTAGGAATTACGGGAATTGCAGTCCAACAACAGCTGGAGACACAAATTTGAGAAACACTTAGCCAAAGGACTGGGAGAAAAGGAATTTTTTTTGCCTGGCATCTAAAGATATGTAACAAAGGAAGTGCTGCCTTGCCCTGTTCAAGCTATACCTGCTGCTGCTGCCGTTTCTCCACCCACCCTGCCACCTCTACGGCTGGCAGAGAAGTGGTGCCAGCACTGGCACTAATTCTGAGCAAGTTCTTACCAAAATCTGCAGATACCAGTGCTGCTTCTGCACCAGCAGCAGGATACTCATGGGGATGCCGGCTAGGGTGCTTCTGTTGCCTGAGGCAGCCACATCAGTCTGCCTAACGGTTGAGCCAGTTCTGCCCAACACACACTGCTAGGGTGTTCAAAATCCAGAGAAGAATACCCTTTCCATTTGATAATCTGAGAGCAAGAGCTGATATGACACTCCCATTCTCTAGTGATAGGCTTTGTAAGCAACACAACAAATTTCAGCAAATGCAATGCAAAATTATGAGCAGTGATCTTATTTTAAGAAATAGGGATATTGCAGATATTTGAATAGGGAAGAACCTCAGCAACATTGCTTTGTGCTGTCCCCGCATTCAGTCCAATACTCATCATGCCACCAAGAGGGCAACAAAGCAGGCAGAGGTAACCATAGGCGCCGACTCCATGGGGCTTGAGGGGGCCCGAGCCCCCTCAAAAATTCGTTTGGGGGGGCTCCGCCCCCCAATAATCTCCGGCGCCCCTCCAGCAGAGCGCCATCGCCGCCCCTCCCCCAGCCCAAAATGCACAGGGAGGGGCGGGCTGCATGCCTCCTGCCCTCCCTCCCGAGCAAAAGCTCCACCCAATTTCCTTTGGAGCTGATTAATAGGCGCAGCACGCTCTCCCCTATCGCTCACGAGGAGGCGGCGCCACTTTATTTGCATATTCATGAGCTTATTTATTATTCATGAGCTTTCCCGGGCCCCCCCAATATTTTTTATAAGTCCGCGTCCCTGGAGGTAACAGAATGCAAACACACTCTCTATGGGCAGTGTGGTGTGGAGAGAATGATACTGAGAAATATGGAGGGGTCACCTGACATATCAACCTGCTAAGGCATTCTCTTTCTTCTTCATACTTCACTTTGTGACTCCAAGAGGAACAGTGCAGGGACAGAAACTGGCTGAGTCAGCTGTTCATACAAAGCACAGCCACCTCACCTTCTTGCTCATTAACCTGCACTCTTCCTCTGAACAGTACAATGACAAAGAATACAACCCATCACTTAATACTCCCTACCATGCTAGAATACCCACAGAACAAGGGGAACTAAGCAAGAGGTGGAAGATCCAGCAGTCTTCTTTTCCCTCCTAGCACAGCATGGAAGTTTGGGGAGGTGATGTTCTTCTCTAGAAGCCTCTAATTCCCTGTTAGCCATATTTCTTTCAGCAGAGCGACAAGGAGGATTGGGCCCCGTGAGGCTGCAACCACATGTTCTGCTCGCTTGTCCTATATCACACTCTGGATGGGGTAGTAGGAATGATTGAGCTTGCTGGGCCAATCCTTACTACTACACAACCCAAAGAAAGATCACAGAGAATCCGAGACAGAGGTTGGACAAATGTGCAAACAGCGAATTGCCCACTTGCACGCCTGTGTTGCTGAGAGCAACAAGAGGGGGAGAGAGCAGACAGGAAAGCGAACAGACAAGGGCAGCAGCCCAGGCTTTCTCAACCAGACAGTTAAGAGAGATCAGCAAGGAGACAGGAGGTACAGTGGTACCTCGGGTTAAGTACTTAATTCGTTCCAGAGGTCCGTTCTTAACCTGAAACTGTTCTTAACCTGAAGCACCACTTTAGCTAATGGGGCCTCCTGCTGCTGCCGCGCTGCCAGAGCACAATTTCTGTTCTCATCCTGAAGCAAAGATCTTAACCTGAAGCACTATTTCTGGGTTAGCGGAGTCTGTAACCTGAAGTGTATGTAACCTGAGGTACCACTGTATTACTGAGCTCTCTGATTCTTCATAGGCTCCCCCTGGGCAGTAAAACTGGTCACAGTTCTCTGTACTGGGTTTGAGGAGAGAGGCGTTGGGAAGGCAGAAGCAGGAACCGCCCCCACCCCCTCTTGCACGACCTTTACCCCAACACCTGCTGGAAGGAGCGGGCAGGTGAGTAGTTGGAGGCAGCAGCCGCAGCCCTGTGCCTCACCTGCGCTTGGGGTGGGTGCGGTGGGAGACGGAAGAGCTGCTCTCAACTGCACAAGCGGGGGCGGCCTGGCCAAGAACTCAAGATCCCCTGTGAAGGAAGCACCAAAGGCCATGAGGAATTTGCCTGCCTGCTTCTGGGTGGGTGGAGAGAGAAGTGGTGGAGCTCCCTTACTGATTAAGAAACATCCTCCTCCCAAGCCCGTTTGAAACCGCGAAAGCTCTAGGAAGGCGTCGCCCCGAACCGGTTTGCGCCTTACCGAAGATGTTCCCTCTGGGGCGAGCGCCCTTTGTCCGCCAGGTAATGGGGAGCTCCTCCGCGGCCTCCGCGCCCACCTGCTCGCCGCGCCGCAAAAAAAACAAACCCCTTTGCCTTTCTTCCTTTCCTCCCCGCTTCTCCACCGCCCCTCGGGCACTTCCTCCTCAGAGCTGTTGTGGTGGGAGCCTCCGGGAAGCGCAGCCTCTGGGCCTGCGGAGCTCGCTCGCTCGCTCGCTCTTCCTCATGCGAAGCGCCAAGCACACTCGCTCGCTCCGTCACACACACACAACACACACTCGCCTTCCCCCCCCCCCGGGTCTCCGCTCCTGCCCACCTCCGGCCAAGAGCTCCCGCAGCCTCCTCCAGGCCGCTTCGCACGCCTCAGGCACCAGCCGAGCTCGTCGCCTTCGCCGCCGCCGCCTCGCTGGCTCGAGATCTGCAGGGCAGGGCGCGGCCTCCGACAATGGCGGGGAGGGCCCACCGGGCGGCCAGAGGAGAAGCAAGCGGAACCGCCGCGCGTGGCCACAGCCCGGGAGAGGAAGGGGCGGAGCTGGCCAGGCGGCTCCTGGCGCAGGCGGCGGCGCGAAAGGTGGGCAGGGGCCGCCGAGCGGGCGTGGAAAGAACGGCGCTGAGACCACAACTCCCAGCATGCACCGGGACGCAGCGGCGCTCGCTCCGCTTCGCCCCCGGGCCGCCTGTCTAGAAGCGAGTCTTTGCGCAGAGGAAGAGAAAGCTGGGAGGGGAGATGCTCTTGTTCGGTGACTTGGGGGTCTTGGAGACAGCTTGCGCTTTGGGAAGAGCAGAGTAGCGGGTGTCTCTTCCCTCAGAGGGGGAAGCTTTTAAAATATGTTTTCTTTTTTTAAAAATACAGTATATTTTTTTTAAATACCATTTTTAATTTTTATTTATTTATACTTGCTCTTGCCCATTTTAAATTTAGGACATTGCTGGATATTGTTCAGTAAGAATTGCAGTATATTCGGTGTAATTTTTAGTAGGAACTGGTCAGTGTAGTGTTTCCGTTTGGTTGTTTGGTTCTTGGGGAAAGGGAAGTACAGTATATGGGACGAGTTGGAGAACAGCCTTTACCAAAGGTGTCATGGGCTTTGAAGACACTTGAACTCAGGACACAAAGGAGAAACGTGCTAAGAAGGCACGCTTGGCAAATCCACACCGGGATCAACTCCACCCGGAAACCAATGTCCCCACTCCGGAAGGACGTGCGGATCCAGAATTGGCCTCCACAGTCACTTACGGACTCATTGTTAAAACCGTGTTTATAGAAGACAGTCTTACTCAGCTACGAATGATCACCAAAGAAGAAGAAGAAGAAGCTGATTGAATTAACTACTAGCATTCGTGTTTATTACCTAAGTTGCAAGTTGAGCTTGTTTTGTAAACTTCCCTAAAAATGTTACTAGGGAAGCAGGCTGGGGAAGCACCTCAACATCAGACTTGTAAGGAACAGCGCTTGCTGAGCAGCTCTGTTTTTCTTTCAGGCTCTCTCCCTTGGCACAACTCCAGGGCAGCTTTTGATGCAGGGACAACTTTATTAAACTCAACACATACAAACACTCAGTAGACTCCCTCTTGTGTTGACACAGATGACACCATCCCTCCTTGCTCTCACTGAATTGTCTGTATTATTATTAACTGTTCTTGCATCTGGCCCTTCCTCACAGAGCCCAGGATGGATAACAGACATAACATTAAGAACAAAGTTAAAATCATTATCTAAAAAGCAGTAATGTACTTAAAAACAAAAACCATCAGAATTTAGTTATACCAGTACAGTACTTTCATTCTTGCTAGGCACCCAAGGCTTGCACACACAAAAAAGGTCTTGAGCTGTTGCCTCTGCAAAAATGATACGGGTTCTGCAGATACCCCCAAACCTAGTTCCTGCCTTCTTCCATCCTCCTAGCCCTCAGGTTTAGATAATGAGCTTGCTTCTGATCAAAGCCAGAAATCACCAAACATTCAAGCATTTTCCATGCCCTCCTTACCCATACACAGTATAGCATGAAAGACTTATCTTCAAAAATGAACATCTCAGTATCACCATTTTTATTTAAAATACATATATGTATCATTTTACCGTCTGTAAAGTCATTCACATCTGCTGAACGGAAAAGTATTAACCATAAAACACAGAAGCCTAAAACAATGCCAACATACCATTAAATTCCAGATAAAATCAGTTATACACTTCAAAAACAATTGCAGCACCCACAATGCCAAAGCAATTACTAAGTGATTGACTCAAACCAGACTGGAAAACAAATTAAACCCAACCCAGATCAACAGGAAAGAATTCCCCTAGTACCTGGAATACAGTCAAGGCAGTGCCAAATCAATCTCCTTTGGGAGGGAGTTCCATAGCAGGATGCAACCAGCTAAAATCTGCCCCCACAAAACAACCAAGTGAGTTTCAGTTCTGGATGAAAAACCAGATTGAAGTGGGTTTACAGATTCATTCAAAACTCTTATGATGGTATATGCTAAAGTGCATATGTTCATGTTTACTTAACACTTAGCAGTTCTTGTATCAATACTGAGAAAGTCATGATGGGAAAAATAAAGGCCTAAAACCCTGGCTCAGTCCACATTTGGCAAGTTTCTCTGGCCGCTATCACTAGATGTACTGATTTCTGCAAGCCAAACCCAAAGAAAGTTAACAATGAATCATCCTCTAGGAATCAGAAAAAGCAGTGGGCACATGCACCCCTCCCTAGTGACTATACAACATGTAACACTAAAAAAACAGAACTCATAATACTGACACTGCAGCGTCTCTTTGCTTATATAAACACCAAGGCCAGGCTGCCATAGAAAAAAATATTTGAGGGTACAAGAAATTTCCCATGGGACAAGCTCTATCTTGTATGATCAGCTAGAAAGAAAAAACAAGCAGAGAGCTTGCTTGCCCATTCAGCATTTCCAGCTCAAGGCACCAGCTAGTGCTGCCAGTGGAACTCTGCAGCAGCATATTATATTCCCCCCCCCTCAGTTCCTCCTTTTGTGGAAATATTTAAAAAGAAACATCCATTCCATTTTTAATATGAAATATAAAGGGTCATAAAAATATGCTTGTTTTATAAATTAAAAGAACACTGGTGCTTGAGAGAAATTTCATAGCCCTTTCTTGAAAAAGAACAGTCTCCTTGCGATAGATGGTATCTGTGAAATCTGAGCCTCAGCTGGACTGACCGTACACTGATGATACATCAAACTGGCTGCAAGCTAACCATCCACCCAATATAGTTACCGATATATACATAATTTAAGTCACCTTCTTCCAAACAGCCCTTTTAATGTTATCACTTTAGTACTGCAATTATGTTTGAGTGGGTGGTGGAGAGAGATGCACAATAACTGAATGGGAGCCAGAGCAAAGAGTGCAAGCAACAGCTTTATGTCTGCCTTCCAGCTCCTACAGAAATTGATGCTGACAGCTGGAATCCTTCTATTGACCTTTCATGCTATTTACATATCCTGAGGCTTGGGCCTCTCACTTCACCTCCAGTTCCATACAACAGTTGTTTTTCCGTTAAACAAAACTAGAATCACTACCGAAAGACAAAGCTATCTGCAAACCCTTAGATATCATTCCTAGATGTCCAGGCACATTCCAGTAAGTGTAGAAAATAAACTAATTTCCAGTAAGTTTCATCCTGTTAAAATAATGTACACATTGAATAAGCCAAGCAACTTGCTTGTACACTGTACATGTATTCTCTGGACAAACTCAACACACAAATTCTGCCATTTTTCCAGGCCACAAGCTATTCTGTGTTGGAAAATGTGCTTGTGATGTAATGTTGATGCACATTCATGTGCTTTTCCAGCTGCAAATTCACAGATCCAACTAGCAAGGTACTGAAGGACCTGTACTGGGAAATATAATTGTGCAGCACTTTTGAAAAGGATCTTCTGAATAAATCTATGACTTCATGGAGAACTATCCTCATGCTTTTTCTATACAATTTTGTTAGGCATGCTTCCATTTTGATTTTATCAATATAATTTTTTCAAGGAACTATTTCTATTCCATCATACCTAAATGAACAAATCCAGACTTGCAGTTCAAAAGTCTTATGTATCAAATGCATCTAATCTTACCAAAAGGGGAAACATTTAAACATGAAACTTCTTGATGACATGATCAAGAAGACCAGCTTTGGATCCATAGTATGCAGTATAAAACTGTCAATTGACATCAAACTAAAAGGAAAAGGATAAGATAAACAACTGAAGCTCACAGCTGTCCTCCCATTATGTGCTACAGCTGCTCATATAAGGAAAGTGGAGAAACAAAAATAACCCATCTGCAATTGTTTTCTACAGTGGCTCCCTTCCCCCAAACAGATGCAGAGCAATCTTCACAGAGAACCTGAGGTAGTAGCTGAAGTATTGCCTCAGCGATCGTCATTCAGCACTTTGTACGGGGAGAACAAAAGACCAGTGTTAAAAGCATCTCATCAGCTAGCGAAAGATGCCACAAAACAAGTCTTTGATATAGTTTTAGTGGAGACCCAAAGAAAATTCTTGATAATTCAGAGACAAGACCAGCACAGGTAAGAAACAACCAAATGGTGTAAATTCAGCCATAAACTGCAGTTGTACATTTTTAAAAAGGTACCGGTATTTTCTTTTATTTAATTTATGAATTGGTAAATATTTTATGCTGTCCACGAATATGGAAAGTGGCACATCTTTCCCTTTGAACCTATTTTGCATACTAGTAGCCACTTGATGTGTGAAGTTTGTTGACAATAGAAAAGTTAAGAATCTTTGGAGCTGCTCAGTTTTTCCATTAATGAAGCAATTTCCTCCCTGTATTTCCTTGTATTTTCAACGCTAATGATTTACATCCAGTGTTTTCTCAGAACTTGGAATAATTCCACCTGTTCTGTTATCTTCTGAGACATATTTATCCAGTTCATGGTTTAAAAATGAACAGTTTATAAACTTCCTTCCAAAGTATTATTGCCACTTATAATTGTTTCTACTTGTCTGATATCTATGATTGACTACACATGAAAAAAGAACCTGTGTTTGGGTTTTTTAGGGTTCAAAAAATTATCCACCCCCGCTTTATTGGTGATATCAGAATTGTTAAGTTAGGCAGGTTTCACTATTTCAAAATTTGATTACATGGCAATTTTGAAGGCACATATTTATCGGATACTAGATCAGCCTATTCAGGAAACATGTGCAAAATCGGGGGGAGGAGACTAGAACAGATCAAAAGCAATGCAGCCAAGCATATGATACCGCACAGTCAAGTAAGAGGCACTTGGCCTGCTCCCAGTCTGTGATGCTGGGCCAATTCTAAGCCTTTTCTTCTGTTCCTGTCTCTGGTTTGTCTGGTGTATTTACACAGTTTTTCCATGATGATTCAATAACCTTGTTCGGTTTTACTGTGAGCTCTGAACAAAGGAGAAGCATCCATGCTTGAATAAAGCTGAAAGGATAAGACTGGAACACAATATTGTGGTAGCAAGAGTCACTGTGCATACCAACATAAGATGGTGTTTGAGCCCAACTGGTATCTGCAGTTTCAGTTCTTCGGTTACCTACAAAAGAAGATTTGCACGTTAGAAGTCAAATAAGGCCACTTTCATTCAAAATGTATATTCCATACATGGCATCACAATTTAACTGTAATCATTTCTCTTCCTATATTCTTTAATTAAAAATGTATTGCAATCCAGCCATCCCATACCTTTCAGAGCCTGCGGCAGCTGCTCCTTGCTTCCTTCAGAAGCAGGCAACATAACCTTCTTGGTCTTCCTTGTCAGACCAGAGAAGAACTGCTCACATCATAGGGAAGAATAGATAATCCAGCCTACCACTCATTTCCAGTTACTTTATCCACAAGAGAAAATCTCTGCCTCTTTCCCCTTCCCATCATTCCCTCTGAGGTTTATTAGCCACCAGGATAAGAAGTTCCCATCTTCTTATCAGCCCCACCCTTATCTACCTACAGCCTATACTGGCTGCTTTCTGGTCAGGCGACTTGCAAGCAAGCAGCTTCTTAGCCTAGAAGTCTGTTTCAGCATCTTAAAAGTTGCCTTGCATCAACCAACTTTACAGCTCAATCCTACACATGACTATTCAGGAGCAAGTTCCAGGAAGTCCAGTGGGGTTTCATCCCATGTGCAGGGAAGGGATTGTAGCCTTAAATCATTTTTCCATATAGCAATGTGGTGAAAAAATTGAAGATTAGCATTTCCAGCCAAACAGCCTTCTCATCTGGAAACAGGACCTACAATCCTATGAACGTTTAGGCTACTAAAATCCAAGTGGAGCCTATTTACCAGAACCAAGCAGTGACAAAAAATTAAAACAGATGAATCAAAATTGTTACAGACAGATCTATTTCTAGTAAAACTAAGAGATGTAAGAAGTATGAACACACATCTTTGAACTTCATGCTATCCCAGTGGCATGTGTGTATATTCTTCTGAGAACATGGAGCTTCTATTTCAGTTTCTTTCAAACATTCCAGTGAAAGGAAGACTAAAAGAGAAGGGGGAAACAGAACATAAACTTAATATTCAGGAAAGAGATCACTCATATTTTTCATGAAGTATGTCTCTCAATTCTGTATCTATCTTTACAAATCTCCTTAATGCTTCTATAAAAAAATATAACATTTTATCCCCAAATTTTTAATGATTCTATATTGCCCTGTTTTTATTCTTCTTCCAATTGTTCCCATTCTCATTCCCCAAAGAAGAAAAGTCAGTCTTGCTTACATTTTTGGCAATGCATCAAAAGATCTGGACTCTTCAGTACAGTAGAGATTTCCCCATCATTCTCTGCCGGCCGATGATACCGGCAGTGCAGAGGTAATAATGCTCTAAAACAGGAAAAGCATTCAGGGTCAGGTCTCATATAAACGAGGACAGAAACGTCAGCCGCTAAGTACTCGGGAGCTTCCAAATCTATGTTATCTGCCATCATCAATGCCTGTAGAAAAAGTATAACAACATAATTAAAATCAGGGCATTATTTCAGAATATAATCCCATTATAGGCAGTAGCACCACAGCTATCTTGCAGAGAAACCCCAAGGCTGGTACCAGTGACTTATTCATGTACAGTACTTGTCTGTTAGTAATGCAGTACGGGTGACTCCTCACTTATGTGGGAGTTACAGTCTGTGAAATGTTCATAACTGGGGAGCCCAATGCAGTATTTATAGCTTCCTGCCCAACAGCTCCTGAGTGGGGTAGAGTGGCAACAGGGAGAGCTCCCATATGCCATTTTTGAGCCTTTGGAGGCTTTTTTCTGGACTTCTGGCTCACTGTCATCCTCTTTGGGCTCTGGGGAAGATCTCCTTGCGAGCCACAAGGACTTTCCAGCTTTCTCCCACCATTTCAGGTTAGAGTTTGTTTGTCTGTCTGTCTGTCTGTCTGTTTCCTGGCACTGCACATATATGCAGTTGCACATGAGTCGATTGTGTGTAAGTGAAGGGGGGATGCTTGTATTGTGAAATAATGTTCTTAACAACAACTTAGCAATGCAAGCGAAAATTGTCGGGGTGTCAGTAAAGTAAAATGGAAGTTGAAAACAACGTGAGTAATAAAGACAACTTCAGAAAGAAGCAGGGGAGACACAGTATTGTTTTTGGCAAATACCCAAAATAAACTTTTGTCTAACCCCTTATGTGATAAAATCTCATCTCCAATGGTTTCTTAATCGAGTGCCTACTCGTACCTTTAAAACATGAACACAGGAATGTAACATTACAGATAGCACTTACAATAACAGTTACAAGGACATGGATCCAAAAAGCTATGTAAGGCCAGTATGATTTGGTTTGATTATGCCATAAGTAGCCAACCTGATGCCCTCTAGAAGTTGTTGCACTACAACTCCCATCATCCCTGACAATCCTATACACACTTATCTGGGAGCAAGTACCACTGAGTTCAGTGAGGCTAACTTAATTGGAGGTATGTATAGTATTGCTCTGCCAGAGATAGAGCAGTTAGGCTCATAACTGTATGCCATTAGAAGCCTAACTTTATGTACATCTAGCTATTTCGTGCCCTATTAGCTTTCCCTGCCTACAAAAGTCATCCCAAAAACCTTACCTCAGTGAGATTGTGCTTTTGTAAAGATGTCAATTCATAGGGATCCACATATAGTCCTTTTGGTAAGTGTACCTTAGTTGCCACTATGCAGCTTCTGAGGCTTTCGTCAGCTGTACTGATATTTACCCGAATCAGCAGATTTCTAACATTTAAAACAAGAAGCTTTTACAACAGAATGCCATCAAAACATACCAATCTCACTTGTGTATAAAGTACTTTTAAAAGACTGTGTTACTATATTTTTTAATCTGCAGGTTTTTTTCCTATGGCTACAGGGCCCCACATACTCGGGTCTGGGGAAACTGAGAATGTTTCTGAGAGATTTATCACTAACATTCAATTTTATGTGTTTTAATTGTTGGTTGTAAGTTGCTTTGTGTTGCCCTGGGCAAGTTAAAGCAACTAACTAACTAGTGTTTTAATTGTAGCTGTGTGTCTTTTTCCATATTTCTGCTCTGAGACCATTTTCTGGTATGTGGCAATAAGTAAATGGTAATAACCCCCACTGAAACTCAGAAGAAACTCACAACATATAACTTTTTCATCTTTGTATTCATGGACAGTTGAAGCTGAGAAGTCTGAATCTAATTGGCTCTACATTGCTTTAATTGGACTAAGATTCAATACAACTAGGTATTGGTCCGAGTTGTCTATGAATCCATGTAACTTAAGATAGACTGCAACTTTTATTAACAATTGTTCAATAGAGTACCAGCATCCCACAGCATCCATAAACATGCCTCTAGTACATTTAGTTTAACATATCAGTTCACTTGACTACGTACATACTGCCATGGTAAAGCAGATGCAAAAGAATTCAGGTCTTATTAAGACACTAATAACAGAACCACTAACCAATATCTGTTTGTCATAAACCCACCTGTGAAAGCCATCTTTCAAAAGCTGTTGCCTGACCTCAGGACACACGTTCTGTGCATCTATAAAAACAGAAAATACATGCAAAACTGACATATTTTAAAGCAATCTAAAACACAATTTCAACACAGAGTTTGTTCTTCTGTTCTTTAGGAGTGCCTTTTACAGGACAGAGGAACTGATGTCATTTTGATCAATAAAAAATTATTCTCTCTTGAAGCCATGGCAGACAACAGACTTTTAATCAGTCTTGCAATTAGTTGCTGACTAATAGCCTAAATAACCCAGTGGCAACCACACTAGCCCTTCCACCTCCCTACCACTAATTCTAGAAGGCACAGCTTACAGCTAAAGAAAAAGAAAGGATCTATGTTTGCAGTGAGCCTCCTACCACAAAAAACTGAGCCTTCCAACAACTAGAACACTCCACTGTTTCTGACAGTGTTCCCTCTATGTCAGAGAGAGGGAAAGAAGCTAGCAACAATCAGAAATCATCATTGTGTTTCCTTGGGTAGAGAAGCAATGCATAAATCAATGGCTGCTGATTTCTCTTCAGGGTAGAAGACATTCAAATGCAGCAGAAGAAGGGATGTGCTAGAAGTAGATATCAAAACACTTGTTTCTAATTAAAGGTAAAGGTAAAAGTACCCCTGCCCGTACAGGCCAGTCTTGACAGACTCTAGGGTTGTGCGCTCATCTCACTCTAGAGGCCGGGAGCCAGCGCTGTCCACAGACACTTCCAGGTCACGTGGCCAGCATGACGAAGCTGCTCTGGCGAGCCAGAGCAGCACACAGAAACGCCGTTTACCTTCCTGCTAGTAAGCGGTCCCTATTTATCTACTTGCACCCGGGGGTGCTTTCGAACTGCTAGGTTGGCAGGCGCTGGGACTGAGCAACGGGAGCGCACCCCACCGCGGGGATTCGAACCGCCGACCATGTGATCGGCAAGTCCTAGGCGCTGAGGTTTTACCCACAGCGCCACCCGCGTCCCTTGTTTCTAATTAGGCAGTTTAAATATTGCCATCTAACCACTCACAATGGTCCTGAGTTACTCCTGTAGACTCAGTGGACTGCTCAACAATGTAAAATGATTGTACATAAAGGAAAAATACATAAAATAAGCTTATTCAATGTGTCAGAATATAGTCAATAAAGCAATGAAGTGGATTTGCATACATATATTAAAAATGCAAACACAATATCAATAAAGGACAGTTCAGCACTCTGCAACACATATGGAATCCAAGAAAAAGAATACTGTACAACCTTTGTTCACCAACTAGCTTCGGGAAAATAACATGGATTTCAACTTACACAAGCATTTTGGTATGCACAGACAAAAAATGATCCAAAATGAGTGGATACTCGTCTGAAGAAGCACATTCTTTTCCTGCTGAAACATCTCAGAATAAAACTGCAAGGAAAAACAAATCACATTAAAGAATAGGAGCTTTTGTCCATGGCTTAGAATTTGATTTGTGACAAAACTGTGTGGAAATAACAGTAACAATTAATTCACTCTAAGACAGGGATTGTCAACTTGGTCCCTACTGCCCACTAGTGGGCGTTTCTGGATTCTAGGTGGGCAGTAGGGGGTTCTACGGCACAAGCTGAATCCTCCTTCCATCGAGCACTGGTGGGCGGTAAGGAAATTTTACCATCAAGAAAGATGCATTAGTGGGTGGTAGGTATAAAAAGGTTGACTACCCCTGCTCTAAGATAAGTCTTTAAATGGAAATTCCCATGAAAGAAAATAATAAGCAAAGTGAAACATTATTGCTTTTAGGGCATGTGCATTTTTCCAGACCTTCTCAGGATTGTATCACAGCATGCTTTGGCTCAAACTATGAATATCTGTGCCCCAATTACACTGAAAGCCGGAGATAATGTAGAGCTTTACAACAATATAATATATAATATAATATACACTGCCATGTCCATATGGGCCCTACAATTAGCCATCTGAAGGCCATGTTTAAATCAATGTTATCCCTGCTCATATGTCTCTGAAACCCAGTGTCTGTAACAAAATTAACCAAAGTGTAACTTAGAATCACTTAACTCAGCCATGTGAAAACTCTGATCATAATTATTAAAAAAAACACCGCCTCTGCAACCAAGCCTGGAAAGTTAGATGTCTGTATTTAACTTATCTAACCTACACTGCATTGTTCTAGTTAAAATTTTATTGTGTAGTAAATGTTCATGATGAGCAATGCACTCCCATCCATATCCTCCGACAAGAAAAGATAATGTGGCAGGTGGGTGGGGAAATGACTCCTGCTTGGAAGTGGAAATTGGCACTATGGGAAGATAACCAAGGAGAATCAACACTCCATTCATGTCACTACAACGTATACAAGCATATGAAGTTGATGGCACTGCGGCACCTAAGCCATCTTGTCACAGAATCAGAGATCACAAGTGTATAGCCTGTGGGGAGATTTGTGTATTCCCCTTTCTTTCCCTCTTTGGAAGAATACCAGGGACATAAAACCAGGGACATAACTACTCCACCCTAGAGCCTTTTCCATCCACCGTTGTGAAGAAGACGACCCTTCTACTTGTCGCATTAAAGACACTTCTGTCAACAGTTTGGACTCTTTTAAGCAAATTAAATTATTTTGCAAACTCGCACGAGGCAGCGACATTCAACCTTCCGAGGAATACCTATCTCAAGCATTTAGGGACAAAAAGGGAGAGAGGGGAAGCAATCCGAAAACTGGTGACGGCGAGTGCAACTTTCTGAAGGAGAAACCACCCGAGGCTCCCCCTGAAAGGAGAAGACCTAGCGGCGCCCTAGGACGCAGCCCTTTCGCTTGGTCTAAATGTCACTCTAGGGCTAGGCGACGTTGCTAGGCGACCATTCCCACGACCCCTGACCAGGGGCTGTGCGAGCAAAGGCTGGCGGTCCGCAGGGCCACTGAGCTCCCCCACCCGCTTCCCGCAAGCACCCAGTCGAGAGTATCCCCTCGGAATATGCTGCCTCCCGGGCTGAAGATACGAGAGCGGGAGGGCCAGCTCTTCCCGCACCTCGAGAGGGCCGCGGGGTCTAAACCCCACGCAGCCCAACGGTGCCCCCTTACTTCATGCACGCGCCGCCTCTTCCGCCCACAACCAAGGTCCTCCCCTCTTCCAGAGCGTCCTCATGGGCGCCTGACTTGAAGAGCATAGTCGGACTGACCTGCACCTAGCCAGGGCCTCCGCCCTCGCCTTTCTCAGGACCATAGGGAGAAGCAAAGGAAGCGAGGAAAAGCAAAGAGAAGCTCCGCGGAACCTCTGCGAAGACGTCCCTTCGCAGGCACATTCGGGGACAGCAATGCCGAAGGGGGCCTGATGGAGCGGCGGCGGCCGAGCCGTTGTCATGGTGACGAGTTGGATGCTGGCGCGCGTGCGCCACGCTGCGGCTGGAGCCGATGCAAAGGAAAGTAGGAAGCAGTGAGGTCCTTGGGGCCTCGGAAGAAGGGAGGAGCCGCGGTGCGTGCGCAGGCCGGGCAGAGGCCGGGACTCGGTTTCTCCTTCGCCTGCCTTAGTCGCCCTGCTCGCCTTTGGAAACACACTGTTTTTAAAAGCTGAGGCGCTGAATGGGGTCTGAGAGGGATCCACTCCTAAGTGGCGAAATACGAGTTTCGCTATTCCGTGGACAGTGCCACTCAAGCATGCCGTTGTGAAGCCACTGGCAGTTTTTAATATCCGAAGTGGGATCCTGTTTCATAAGCGGTTTTAAACTTCTTGGTCCTTTTAAACACCTCTAACGTGTCTCAATGGCTTATCAAAATAAAAAGTTGGTTCACTGGGCATGAATAAATGTGGTGTCTTCTGACTAAGCCTACAGCAGGATGTCTTACGTGGCAAAGAAGTGCGGCATCAAATTAAACCCTCCCTCTATTGTTTTAATCTATGAAGATCAGCTCAGGAATAATATACGCAAGCGCATCATGCCTATTCGGAATTTCTCCAAGTTCTCAGGTATAGCATGCTTATTTTTCTAACCTGTCGCTGGTCCCTTCCCCAAATAGGCAAGTTCAGATCCTGCTGCCACCACAGGAGTTTGTCTAGCACAACCTTCACCAAACTGGTGCTGTCCAGATGTTTTGAACTACACTTCCCATCAGCTCCAATGAGTGGCTGTTGGCTAACGGCTGATGGGAGTTGTAGTCCAAAACTTCTGGAGGGCACCAGGTTGATGAAGCCTGATCTAGCAGCTCAGCATTGGAGGTGGTGGACAATCCAATATGCAGGGGAAAAGGAATAATTCCTTAAGCTCAGGTGGGAATACTGGCAACCTGTAAACTATACATTGTTTAGTTATCATTGAATGCATGTGACCACATTCAGGATTGTGTTTGAGAAAGGTACTGCTTCAGCCATTTAGTTCTTGAGCTTTGATGCATTTTATAGTGGAATTTGGCTTTTCACTCCACAGAAGACTGCAGGTGTTTTATATACAGTGGTACCTCGGGATGCGAACGGGATCCATTCCGGAGCCCCGTTCGCATCCCAAAGCGAACGTAACCTGTGTCCGCGCATCTGCACGTGTGTGGGTCACGTTTCGGCGCTTCTGCGCATGCACGTGACGTCATTTTGACTGTCTGTGCATGCGTGCAATGACGAAATCCGGAAGTAACAAGCTCCGTTACTTCTGGGTCGCTGCAGAGCACAACCCGAAAATGCTTAACCCGAAGTGTATTCATCCCGAGGTATGACTGTATATATATAGTCCGCATCTCCCTGTTCTTCACAAATAGATGTGAAAGAGGTGGGAAATAGTCCTCAGAGACATGTATTTCCGGATTAACTTTAGGAAAAACATTTTAAAATGCATATTTACAAATAAACAAAATTATGATTTTTTTGTTACCTGGACTTTTTGTCTTTTCATTGGTGCAGATTGCAGCAGGGCAGCAGAACAGCTAAAGAATAATCCTCGGCACAAGACTTATTTAGAAGGTGTCTCAATGGAACAGCTACAAAAATTACACAATTTGCTGAGATGCCAGTTGGGGGGACAAAATCTGACTCAGGGTCTGGAGCAAATTCAGCGGGAAGAAACAATTGACCCAGAAGAGGACCTGAACAAACTAGATGACAAGGAGCTAGCCAAAAGGAAAGAAATTATGGATGCATTGTTTGAAAAGAACAGGAAAAAGAAGGATGACCCTGATTTTGTCTACAACGTAGAGGTGAAGTTCCCACAAGAAGAGCTTGAAGCCTGTGAGTGGGATGATGAATCAGATGATGAGTTTTGATCCATAATCAAGCCGCGGATTGATGAGTCTTCTCATATTGGGAATATATATCTCATGCCCCTTCATATTTTAGCAACCAAACTTGAGTGATCAGTCAGCTGCTACATTTTATACTGTGAAATTAGGTCAAGACTTACATTTTTTTAAAAAATGTAAACACGTTAATGAAAAAGTGTTCAGAGGTGCTTGATGAAAAAGATACAACCAGACTCAAAAGAGTTTTATATAGACTGTATGCTAGTTCTTTGCCGTTGTAAATAAAACAATGGATCTACTTCAGCACTTCACACTGCAGCATTAACTTTGCAAAAAAATTAACTCTGCAAGTAATTGATGTCTTATTTATTGTTTTGCAATGTTGTTTAATTACCAGTTTGTCCGTTGAACTTCCAAACTTGCAGTTACCTCTCTAATTTTTTTTAATTGCATCAGAATATGAGCTGCAATATTTGATAGTTGCAATATTACTGTTTCACACTAAAGTGATACCGTTGTTTTTTTGTTTTTGTTTTTAAAGAATTGCTTTTGGGGAATCACAGTGAAACCATTTATGTTTACGTATGCAGGGCTGTGTTGAAACTAATGCTCTTAAGTTATTGTTAACATGGGGTTTTTGGGGTGTGATAAATAATGATTTAGAAGTCAAATTAACAAGCAGTCCTAAAGCCAGCTGAGAGGCCATTAGAAACATTAAGCAGCATTCTGCTAGCCAAGAGGGAGTCCTTACTACACTAGCAGAAAGCACTGCTAGCATATAAAAGTAATAGGGGAGGAGGCAAGGGAAAAAACTGCTCTCCCCCTTTCTACCTTGATTGGAGTGAAGGAAGTGATTATTCCTTTGCCACAGAATCAGACACTAACTTAGGATTGTTCTGTTTCAGTTAGTCTTTTATGTGGTGCTAATAATGGATGCTTTATTGTGATACTAAAATGATATGCTTTCTGTTTCCATTTTTATGTAGTTAGACCTGAAGAAACAACTGTCCAATAAAGTAATTTTGAAAAGCTGAGTCAGTAATGTTGACAGAATTAAATGATGTCTGATAACAAGAATGACAGGTGTATGAAATCATGGCAACAATAGACTGCTTTTTAGAAAAGGTTCTTGAGTCTGCCTAAAGAATGTGTTAGCCACTGTATTTTTTTCTAAGGGCCCTGCAGGTGGGCTACTGAATAGTGTAATAAATGTGCACTAGTTTTCCCTTCTCAGTTTCACCTCCATAGCTGGGAGTCCAGCTAAAACAATGTGAAACTGAAAAGGCACTTCTGATGCTTCACCACTGCAGTTCTCTTGTTTATTGACCCTGTTGTGGGTCCCATTCTGTAGAATTTTAACCCAGTTTGGGAATGGGTATGTGTATGTGAGTTGGGCTCAGAGAATACATAAAGACCAACACACACACACACAATATATATATATATACACACACACACACACAAAACACTCAAATTCAAAAATGTACCCCAAGACACATGTATGCAAACTATAAATTTCAAACATATATAAAATTTGGTCTCCAGAGGGCAATGTTTTATTACTTAACTACTCACTTTTGGCAAATTTCTTTACTTTGCAGGAACCTCAGAACATTTAAAAGTATCTCTCCAGGCACAGAGCAGCTTAGGAATAAGTTGTATTGCTCCTTGGACACTGTACACTCTCTAGTGTTTAGAAAAGTATTAAAACTGATTAATTGGAATCATTTTTTTTTATTTACTTGACAGGAGGCCTTTTCCAGTAAGACATCTACTTGTGATAGAAAGTTTCTTTGTGAAGTCAATTACATTCTAATTACAACATGATAAAAGAAATGAACACTAGATGCTGGACCTCCTTTTTAATTATAAAAAGAGTACATCTGGGAATGTCAGCTGCCTTCCTATTTTATGAGGCCAAAGTTTAAGTTATATTTAAAATGTCTAATAGCCCAATCAGAAGAAAGACAAAGAGATACAGTATCGTGAAAGATTATTATTATTATTATCCCAATGTATGTATTGCAGTTACAGTCTTCAAGGGCATCCCTTGCATGTACTGCATTGAGATCGTTTTTCCAAACCCAGATGTTTAAATTTTGGAACACCCAGTGGCGTAGCGTGGGTTGTCAGCACCCGGGGCAAGGCAAGTAATTTGCGCCCCCTAACCCGTGGATTTGCGCCCCCTAACCCGTGGGTTTGCGCCCCCTAACCTGTGGATTTGCCCTAGCCCCAGATGTTGCGCCCGGTGCGGCCGGCCCCCCCTGCACCCCCCACGCTACGCCACTGGGAACACCATCCAATCAGCATGCAGCAATGGTCAGATGTGTTCCCACTTGGTCAGCCAGCCACAAAATTCCTAGGCTGTACTCAGATGAGGTATAAATGGAAGTAGGGTGTGAGGATATAACCTGCTCAGCAAATTATTACCACAAACGCAAAATGTGATAACAAGCTTCTATACCTACAGTGATTGTAGATGTATAATAGGTTACTTTTTAATATTAAAAATTGACTTTTCTGCAGTAAGGGGAAATTAATTGTAAAAGATGTGCCAGCTGGCTGTTTGATGATGGTGTGTGGGTGCTACCAAAAATTGCATGCATAAAGAGTACCAATTTCTCAGTAAGCTGCAATCTATAGACTCCTTTCCCCAAAAATATTTGCAGCACAAATCCCGTTGTTTAGAGTAGGGACCTATGAATCTGCCAGTTTCAGTTGTCTTAAGTTTCTCATTTTTCCAAACTTAAATTCAGTTCTCTACATTTCCACAGCAGTTTGAGATTTCTTCCTTTAAAAAAAAATCATGAACACTTAACCAGCATTTTAGTGCACGTTTCTCCTAATACACACATTTTTGGAAGCAATTACCCCTTATATAATGCAATTATAGATGTTATTTTGACTCATAAATAGATTTTTAGGTACATTTCCCCCTAATATATGCATTTTTTCCATATTTGGTTGGAGAACTGCATCACAAAATTTGGAGAAGTGTGAATTTCATAAGATAGTTGTGTTTGAAATAATTTTTCATGAAATTACAAACAAATTCTCCATCAGTTCAGAGCAGCAAGAAACTGACACGAGGGCAGCAATGAAGCAGAAACTGGAGATAAGAGGATGCGGAGTGGAATGGAAGGAGGGATTAAGGAAGCAAGTGGTCCAGATAAGGGATGCTTATAAGACCATCCAAGAGGCCTAGGAATAGGATGCAGGTAACAAAAGTCAGAGAGAATGACTGGGAGAAGCAAACTGGGGTGGGGTGGGGTGGAGTTTAACTCTATCTGCAGTTATCCTGACAAAACTACGGTATCTTTGCATTTCAAGGGAGGCTCCCATTGCTGCCAATTAATGCATTCACACAATTAACAGGGCATCTAGTTTGGTCCTAAGCCAGCAGGCAAAGGCTGGGATGAAGGAAAGGGAAAGGAGGGAGATCAGAGCTGACTGAGAACACAAAAGGGAAGCTTGGGTTGGCATTCAACCTACTCACTCCTACAGCCCACTTTATTGGCTATATTTCAATATGTATTCCCATCATTTGGTGTGCATTGCACCAGTGGCTAGAGGGTGGGACACAGGCATAAGTATGGGGAAATAATTATTTTAGGAATTGGGTCTGATAGGCATCTCTGTATCACATTACAGAACTAAGGATTTTGTGGAATCCTCATTGATGAAAGCGTTTGGGGCGGGGGAAACTAGGCTGATCAAAAGCAGCCACAAATCATTTGGGATAAATCAATCTGTCTGTGAAACAGATGAAATGGAGGGGGATTTGCCAGTTGAGCCACATTCTTTAATGGTATTTTAAACCCTGATTGATTGATTGATTGATTGTGCACAGCTTTTCCTTGCGGCACTCCAATCTCTGTTCCATGCCCCTCCTCTCACGAAAGATTCTAGAAATGGACCACATAAAACACCAGCAAGTGAACTTGTGGCAGAAAGAAAGTGTGGCAACATCGTGCGGCAGAAGGGAAAAGCCACTGAAAGAGAATGTAAAGAAGCATTGAGGTAAAGGCAGCTGGAGTCTAGCCAAATACACGAGGGTAAGCTCAGCTGGCTGAATAATGTTGTTGCACAAAGCAGGGCAATGCACTGATGTGGCCCACACTGTAGGCTCATGTTGAAAACCTAGACTCCATATCTGGGTTGCATTCGTACCAAGCATTTAAAGTGCACGACTCCCCCTCCCAAACTATGTGGGGAACTATAGTTCATTACAGGTGCTGGGAACTGTAGCTCTGTGAGAAGTAAACTACAGTTCCAAGAATTATTTTGGGGAAAGTCATGTGCTTTAAATGTATGGGTTTTCAGCTGATCATCAGGGCTTCTGTGCACAGTGCCGTGCAAGAACAGCTCGCCTGACACCGCTGCAGCATCAAGTGATTGGCAGGTGTGGGAGACAAGGGTGGGACCTGCCAGTTGGATCCAGTCCCGCCCCTGCGATCTAGAGGACTCTAGGAAACTGGAGGTGGTAATAGAAAGGCATGTTAAGGCTGTTAAGTAACTCTGTGAGGGGAAAACTACAGCGCCCAGAATTCTTTGAGAAAGAACGAACGTGTTTTGAGTGTACTTTAAAGGTGGTGGTGCCTCATTCACACATGAAAGCTTTCAGTGTGCTGACCTCTAGGCTCAAAAAGTTCAAAGGGACTCAAAGGCTAGCCAATCTAGACCAGCTCCTTGCAAAAACCTGGGCCATCCCACTCACTAGCCGCCTCAGGTTTCAGTCTGAGCCACAAGCTTGGGACATGAGCCCAGGCCTTCAGATGATTCAGCTCCTGCCTTCACAGAACTTCTTTTAGCTTTCCTTGTAACTGATGTGGTTTCTCCATGGGTGTACTTTGATCAGATAAAAAGCGAAGTTAATTCCTTTTTCTCCCTAACCACCTACCAGTTTTCTGTTGGGCAACACCCGATGCCGATTCTGCTAACCACATCCTGAACTGAGTAATTTTTTTCCCTCTAACAAAAGCAGAACCAGTTAATCTTCACTGATCGTACTACAGAGGAAGCTAAGACATCTGCCTAATACAGGAAAAGAGGCACAGTCATTTCTGGCATCTCCCAGCACACGAAAATAACAGGGCGTCTTGTACCACCATACTCAGCTTGGGGAGAGCAACGATGAAAACATTTGGAGGAACAGATGCCAGCAATTGCAGTCTATCTCCTTTTCAAGGCACCTTTTGCAGTTTATTAAAAGTTTTAATTAACCTAACCAATCCAACAGTTAAACATTACAACCATAAAGTTTCTATATCCAGGAGTCTGCCTTGGTTCCCACAAAGAATTCTTTTCCTGGCACTCCCAAGACCCCATCCATTTTTGTAGTGGCAGAAAAATGAGAAGAGAATAAAGTTGGCATGGTGCTGTGCTGGACAAAGACAATTAAATCTCTCTCTCCAGATGTTTGGTGGGACTTTGTGTGTCTGTGTCCTATATGGTTGCGCATGCGTATGTGCAAGAGTATTCATGCAGTCGTGTGGGGTGACTACATCCATCACTGGCATATGACCACTATTGGTCAAGGCTGAATGTGTCTCTCAGGCCAAAAATATTTAGCGACTCCTGCCTTAGAATTTATTCACTATTTACCCTGCACGTAAAACAAGTAAGTCTCAGTCACAGTAGCCTAGTAGTGCCGCCTTGAAGACTGTGCTAATTATGCATGACTTTTCACAGGAAACAATATTCTTCATGAGGTAAGTGAAGTGGACAGCTCTGCACATAATATTTAGGTTGCACTACCTCGTGATTGACATGAGGTGAAGTGAAATGCAAGCATCCGAAACTGTCCTGTTCTTTCATTTGAACTGTGCATTACTTATTGGTAACTGAAACCTGACCCTACGTTTCAGAACGAAAAGTCGACCAAGATGCACCCACACATCTGCAGGGTGTGCAGGCATCAGATTCAGAACATAGCCTGAGGTTTTCGCAACATGTGGTTTTCCTGCCTGTAAACCTCTACCACAGGGACGCCTCAAACAGCTAGCGCTGATCCACATACATACCAAAAACAAGCTGCTTACTAAGAGAATGCCAGTTTCCTCTGGTACAGCAGCCCTGCTCTTGCCTTGTTGCACCCACTTCCATTACATTGTTTTTACTGCTGTCATTAGGATCACGTCTATACCTTGAATTTAAATCACATTTAAACAGTCATGGCTTCCCCTAAAGAATTATGGGAATCTCAGACCACACATTAGTACAATTTGTCAAAGGTCTCCTAACAACTTTAGCAGGCCACACATTTTACACAGCAAGTGGGGAATGAACTAGAAACCTTTAAAAAAGAAAAAATAAATTCTGAAGGATCTTCAGATGTTGCCAATCTCTTTGTGAACTGATGCATTTTTGCTATTGACAATGTTATCATAACCACCCTGACTTAATGCTCTGAGGGCCACCGTGTCTATGCTGAAATGTGTTTGCCCCACTCACATATCAAATGGGTGTGTCTACTCTTTACACAAAACGAAATAGGCTCTTTACCCCACTGCACTTTGTAGCTCACTTCTGGCTTGAGAGATCAGTCAAAGGGGATGGACCACTGCACTGGAGCACAGCATGGTAAGGGGATGAAGGGGTCCAGATTTTGCTCTGTTCTCCCCTTGCCCTTCTTTGTGTGTGCAACCATAGCAATTTCAGCTAATGGTGAAATAGCTGTCTTGGAGCATGTAGGCAGCAAGATGCTTGCATTGCCACCTGCATCTCTAGTCCAACACAACACTTGGGGGTCAGTTGGAGTAAGAGGTGCCAGGTTGGTAATCATTTCATACAGTCTTCCACATGCCATTCACATCTGCAGCGAAGTTATGGCTTCCTTATACTGCACCATCTCGTTTTATGAATTGCACCTCCTCCACATGTTGGGAAGCTGTGCTGTAGCCAACACTGCTGAGATGGCCTTGGAATGCCCCTCAGTGTTCCCTCCAACATTAGGTCTGTCATATGAGTATTTCAACTGGCATGTGGATAAAGTGTTCCTCCTGAAAGGGAAAAAAATTAGTTAGTGCTTGGCCAAGAAGTTACACCTGTCTGGGAGCTGCATTTATTCAAACATCATGATTGGTTCCCAACATCAGTCCCTTTCACTTGTCTTTCATGTTTATAAAGGCCTTTTTCTTCCTATTGTGAACATTAAACAGGATTACTATCTTGCATTTGTATCCACACAGAACTGTGTGCTATGCCATCCCTGCCAACTACATACAAGGACACTTTATTACACACATTGGGCAACTCCATATAAAACACTGCCACACACTGTGGCTTCCTGGAGCCCCATTCATGGATGCATTATCACCCAATAGGATTTCCCAGTCCTACCTATGCCCATTCTGGAGGGTCCGAGTGGCTGTTTTCTTCACACCATCCCAGAGTCAATAAGGGCTGGACCTTCTGTACCTGCTCTTCACCATTTGAAGAATTCGTTGCCTGAAAGTCAGGAAGATGATAACAAAGGCAACTAGCAGGGCCAAACAGGTAGGAAGAACAAGGACCAGATGCAGCAGGGTCATATCTGCCGTTAGCCACTTGCAATTCTGGATGACTGATTCAGGCAAATTTGCTACACGGATGAACTTAGAGGAAAAGTTGCAAGTGACTTGATTCCAGTCTAGAATGCGTACAGTGTCACTGTCATGCAGGGCATCCCACCAACCCAGCTGGCAGCAGTCATAAGGATTCTGGCTGAGGTAGATCTCATGTAAGCTCTTTCCAAGCTTCTGCATGGCATGCTGAGGTAGGGCATGGAGACGATTTCTCCTTAGATCCAGAATTTGCAGTTCCAGGCCTGCTAAAGATTCAGGGAAGGTAGCCAGAGAATTTTCAGATAGATCTAGGTTTACCAGCTTCTGAAAAGCAGAGAAGTCCATATTTGTCCTTGCAGCAGAAAGTCCAGTGTTCCTAAGACAGAGCACCTGCAGTGATTGTGCAACATCTTTCAGAGGTCCTAAGCCATCAAGTAGTGACCTGGGGTTGTCAGAAAGGTCTAAGTGTGCTATAGAAGTCCCCTGAAAGATGTGGGTGTCCAGTATTTCTAGGTCACAGCCAGACAAGAAAAGATTCCTTATGGAGCCAGCATTACTGATATCTATGCAACTGGAACCTCCAGCAGCATTTGAGGCACAAAGCTTTATAGGGTTTTTACTGAGGTCAAGTGTAGTGATCTTTGTTGTGTGAGTAAAGATTTTAGCAGGCAAGCCACGCAGTCTGTTGGTGCTCAGACTCAATGTTCTGAGGTTGGCTAAGCTGCTTCTATGGTCCAAGTTCATCTGCAGATCCTGAAGTTGGTTGTAGCTGAGATCCAAGTCAACGAGAGTGCTTAGTAGGTCACTCTCCTGTATCTGTAATGTCTCTAAGCAGTTGTGGTTGAGGTTCAGATGAGCAAGGGAAGACATGCCTTCAAAAAACCTTTCTGGAAGGTACCAGAGCTGGTTCCAACTCATGTCTAGGAACTGCAGGGAAGAGAGGTTGCTGTGATGGTTTTCGGCCCAGAGGTCAAGGGTGGTGATGTTTGTGATGTTGCCATCCAGGAATAACAGTTGCACTGTGCCCTCTGAGTCATTGAAAATATTGTTGTAGAAGTTCAATTGGTTGTGCATCAGCAGCAGAGTCCTCAGTTTATTTTGCTTGGGCAACAGCGGGAAGAAGAGGAGCTGGTTGTAGGAAAGATCTAGTGTTTCTAGTTCAAAGGCAGCATCATTCTCTGCAGCCAAGAACCACTCGATTTGATTGTTGCTGACATTTAGCATTCGGAGTTGGGTCAGGTCAAACTCCACCATGCAAGGAATGTAGTTGTAGGCCAGATTAAGCTGCTGTAGCCATCGCAAACCATCAAAGGCGCCAGTCTCAATCTCAAATATGTAGTTGTGCTGCAAATCTAGGTGCTGCAACCTGGGCAGATTTTGTAAGTGAGAGTCATCCAGCCTCATGATGGAGTTCCAGGCCAAGGACAAAGATTCTAGAGAGGACAAATCCTGGATCAAGGTGGCCATCATAGCTTCATTGAGCAGATTTCCAGATAGGTCCAGCTTCCTCAGGGCAGGCAAAGTCCCCAGAGCAGCTGCTGTTGCAGAATAGTTCACAGAGAGGGCATTGTTGGCCAGAGATAGACTACTGAGGCTCCTGGTGCCAAGGAAAGCCCCAGGCTCAATGAGCTCCAACCCATTCTCACACAGACTGAGGCTCTGCAGGACTTGATACCTTACTAAAGATGCATTCTTTAGGGTCTGTATAACATTTGCATCCAGGAAGAGCTCCATTGTTCCAGGAGGCAAGTCTTGTGAGACAGAGCTCAGCCTCTTGCCTTTGCAGTCTGCAGTTCTCTCTTCCTGCAGCAGAAAAAGAAAGAGATGTATGGGACAAAAAAAGGTGGGCCCAGCTACTAAAGCCATACTGCACTTCAAATGAGCACAGTAACCAAAGGGCTTAACTCAAGCCCTGTAGATTCCAAGTTAAAATGCTAGGGACTGAGCACATATTTGGCATGTAAAAGATCACAGGTTCAGTCCCTGGCATATCCTGTGAAGTATCTCAGGGTGCTGGAAGAGATCTTTGCCCAATATCTTGGAGAGTTCCTGCCAGTTGGTGTGGATATTATTGGGCAAAGATAGTTTAATGGATAAAACACTTTGACAGCAAATGTTTTCCATAACAATATTTTCAGAGCTGTATGTGCCCTGCACTCAAAACAAAACAGAATCTTCATTATGGTAACCCACCCAAATTTGCACAAAGAAAAACAAATTCTGGGAACTAATATTCATGATACAAATTTGCACATTTAATCTAAAAAGGAAGGAGCTCTGATGTTTGTGGCAACACTGAAACCTGTCTCCTAACCATAGAAAATCTCATTCAAGCCACGCTTCTAGCTTCTGAATTTCTACCAGCCATTACCCACCTTTCAACCCTACCTTTCTTTCCCCAAGGGCTGGAAATCTTCTCTTTTAGAAATGGAAGCTGAGAGTCTCAGGTTCTGTAGTCAGAACCATTTCTACTATTTTTTCTTTGCCCATGCAGAATTTCTGAATGCGCAACAATCCTGACTTGTGATCTTTTAGAAACATTTCTAAGGATGATCTGGACAAATGCAGAGCCAGTTATAAAGTGACAAGGCTTTGCTTTCAAACAATACCGCCCGTCATGAACACCACAAAACAATCTAAGGTATCTGCTTTTTTGTGCCTATGGACAAACTACCAAAGAGAACATTTCTGCTACTTCCTTTATTGTAAACTCTATGGCCCTGCAAGAATTAGATTTTTCTCTCTCATTCTGAATAACCATGCAAGTTTGAATGGTGTGGAAAAAGTGATCAAGCTATTATCAGATTATGGGAAATTTGTAACACCTGCTCTGCTACTAGGGCCGTCTTTAGCATATGCGCCGCCAGGGTGCAAAGATCCACCCAGCACCCCCAAATTTAGTTTAGCTGCCCCCAGATTTGGTGGGGGGGGGCAACTAAAAGCTTTTTTGGGGAGGGGGGAAGCCAAAGTTGTTGACCTTTTTCACAGTGGAAAGAACTGCTTGTTTCATAATGCTAGGTAGTAACAGAGCGACGGAGCAGGGGGGCAGGGACTTTCGCTCCATTGCCTTTCACTGCCACTGGTAGAGAGGGTCCGGTGTATAGTAGGTATACATTTGGTGCACCCCCGAATACATTTGGTGCCCCCCCGAATTTGGAACCCAGGTGCACCGCACCCCTTGCACCCCCAGGTTAAGACAGCCCTGTCTGCTAATGTAGCAGAAGAAATTAGGTGTAGATTCAACCCAGCAATTGCAATTTCTTGTGATTCTTAATATTGTTGTGGCTTAGTGGGGGAACAGAGGTTGCCAGGGCAATGCAGACGTGATCTGTGACACATATTTACACCTAGAGCCACCAGAATGGCTGGGGCAAGCTACTCAGATGGGTGGGGTACAAATAATAAAAGTTTTATTCATTATTATTAATTAGTTGTTGCTGCTGTTGTTGTTAAAAACATAGAAAGATCAATCATTAAATACAACTAAACATTGATAGAATTAAAACTATATACATATATAAAATCTATAACAATAATTACAATAAAAACAGGATAATATTGAGTTGTATCCAATAAAGTTGTCCAGTTGGCACAAGGACTTCTAGATGCACAACGGGACTTCCTCTCACTGCGTGTCCCCCATGACTCCAAAATCTTCTTGGAGGGTTGGGGAAACCCCAGAACAGATTTGTGGGGTGGATAGGGGGCATGCAGGGAGAAAAGAGGGAAAAGAAGTCCTTTTTGCACAGGTGGAAGTCCTTGTACTAATGGGAGAAGCTTGGTGGATACAACCCATTGTCATTTGTGGACCCCTGGAGTTGCTGACCCATGGTTCAAAATAAACGAAGAAAAGAAAGTTGATAGAAGACAGACTCACCAGTCTGCAAAGGCTGTGATAGGCTGCAGGTTTGCTTCCCCATCCTGTATCTAGGAAAGCTATCCACACAAAGATACTCAGGGCTATTAGTGCCATTTCAACAGCAGGACTCCTGCAAAGAGACACAAAGCAGGGCATATATATGTTTTAAAGGGCAGTACTGACAGTTTATTTTATTTTGTATTACAGAAAGAACCAGATGCTTACTAGAAAGCAGACACCCCAAGGCTTCTTCCACGCAATTTATGCCATATGCGTATTTGTTCTCAAACTTTTCATACACCAAAATCTGTTAATTTATTTGTGCAACGCACCTGCCTTCCCCACATCTGACCCTCTGGTGTGCAAGCACATTTTTCAGATCACATTGGCTATTCTTAATCAGTTTTTGTGTACAAGTGGGCAGGTGCTTGCTTTGATCAGGAATGACTGCAAAGGCCCTTCCTTCCTTATAAACCATGAGTTGCCAATGTGGCACCCATGTCACACAAGCACATGCAGAGACCTTCCCTGGTGCCTAGGAGCCCCTACTCTGCCTCTTCTCCTTGGGTTTGAAAGGAATCTTGTATTGTAGCCAGTAGAAGACTTTTTAGAAACCTAATTGCTGGTGGGGAGTGAGTGAGTGAGTGAGTGAGTGAGTGTTGGTTGCAGTGTGTGTGGAGTTGTGGTATGTGCATGGTGCCCACAGGCCCAGAAAGATTGACCATAAACAGCTTGGGGCTGGAACATTAATTTTAAAGAAGACTGTATACCCATTGCTATTTACTTCCGCTCCAGTACACTCCCACTGTTGCCGTTTGAACCCGAGTACACATAACACCAGCCACAATCCATATGTCTCCTTTAGTTTCTTGAGAAACACTGTTGTTTTTCCCCAAACCAGCTTCCAGCCGATTTGAAAACATAAGCCACGGCCAAGCTAAGGTGTGCACATTTGAGACAGCAATTGTACATGCACAGGTAGGTGGAAGCTTTACCAAATACAGCGGTACCTCGGGTTACATACACTTCAGGTTACATATGCTTCAGGTTACAGACTCTGCTAACCCAGAAATAGTGCTTCAGGTTAAGAACTTTGCTTCAGGATAAGAACAGAAATCGTGCTCCGGTAGCACGGCGGCAGCAGGAGGCCCCATTAGCTAAAGTGGTGCTTCAGGTTAAGAACAGTTTCAGGTTAAGAACAGACCTCCAGAACGAGTTAAGTACTTAACCCGAGGTACCACTGTACAAGTTTGGCATGGGGAAACAAATCAGGTAATGTGCATCTGGTGTGTACCACAATGTAAAAAAGCACTCAAAGCACAGCAGGGGAAAATGACCTCACTACATTTTAAGCCGCTAATGTGTGCGCAACCCAAGTTAAAGGTGATTTGAAGGAGCCTTCCCTTCCCAATGTTATGCAGACCAGCATCAACACCCACTGTTCTAAGGCATTTGCTGGGGCCCATGTGCTGCTACCGCCAACAGCAAAGTTTGCAAATGTGGATGGGGGGGGGGTGATTGTGGCAGCAGCAGCACCATGCCCAGAGGAGGCAGGGTGACATAGCAGCAGGTTCTGGGCAACAGGTTCTGTCAGCACTGGGTGCTACTAAGGGCAGCCTGCCCAGCTTCCCCCCAAATCTGAAGCTGGGTCTGATGTAAGGTAAAGGTAAAGGGACCCCTGACCATTAGGTCCAGTCGTGACCGACTCTGGGGTTGTGGCGCTCATCTCACTTTACTGGCTGAGGAAGCTGGCGTACAGTTTCTGGGTCATGTGGCCAGCATGACTAAGCCACTTCTGGCAAACCACCGGAGCGGTACCTATTTATCTACTTGCACTTTGACATGCTTTCGAACTGCTAGGTTGGCAGGAGCAGGGACCGAGCAACGGGAGCTCACCCCATCGCGGGAATCTGAACCGCCGATCTTCTGATCGGCAAGTCCTAGGCTCTGTAGTTTAACCCACAGTGCCACCCGCGTCCCTTGGGTCTGATGACGTGCACATATATTTTGTCTAGCCAGCTGTCACTTCTGTTCAAGCGCGTTTTGCAAAACCTGTTTACTAAAGGCAAAAGTGGGGCACATTCTGTGAACGCTTAGCTCTCTGGAAATGATCTTGCCTCCAAGTGGAAGCGTAGGGCCAGACCCCATTTGACATTAGAGATCCATGATTGGGTTTGATATGTTTAATTTTACAGAAAGGTTGCTGTTGGGTGGGTGCCTGGTGGATCAGAGCAGTGCTGCTGAGGGAGGGGGAATTAACCCTTTGTTCTCATCATACCATTTCCTCCATCATATTTGCCCCATTCCTGAAAGTACTCATAGTCCTCTAAGATGAAAAGCAAGACTGATTTTTAACCTAGTAAGGAGATTTATTTCTGAGACTATATATTAGTTAGGCATGAAGCTTTTTTAATTTTACAAAGTAGATTGACTGTCAAAGCAGGGATCCCCAACATCCTTTCTCACCTTGCCAATGACTAGCGAAGTTATTGACCCCAAGTTCCTCCCCTGCTTAATGACTCTTTTTCTTTGCCATCACAAAGGCCTTTCAGGACTTCACTCACCATCTGTCCTGCCTTCTCAGTTTGGTCCTTGCGCTCTCGATGCCCTGTAACTCTTCAAAGACGCTGAGTGGCAGATGCCTTGGAGTGAGACTGGAGAGTTCTCAGCAACCACCTCGCTGCCTAATCTCTCCTTCATATATCTATTTTATGAAGCACCTCTGTATTGCAGAACCCTCCATCGTGTACTCCCAGAACCACACCACATGGAACTGATACACGTTCTTGGTGAGCTCAACCACGCCGCAAAACGCCGACTGCCTTTTTGCAGTGTAGGTGTTCAGAATGAAACAGCAGCTGTTGAATGGTTCCTTTTGGTTACCATCACCCACCCACCCACCCCGCACCCCTTTTTCAGGCAAAGAATGGAGGCAAATCTTGAGGTTCTTACTCACCGGGGGTAGGAGCAATACACTCAGGTCTGGGACGTTCATTCTGCTCCAGCCCGTGCCCTCTTTTCTTGCTGTATCTCTACAAATAATATTAAAATTAGCTGTTTGCCCTCTCACTTAATATCAGATTATTTTAGAACTTGCGGAAGGAACTAAGCAACGGAAACTGCAGTCACATGGATCACAGAGCCAGTTGCTTCACCCAGCAACCCCCAGCCAGAGCTCAGCAGTTGCACACTGAAAGGTCGAGGCTGTGCAAGCCACTCGAAAATGAGAAGGAGCTGAGAAGAAGGGAAATGAGAGGAAGGAAGCTGTGCAGGGCAAATCTTTGAAGCCATTAGCAACTGCTGCTTTGTTATCGATATAGAAAGGAAAATAAGAGTCCTGTGGCACTTAAAGACTAACAAATTCATTGCGGCATAAGGATTTGTGGACTAGGGACTACTTCTGCAGACAAAATTTTGCTGTAATACATTTTATGGCATAATAATTCATGTGCGAGGGCTACATGCACACCTTACATTTAAAGCACACTTAAAGAACACATGCCCCAATAATCCTAGGAGGTGTAATTTGCCATGGGTGCTGAAAATTGTAGCTCTGTGAGGGGTAAATTAGTTCTCAGGATTCTTTTGTAGGAGAGGGTAAATGTTTTTTTCAATATGTGGTGTGTTGCATGCAGCCTTTAAGGTGCAATCAGGCTCTTTGTTGTTTTTGTTCCTATCAGTCCTGGTTGGGAGGAGGACAAAAAGTGTTGCCAGAGTTCCAAAAACATCACTAGGTGGTGTCTCCAGGAAGCTGTAAAACCCCGACCAAAAAGAATGGTCCCTGTAATCATACACACCGTAAGTTGAATGTAGCCACTCTTTGAACATCAAGATGATGTTCCTCAGTGTGTATAGTAGAACCTGAAAAGTCACTACCTCTTCTTTTATTTTATTCAGATTTTGTCCCCAGGGATAAAATACACCAGCTAAGAATAGCGCAAGCATATTTTACAGAAACATTGCCACTTTTCCCCCCCTCAACAAAATCCACAAAAGCAGATTCCTGATCCTTTCCCACTTGCTGCTTCTGTGGATTTTCCCAAGCAAAACGCCATTCTTCATCGTTAAGAAGATTTGCAAGGATGTCCATCCCAGAGTACAAAATGGGAACCAAGACTCAGCCCTCAGAGAGAACGTGCCCATGAGAGAGTGACCTCCACCTACGGCAAGCATGACTTCAAGACAGAGCGAAATCCTAGCACCTCTCATTTAGAAATTAAGTTAGCGGAAGGGCCCACAAAGGAAGGGGGGGTCAAAGGGTGTGAAGTACAGTGGTACCTCGGGTTAAGTACTTAATTCGTTCTGGAGGTCCGTACTTAACCTGAAACTGTTCTTAACCTGAAGCACCACTTTAGCTAATGGGGCCTCCTGCTGCCGCCGCCGCGCCGCTAGAGCACGATTTCTGTTCTCATCCTGAAGCAAAGTTCTTAACCCGAGGTACTATTTCTGGGTTAGCGGAGTCTGTAACCTGAAGCGTATGTAACCTGAAGCATATGTAACCTGAAGCGTATGTAACCCGAGGTACCACTGTAGTTGTTTCAGAACATGTGACCCAACCTAGTAAAGAGAGACACAGATAAGCATGACATGTTTGGCATTGCATAGTTTCCGTTTCTTAGCTTGATTAACAGAAGTAACTATTCTTATGAGCCTCCAAAGACTCATACCCTCTTCTTGGAATGGTGGCAAAGAGAATTGTGGTGAGGCAGCTGCAAGTACTCTTGAATGATGCAGATTATTTAAAACTGCTCCACTCTGGCTTCAGTCCTGGCCATGGGACTGAGTTGGGCTTGGTCTCCCTGAGAACGGGACGAGAGGAGTGTGACCTTGCTCCGGCTTCTCCATCTGTTTTAGTACCATTCCCCATGGCATCCTCCTAGACCAGCTCTGTGGAGTTGGAATTAGTGGGCACTGTGTTATAGAGGGCCTGGTCTACCCCGCAGGACAGTGTCCAGACAGTAGCACTGGGGTAGTGCTTTGGGGCTCTCTAGTGGTTAGTCTAGTGGGATGCTGCAGGATACTATTCTATCCTCAATGTTATTTAATATCTACATGAAGCCGCTGGGAGAGGTCATTAGGAGGAGCTTTTGGGGCAAGGTGCCTTGACTACACTGATGACACTCAGCCAGTGCCGGATTTATGTATAAGCTAAACAAGCTATAGCTTAGGGCCCCACTCTCTTAAAGGTAAAGGGACCCCTGACCATTAGGTCCAGTCGTGACCGATTCTGGGATTGCGGTGCTCATCTCGCTTTATTGGCCAAGGGCGTCAGCGTACAGCTTCCGGGTCATGTGGCCAGCATGACTAAGCCGCTTCTGGCAACCCAGAGCAGCACTCGGAAACGCCGTTTACCTTCCCACCAGAGCGGTACCTATTTATCTACTTGCACTTTGACGTGCTTTCGAACTGCTAGGTTGGCAGGAGCAGGGACCGAGCAACGGGAGCTCACCCCGTCGTGGGAATTCGAACTGCCGACCTAGGCTCTGTGATTTAACCCACAGTGCCACCCACTCTCTTAGGGGCCCCCCAAAAAATTAAAGGGGGGGAAACTGGATGTACATTTCCAAAATATAAGATAAAAAACAAATAAATTAAAACCTACATACAGCAACAGTGTTTTGTGTTGTGTAGGCACCTATGGTGTAAGTAATGGGCCTCGCCTGCTAGCCTGCTCCCTAAAATATCACAGGTTTGCTCATTTCTATATATAGAGTGCCTACATTCTGCCTGGACTGGTTGCATGGCAACATGTGCAAATGGCTTTAGATACCAATTGGTCCATAAATTACCATATAGGATATATTCAACACAAAAAACAGCAATAATTTGTTGTTGACAAAGGACAGCTGGACATGCAAGGGCCCCATTACCTTCAGTAGCTTAGGGCCTCATCAAACCTAAATCTGACCCTGCACTGAGCTCTACTCCTCCACAACTTTTGAGTCAAGAAATGCTCTGCATGCCCTGGGCACCTGGATGCAGTGGTGGGATAGGTGAGAAAAAATAAGCTGAGCTGTAATCCTGGAAAGACGGAGGCACTGTAAATGATTCCAGTGTCTGAGACATCAGTCAATTGCTCAGAGATCTGCGCCATTTGCCTATTTGCTACTGGGCCACATTACCTTGAGGCCAGTTTACACCATACCCAATACATGCCCACTTGATTGCTTCAATCTGCAGAATGGGCACTATTTTGGTAGTCACACAATACTTGTTCTGCCCTTGTAAAAAACACCAATGTCTAAGTGTTGCATCCCTACATTTTGGAAGCCCCTGATTATAGGCATCAGGCAGGCATCTTCACTGTAGTCTTTTCAGTGCCTGGTTAAAACATTTTTGTTTAGAAAAGCCTACCCAGACAGGCAAAAGTTACATCTTGTTATTTTAGCTACTGTTTATTTTAATAACCTTTTGGATATTTTTAATACCCATTTTAACTGTTTTATTTATAATTTTAATATATATAATAATAATGTTATTGTAAACCACTTGCCTTTCTTTTAAACAGGTGCATAAATTTTGTCAAATAAATACCACACTGTGGAAGTGGTAGACTCACTTTCTACAACACTTTGAGAACTGTGCTTTCTTTAAGTACCATTTACAGAGTAGCTAAACAGGGCTGTTCTGCCTGTAAGTTGCAATTGGAGATGGCCTGCTTTGAGTTCTCTAGTTGTTTCCTGAAAATTCATTTTAAAATGGTGGGGGAATTAAGCCATACTACACATTCATGCAATTTTTTTAAGGGAACTCATACTGCATCAGTTTCTGGAAACCACAGGAGGGGAGAGAGTGTTCTTGTGCTCAGGGGTTTCCCAGAGGCATCTGGTTGGCCACAGAGAACAGGATGTTGGACTTGTTGGGCCATTGGCCTGATCCAGCAGGCCCTCCTTATGTACATCAAGGTTTTTAAGACATCACACACAAAAATACCCTTGCTTCTGAGTGCATGTAGTTTTTCCTCTTTCAAAAACTATTCAGCCTCTCAAAAACAGTAGCACTTACTTCCCTAAAACAGAAACAATTATTTTGGTTCATGTTTGTTTTGCAATTAGAATCCTTGCAAGTTATTGGCTGCCTATGAAAGACTCCAACCTCCTCCCCTGCCCACCAAAGCAAAGGAGTTACAGTGGTACCTCGGGTTACATACGCTTCAGGTTACAGACTCCGCTAACCCAAAAATAGTGCTTCAGGTTAAGAACTTTGCTTCAGGATGAGAACAGAAATTGTGCTCCAGCGGCGCATTGCAGCAGCAGGAGGCCCCATTAGCTAAAGTGGTGCTTCAGGTTAAGAACAGTTTCAGGTTAAGTACGGACCTTCGGAACAAATTAAGTACTTAACCCAAGGTACCACTGTAGTTTTATAGGTAGGCTGAGAAAAAATAGCCCATATCCTGCTCAATGGAGCAGACTCAGAGTATGGACCCACCTGGGTTTGAGCAGCATTTTAGACTTGTTTCCATCTGATTTTTTTGCATCCTGCTGTCCCACATTCAATTGAATACCTGTTCAGCCAAACCACCCTCCCTCCCGGCTTAATGAAAAATATTAAAGCCATTTTGCTGAGTGTTCTTACGGAGGCTTGCAATGACTTCTCAGTGCTTGAAAGGTACTTTGCACACGCTCAGACGTTATTACTTCATGTTTCCAGAACTGAGCCATAAGGCAATGAAAATACATTCTAACAAGTAAGCTCTGTACAAAACTTTGTGCTGCATTCTCATCTTCTAATAGGAGTGTTCTTGGTTCAGAGTTCCGGCTGTCAGCCAGTCAGATCCTCTTTCAGCAGGTTTTTCCACCTGTTTCTGTTTTTCATTTCCAACCACCGTTCAACTTTCTATCAGCATGCTCAGTCCTCACGTGTTACCATGGCTTGTTATTTCTTTATAAAACAAATTATACCACTTTTTATTTACAGTGGTACCTCAGGTTACATACGCTTCAGGTTACGCTAACCCAGAAATAGTGCTTCAGGTTAAGAACTTTGCTTCAGGATGAGAACAGAAATCGTGCTCCGGCGGCATGGTGGCAGCAGGAGGCCCCATTAGCTAAAGTGGTGCTTCAGGTTAAGAACGAATTAAGTACTTAACCCGAGGTACCAGTGTACAAGTGTTTATATATCCGCTAAGGAAAGATACATCATGCTGCTTTACATTTGAGGATATTTGCTTAAGGTTTCATTTGGCCTTCCTGCAGCAAACTGCTGTCCCCTGCTGTTAGGAAATTAGGGCTGCTTTCCTTCTTCTCAATATTCACACCCAAAACACATAGTGATTAGCTTTTCTTTCTTCTTCTTTTTACATAGCTGTTGTTAGCACATTTCTCTGGCAGAGGCACACACATTAAATTGCTCCCTTCCTTCCAGGAATTAACATATTCCACCCTAATCCGAGTAGTTTACAAAGAATCACAATTACACAAACAATTTTAAAACATAAACCTTGAAAGCAGCACGATGTAAAAGAATGGTAGAAAAAGTAAGTAACATTAACTCTTTGGGATAAATTGTTATTCACCTTCACAATTTCAAAAGCTCCAGATGACAAATGAGAGATCACTGGAGACATATTCTACATTTGTAGAACTTGTTTTACTTACAAATATACCACTAAAGCATATTGGAAGCAAACAGGCAAGCAGACACCACAGTTGACAGTCCTGTATCAGTTTTCCAAAGAAAGCTTGTGAACTCCAATGATGCTCCAACCAACACACAGCTCTCTCTACCTTTCCAAGTGCTAGGTGTTTCTCCCAGTGTCCATTTCTCCAAGTTGGGAATGTGGGAGAGAGTTGTTGGGTCTGCAGTGCCACAGCTCGCAGTGGTTCTCATCCTGTGGGTCCCCAGATGTTGTTGGACTACAACTCCCATCATCCCTGAGCTCTGGCCTTGCTAGCTAGGGGTGATGGGAGTTCTAGTCCCAAAACATCTGAGGACCCACAGGTTGAGAAAGGCTGGTTAGAGGCTCATGTAGGAGCAAGAGGCATCACACCTTCCCACTCAGGCCCTGATTCAGACAGGTGCTTCCATTTGCTTCCCCCTCCTTCTGAGTAGCCTCGTGTGCAGCTAGGCATACACAGCAGCAGTGGCTCTGAAACCAGGCTTCCTCAACCTTGGCCCTCCAGATATTTTTTTGGCCTACAACTCCCATGATCCCTAGCTAGGAGGACTAGTGGTCAGGGGTGCTGGGAACTGTAGTCTCAAAACATCTGGAGGGCTGAGGTTGAGGAAGCCTGCTCTGAAACTCTTGCCTGCCTCACTATGTATTCTGCACCTGTGACCCTGGAAGAGATTGGGGGCGGGGGGATTTCAGTTAGCCAGAAGCCCAGGCAGCTCCAGTCATAGGCCAGGGATATCTGGATCAAATGGTTTTTCAGGGTCACTTGCAGTGTGGAAATCTACTGGAGGGTCCTGCTCCCCTTGCTCTTACCTCTGAGAAGACCTCAGATACAATGTCTGGGCAGGCAGAACCCTGACACATTTACTGGAGGATGTCATATTTCCAAACTGTGCTGGGTATTACATTCAAAACCAGAACAGAGATTCTCAGGCTGCCAGGTGCACATCTCCCGTCATTCACTTTCACTGAAACATGAATTTAATATAAAAACATAACACAAAGACTTTGTGTGCAGACTTGCTAATACAGCCTTTTAACACTCCTACTGAATTGTACCTCTCTTGCACTGAAGGTAAAGAGAATGCACAAACATTATATAATCAACACTCCTGAGCATTTCCACTATCAGGATATTCTAGTTCCATGAGGACAAGAACTTTATCTCTTGGGTCTGTACAGTGCCTCTCATGTGACATATGAGGTAGCAGCTCCACCATGTAGAATTGTTTATAATTTTCCTACTTGTTGCCTAGCATAGACATTCTACAGCAAATTAAATGGACTTCCACCATCATTTACACCTACTAGATTAGGCAGAACACCTTGAGCGAACTTAGTTTGTTATCAATAAACAAAACTCAGATGAAGCTGGACTCAACTCGAATCTTAGTTAAACACACATCAGTTCCAATTCTCTTCATGAGGCCTACTCCCCAATCTACTCTAGACTGTAGCATGCCTGCTTACTTCAGTGGAGCTAGGGCTTCAATCCTATCAGCATTTGCGCTGTGGTCTAAACCACTGAGCCTAGGGCTTGCCGATCAAAAAGTCGGCAGCTCAAATCCCCGCGACGGGGTGAGCTCCCGTTGCTCGGTCCCTGCTCCTGCCAACCTAGCGGTTTGAAAGCACGTCAAAGTGCAAACAGATAAATAGGTACCGCTCCAGCGGGAAGGTAAACGGCATTTCGGTACAGTGCTCTGGTTCGCCAGAAGCGGCATAGTCATGTTGGCCACATGACCTGGAAGCTGTCTGCGAACTCTGTCTCCCTCGGCCTATAGAGCGAGATGAGCGCCGCAACCCCAGTCATCTGCGACTGGACCTAATGGTCAGGGGTACCTTTACCTTTACCTTTTAAGCTTTTGTGCTAGAGAGTCAGCCTCTCACAACAGAATGCAACCGTAATCCTTTTTGGCAATTTGCTGCCTGCTTGTAATTTGAAGTTGCTGCTTTGTTTTGTTTTTAAACCTAACCTTAATCCACAATTGTTATACATATTACAGTTGGAATTTAATTCTACTTTCCCTCTCTTGTTTTCATCATGGTCATCGCCCTCACACAACATGGAATTAGAGAACCATCAGGAATAATGTAAACCTACACTAATACTTCTGTATAAGGGCACTTGGAACCATTCTCCTAGTCCACTAGCAAAATGACGTACAAGCCACTCATATGCATGAAAGGGAAAGCCCAGCAACCAGAGCATAGCTCTCTGCTCTTAAACTTGCATCATACAACAGTGCTTCTGCTGAAAGAACTCCCAAGTGCTTCCTTTTAAGAGGAATCCTGTCCCTATTGCGTGTGGCAGCATATGGAGACTTGATCAGCTATAGTCACCACATCATAGTCTCAGTTGATTATTTCCTTTATGAATTACCATGTCTCACCATCCACCCACAGCTGAAGTCGCAAAGCAACTCATTTAGGATGTACAGTATTAATAATAGTAGTTCATTTTCCAAGCATGTACACTTTTACGCCAGTAACAACTGCAGTTCCCATGTGCCCTCTGGAAGTAGCCAAGTTTCATCTGAAGGCCACTTCACACACTGAATGTTTAAGGAATACTCTCAAGATGGTTTGTGTCTGCACCTAAAAATATAAAAAATCAATGCAGGTGATGTATGTGTTATACTTATTAGGGAGCTGCAGTTTACTGGTGCATTCTACTGAGTGTGTTCTGTTGGGGAGACGGACAGGATTTGTATCTGTATAGTTTTGTGAAATAGCCCTGCCCAAGTCAGCTGTCTTCAGTTTCTGCTCCACCCCAGAATTTGAGGGCTGAGATCCAGTTAAACACTCCTCATAGACCTTGAACAAACTCCCAGACAGCCTGTCTCTGCAAAAATGCTGAGACATCGTACCTGTGTGAAATGTGTATTTTGCTACAAGGCTTCTACGAAAACAAAACAGGAAAACTAGCACTACCATTTCCATCAGGGAGAGTTTACACATACAGTAGTCCAGCTTATCAAAGGGGTCTACATATTTATCTCCAGGGAAAGTTCACAATTTGACATTAGTCGATCACATAAATATTGTTAAAAAATTATGTATTCCAGTCAAACAGAAAATCACCCAGTACTAATAGGACTCAATTATAACACACAACAATTCAGAGTAGTATATTTATGTTTTAACAATTTATTTCAGTTGTTTGTACAGCTTGGAATTGGTCTTCAGGTAATAAGTTATAAGAGGTTTATATACATATTTGTCCCCTGTGCCCCAAGGAATTTTTGACCACTTGGCACAAGCAGAATGCTATGCCACATGTAAGGGTAAAGCGAGCAAGACATCCTGTATAAATGGAAGTAAAACCTAGCAAAAATTTCCCTGACACAGTTCTTAGGACCAGCTCTCTCTACTCAAAAGTCCATAAATAAGTGCAGAGGGTAATCCATCCGAGACTGCACAGGGAGACTATATTACTCTAACGAAAGCTTCTTTCCTTTTAGTTTAGCTCATGCCATAGAATCTTGTAGTGATATATTTTATAGCATAGTATACAGTCAACGTTTTCTGGAAGTGATACATCTTTCCAAAATCATTCATTTCTTCATAGTACCAGTGTTGAAATGATTCACTTGCTTAATTTTAGAAAGAGACCAGGAATGAACTTGTTAAGCGGCATACTACACATAGAACAAATATTTTAAAAACATTTATTCACACATGCAGACCTCAAATGCAGTTCTGCGGAATCTGAACATGGAAGGAAAGTGAAGTGAAGATCTAGGAAAGCCTGAACAGCTGAGAACATGCAACATAGACTCCTCCAGTACAGTCACTGCCCTCTTTTTTGAATCCACATTTTATCCCTCACACTTTCAGCAGCCTCATAAAAGAGCCTCTTTCTGCCTACTGTGGTGCTATTTACTACAGTCCTGTGCCACCAACCAAAGAATACTAGCAGTCCCAAACCAATAATCAACCATAACTTCCTTGTGCAAGTTCTACAAGGGAGCAGAGGGGTTTGGAAACAATAGTAAAACAAGATGCATTAGTATGTCAAGATGGTAGGACAGGTAACATGATGGCTAAGCCTACAGCAAGAAGGCTAGGTTGCTGGGAAGGTCATAGCATGACCAATTTTTAAGTATTGAGGACCGATGGCACTACCAAAGATACTGGATTGCCACTTTAAACCTTGCACGCAGCAAGAATGTACTCTTCAGCCTATTAAAAAAAACAAAAACGTAGTTTTAGCAGCTTTCCCTGGCTTTAACAAAAATAAGAATGCCTAAGGGAATTGTTCTCTTTTGCACATCTAAGGAACTATATGTCTGCGAGACAGCATAATTCTGATTATGATGTAAAGAATGTAAACAATACCTCATTTCCTCCCAAAGGCCACAATCCTACACATACTTACCCAGGAGTACATCCCACTGAACATAGTGGGGCTTGCTTCTGAGAAGAAGAAGAAATGCCCAGGACTGCACTGAAAGTGTTTTCTCACTCTACACCAAATAAATAGATGTCTAAGGCAGAACAAAATAGCACTTTAGTACCAAGAACCAGCCTGTGGACTTAGACGATTAAGACATACAAGCTGCAGTGGCGTAGCGTGGGGGGTGCAGGGGGGGGGCCGGCCGCACCGGGTGCAACATCTGGGGGTTAGGGTTAGGGGGCGCAAATCCACGGGTTAGGGGGTGCAAATTACTTGCCTTGCCCAGGGTGCTGACAACCCACGCTACGCACTGACAAGCTGTGCAGGATATGGATGCCAAAGAATGGGGAAATGCAGTTGCTCCATCATCTGAAGGTGCTTTCTTTATGCACAACAAATTAGCTTTGTAAAACGTTTCTCAGCAATTAATATAACCAAAGGACAGACTCCATAATTGTGTCAGAAATTTGATTCCTGTTTGAAGTTCAATTTATTTATGCTAAAGATTGAAATATGTTAAAATATTTTTAATGCAATTTTAACATAGTATGTATTTAGGTAGTACTTTGGAAACCTATTTTTCAAAATATTTAGTTAAATATGCAATACTTGCAATCTAATATCTATACTGGGAAGAGAGCAATACGTTTGGCAATAGACCAAAATGAAGGGTTGGGGTACTGCAGACCATAATGGGAACAACCCACCAAGCATGGCCACCCCACAACCACAATACAATTCTGATTAAAATGGGTAAAGAGCAGCAGTATTTGGTGGACGGCTCATAGTTTGCAAGATTAATTTTAAGCCTTTCTTTAGAAGGTGGATTGAAAGACATATGGTCATTTGCAACAGACACTCACATTTTAAGTAAAACAAAAACACTCACATTAGAAACTGACTTTATCCTTCCACCTGCACAGAATTTTCAGCTATCAAATCTAAAGCATTTTACAATAAACATTCATAGTTTCTTTTGTCACATGAGATGTTGTACAACAAAAGAAGTGCACTTGTATGTATGCTGTTCAACTGGACAGACACCAACACCTGATATGTAGGGGGAGGGAGGTTTCCAATTAACAAAATTACATCCTAGGGAAAGCAACAGCAACCCTTTGTTTCGTTCTGGTTTTTAAAGTGTTCTGTACAAACTGTCTTTAAAACACGCTTTAACATAACTGCACAATGTTTTGCTCTGGAGAAGTGCAATACATTGTACTCCTCATTACACTAAAAATACATTAAATAAAATCCAACCAATTTCAGTTACCTTTGGTAAAACACACTGGATCAAAGGCAGGAAGGAAACAAATAATTTTAAAAATGAAGTCTTTTTCACAGAACACACTGCTTACAGGTCTCAGTCAGCTTTCCTCAACCACTTCTATATAGGAGTCCCTTAAGTACGGTATGTACACGATTCCATTCTGCCACCTTTGCGGTGAAATCTTATGCAACATGCATGTGGTTAGCTGCCCATTCAACCAACTGCAACCCCCTGAGAATTTTTCTGGTCCGGCAGAAAAAGGAAAGGTAAAACTCTCTTCTGTACAGCTGGCCTTTTGGATCGCAAATTTTGGTTTTCCTTGATGTTTCTTGGATACGCATCCACACACTTCACTCATGCTTCCCTATTAACCCACATGCAAGTTTCTCCATATTGTCAACTTGATGTTCACGTCCCAGTTAAAAACAAAATGTCATCCATCTAAAGGTTTTCCCAGATAAACTAACGTCACTTCAGTGTTTCCATAGACAGCAGACACTGCTGGATACAGACATGTCTTTGGCAGTCCTCGGAATGCAACTCCTAGAAACTCATAGCCTCGCTCAAAAGCCAAAGTCTTGTCTTCCATGTCCAGGATGACACGAATTCTCTCACCTATCTGTAAACAAAAATAAGACTGATTGAAGAAAGGGGATAATGAAAAAGACAAGACAAAGTGAAGGTAAACAGATGCTGAGGCAAAATAACTGGGGGGGGATTAATTGAAACAATTAACATACAGAAAAGCCCTTTGAAGACATTTTCTGCTGATCAATGATAAAGCTAAGAGTCAGTCATGGGGCTTTGAACAACTACACTGGTTAAACAGATATTCTTCATTTTGATGCATGCCTTGCTGAATTCAACTTGGCTAATTCCCAAGTTAGTGAGGTTAGGGAGGAAGCCTCACCAGGGAGTAAGCCCCACTGAACAGATTGGGACCTATTTCCAAGGAAATGTAAACAGAATTGTGCCTAAAACAGAATGAGCACGTGAGAGTATATGTGGTGGGGAGGGATGCTTGAAAACCCACCAATAAGGAGAAAGGGAGCTGGGCGCCAAATTTCCAGATGTTTGAGGTTGCACCTTTTGATTGGTGGACCGGCATGGCAACATGGAGAGGGAGGTGTGGCTTGGTGCCAGCAAAGGAACAACGATAGTGATGGCAGAGAGAGACAGAGCAGAGCCGCCAGGCCAGAGGGAGGCCGCAACACAGCCCAGGCTCAGCAGAGGCATGGTGTGCAGCCAGCCAGCAGGAGGGATGTGGCGGGGCCTCTCTGCCCAGCACTCTATGAGACTGGTGGGCTGCCCCTTGTCATGGAAGCTTTACTGCTGCCCTGTTTGACAGATGGGGAGGGGGTGGCTGCCTGCCAGGGACTGCAAGGAGTCTGGCTACATTACTCTTAGGGGTCCCCTTCCAGCTCTACAGATCCTTCCCCCCCCCCAGTCAACAACCAGCCTGAAGAGGCTGTGTGGGGGCGGGGGGCGGGAAGCAGGATAGATGGTGGTGGCTGTGGTGACTGGCTGGCAGTTGAGGAGAATGAGGCAGCTGTTGCCTGCCCTGCCACCCCACCTTCTCCTCCATGGGCTGCATTTATTTAATGGCTTCACAAGAGGCTCTAATCATTTTGACTAGAAGTCTTCTAAAATTATTTTATTTTGATTTATATCCTACCTTTTTATCCTGACAGGGACTCAATCTATCAATTGTGTATTTAATTATATATATTCAATTAAATATATTAATTGCTTACATTAAATATATTAACTATATTGTGTACTGTTTAATTTACAATATGGAAATTTAATTCAGTGTGTGGCCCACGGGTTCTGTGTCAAAGTGGTATTGAGGAGCACTTGGTCTAAGTGGTTGGACCGCCCTGGCATAGCTCTTCACAGATCCAACAGTCTTGTACACATTCCAGGTTTCACTCACTTGATATTTGGGGGCATTGTTGCACTGGGGGAAGCTGCCATTGACCTCTCCATTATGTAACAAGTTATTGTCCACCAAATTCCAGCCCCAGCTCTGGTCATCACTGCCCAGGAGTGCCACGTAGCCCTGACACTGCATGGGAGCTCGTTTTGTAGCGATCCCAATTACTGCCACTGTGCCAAGAGGGCCTTCCCACCAGACTTCCCAAGCATGACGGCCTTCACTGAAACCAATCTTGGTCCTTGCTCCATCTGTACTCTGTGCAATGGGATTCCGATGCAAAGTAAATCCATTCTTCTTAATGTAGACATTCCTAGAACAATCATTGGTGCTGAAAGCATGCTGAAAGGCGCGTACCTGGAACAGAAGGTATTTTTTGAAAAAGCAATGCTGGAGATAAGATTACTAAACTAGGCAAGGCTATTAAGACAGCAACAACAACAACTCTACACACCTATTCTTAATAAGGTATGATAAACCCAAATAGATGTATAATTAACCCATCTGTAAAAGAATGCCACCCAGAATAAGAACACGCTGTGATTTCACAACCTCAGTCCTCACCACCTGCCCAGCTGGGCTAGAACTGGCTACCTGGCTCAACATAGAAAAACAGGCCTGCCAAGGTCTTTTGAAAACAGAGCAAGAAGGAGAAAAGCATCGTTTAAACAGCAGCTATTCCAGGCTTGCTGGAGGAAGGCATCAACCCCCCCCCCAGGGGGGTCCTCAATCCAGTTCCCAATATGGTGCCCTATTGAGCACTATACCTTTCTGCAGTTCCTACCATGCAAAGCATCTGGGCCATAGGCAGCAGCTGCAAAGAGGAACCACATCTAAACAACATGTACTCAATGAGTGTTTCCACCAACACTGGTATGCATATATACATGTGCAATTGGGGAGGGGGGATGACAACAGATGCAGTTTGCATTTTACTGGAGCTAGGAAACAGCCCAGAATCGGTGCCAGAGTTCTGCCTTGGAACAAAGTAATCAGCAGCCAGTGCTTTTGAGCATGTGCGTTAGTGCCTCTCTCTCCCTCTCTCTCACAACACGGAACAATTTCCTCTCCTCCCCGCACATCTGGGTTTAAGAAGAAAGAGGTCCTGCTCACAAAACACAGGAGACGAGACCCCCGGCACCTCCAGTATCTTATCTCGTGCAAGGGATGTAAGGGCAGAAAAAGGTACCCAGATTATATATACTGTACATATTTCGTCCTGGGTTCCCTCGCGCGCGCAAAAAAGGAGGGTCGCTCCCTCCCGTGCGGGGCCATCCTGACCTTGCCCTTGTAGGTGGGCACGTTGCAGAGGATGTCGGTGCGCAGCGCCTCCTCCGCCAGGCTGCGAGCGGCCAGGCTCCGCCACACCTCGCTGTTCTCGTCGCCGTGCAGGACGCGGCACCACAGCTTGCACACCAGCGCGCAGCTCCGGAGCTCCCGCAGCTCCAGGTAGGAGAAGACGAACTCGAGCACCCGCCCGGGAAGCCGCCAGCCCCCCGCATTAGCAGCCGTAGCGGCGGCGGCGGCAGCAGCAACAGCCACCGAGCTCGGCGTTCCTCCTACGCCGCCGCCGCCTCCTCCGCCGGCAGCCGCCGCCATAGCCTCCGGGCGACCACCGAGTCCTCGCGTCCCGCGGCGCACGCCTCGCCAACCGACCGCCCCGGCCCAGGCAAAGGCGGTGCGAGGCCGCGAGCCCACCAAGCAGCCAACCGGCCAATCCGGCTCACGCCGTCAGCGAGGGCAGGGAGGGAGGCGGCGCAGCCGACGCTCGACGTCCTTCCCACCAGCTGCCGGCAAGTGCGGGCGGAAGTGAAAGCTTTAGCCTGGGCCTGAGGAGGCGTCGGAGAACGTGCCGTCTTTCCCCCCTCCACTGCCTCTTCGGTTCGCGGTTGGAGGAGCGGTGAGACGAATCTAGGTTTCCTGCCGCGGGTCTCTCCGACTGCGGAGCTTTTGTTCGCTTTTTGTTACTACTATTGTGGCGGCGGTGGTTGAGAGCTAGGCCCTGAAGGTGAGCCGACCATGTTGGGTGAGGGCAGAGCTGTCAAGGGGGCTTCTCTAAATCCATGCGCGAAGACCTCACCTGTTAATGTAAAGGGGGGGGGTGATAATAATAGGGTGACGTAATTTCTCTTCGCCGGAAGAGGATACTGTCGCATGGAGAGACGGCGGGACGGGTAAGCCTGTCTGAGGTAATTCGGTTATTTTTTTTGGCCTCCTCGATACTAAAATACAGCAGTAGGGTGGCTTGGCTTGAGGCTGTCACCCTATTGCGTATTTATTTGGCAATAAGTTGGACTGAAGTGGTGTACACGGGATTAGGGCTGGATTGTAGACGTGTTTCTGACTGGTTTGGTCCTCATAGCTATGAAGAATGCTCACCCATCTCCCTGTTTTCACGGCTTTTCTTTTCCTTCCCCCACCCTTCGCCGAATGTTTCTCTAGTCCGGAGTATTGTTTGAAGGCGCTTTGCCCGTCTTTCCTAGTCAGTACTGGTCTGGGCTAGTCAAATGCCAACCACTTCTCTGCCTCCACTTGACTCCCTTGTGGTGATTAATGCTCGTCTGTTAATCCGTATAGAATGTTCCTAAGCATATTTATGAAGAGTAATAATAATAATAATAATAATAATAATTTATTACTTATACCCTGCCCATCTGGCTGGGTTTCCCCAGACACTTGGGCGGCTCCCAACAGAATATTAAACAGAATAAAACTTCAAACATTAACAACTTCCCTAAACAGGGCTGCCTTCAGATGTCTTCTAAAAGTCAGATAGTTGTTTATTTCCTTGACATCTGGTGGGAGGGCATTTCACAGGGTGGGCGCCACCACCGAGAAGGCCCTCTACCTGGTTCCCTGTAATCTCACTTCTTGCAGTGAGGGAGCCGCCAGAAGGCCATCGGCACTGGACCTTAGTGTCCAGGCCGAATGATGGGGGTGGAGACACTCCTTCAGGTATACTGGGTCATTTCCAGGGAGCTAAATACATACTAAGGAATACCATTTATTTTCAAAGACTTTCTTTCAAAGAACAGACATACTGAGCTTTGTTTTCCAAATGTCATGCTAGGAACTTACTGTCAGTGATTTACTTTTCCTCGATCCTATTTTGCCATTCAGATTTCTGACTGCAGTTCTCTGTTAGTGCTATATGACCATAAGGTATATAGGCGTATTCATCATGGGTACATTAGTAAACCAGACAAACTGTTGCAGGCACCACTTACCGTATTTTTCGTCCCATAGGACGCACCTAGTTTTTTTGGGGGGAAATAAAGGAAAAAAGGGCTGCCTAGACTGTGGATGTCTTCCCGAAGCGCCGGGTGCTCTGCTTTCGGGGCGCCGGGCGCTCCAGGAAGCAGGCTGCTATCCTCAGGGCTGCCTAGGCTGCGGATGTGTTCCCGAAGCGCCGGGCGCTCTGCTTTCAGCGCGCCCAGCGCTCCGGGAAGCAGGCTGCGGATGTCTTCCTGAAGCCTGGAGAGCGAGAGGGGTCGGTGCGCACCGACCCCTCTTGCTCTCCAAGCTTCAGCGAAAGCCTGCATTCGCCCCATAGGACGCACCCAGATTTCCCCTTCATTTTTGGAGGGGAATAAGTGCGTCCTATGGGGCGAAAAATATGGTATGCTTGGTTGTGGTGCTCATATCACAGTGTATTCTGTTGACTACTGCAGAATGTTCCTTTCAATCCCTTATTTCAGTAGGAAAAGGGGATTCTGTGGTGCCAGGGAAGGCATCTGTGATTTCATGTGCACTAGCAGATGCCACGTTGGCAAGCTTTGCTATAAACTGAGGAGAACAGAGGTGTATATTGCATGCCTAAACACATGGCCTCTCATTTAAACAAAATCAGACTGATACTTACAAGTTGTTTTGGTTCCAGGATTATAAATTATGGTTTCAAAGGTGGCATTAAAACATACATTCTGTCCATGCAATGAAGTGATGCATCCTGTGACTTTTGAGGAATCAGCTATACCAGAAACAACTTCTATCTTGCTAATCATGTGTTTGTGTTTTTCAGACTCTCCTACTATGGCGGAGAAGTGGGCCAATGGACACTCTTCTTCAATATTATGTTTGAACGTGAACAAAGATGGTCTGTTAGCTTCAGGAGCAGAAGGAGGGGAGCTAACCATCTGGAGTGAGGAAGGGACTCCATTAGAGCACACACTTCTCCAGAAATCTGATGATGTCACCAGTGTTGTGTTTTCTCCCACCTGTTCCAAAAGACTATATGCTTCTCATGGAGAGACTGTTAGCATTTTGGATACTAGGTGTCTCAAAGAGCCAGTTGAACATTTCCATGTAAATGATGAAGAGATCAATTGTCTTTCAGTAAATGAAACAGATAGTTTATTAGGTGCTGCCGATGATTCTGGAGTAATAAAGATAATTGATCTGGAAAGCAAGAAGTTAAGCCGCTGCCTTAGACGACACTCAAATATTTGTGCATCAGTTGTGTTTCGTCCTCAAAGACCTCAAAGCCTTCTTTCATGTGGTCTGGATATGAAGGTGATTAGCATAAAATGAAAGCTTCCTGTAGGGCACACACCAGCAATGATCTTTGATACATGTTTCTTTCCTCTCCTACTATATGTTAATTTGGCTATGAGCCTCCTGTGGCATTAGATGAAGTAATTCTCCTATATATGTATTGATCAGGAATTAAGATAGTCCCTTGTGAAAGACAGTATGAGTGCCAGCCAAGGTAAAACAAGCAGGCAAGATAAAAAGGAATCATTCTTGAAATGTTGGCTTCCAGTGAATGGCTAAATCAAATGCTGAAGTAGTTTAACGGAGGGGACAAATTAAGTAATAAAGAATACAACTGAGGGTGAGCAAAGTGCCCTTATGCCACTGAGTATAGACCAAATCCCAAATTATTGGGTTTTTATGCTATGTTGAGCCCTGGCATTTCTCTTTATAGAGATATCCAGGTTCATCGTCTTAAATTTCTGCTGTGTGAGAAATTCTTAAAGTTAGTGTGGTGATTAAACTTCTTTATTATGCATGTAGGGAAGTAAAAAGGCAACAATATTATGGCTATACAGGCTCAAATCGGATATTGTGTTTCCAATCTTCAAACAGTGACTTAGAGATTGGGAATGTGTTGCAGGCTGTCATGGTCCCTGCTTCCCTATTATGCATAGATTCCCCTCTCTTTTCCACAATTTGTGGTATTCATTATATTCAGATTCAGCAAACTAAGATCAGCACTCACAGGGCATCTCCTCCAAAACATGGTTTGAAGCAGGTTGGCACACAGTGTTGGGAGGCACATCTGGTAGTGCTAACCTGTATTTTGTTAGATTCTGATATTGTTTTAAACCATAGTTATCACAAGAAAGGAGGTGAGAAATTTGCAGTTGAAGAAACGTGAGCCTGTGGCATATTCCCTATCTTCAAATTAATGACCTGAAATGTGATGGTTGATGAACCAGGGAGTCCTGCATCACACAAGCAATTTATGATGCAATTTGAACCATGTCTACTCAGAAATAAGTTCTGTGGAATTCAAAGGGACTTACAGATAAGTGAGATAAGGATTGCAGTCTAGTTTGGTTTTTGCACAAGCCGATTCTATTTTAACCAACACTCATCTATAATAAAAGCAGTATTAAACTATTTTAAATGAATAATGGTATACATCTTTCAGTTCTTAGTTTCTATAATGAGGCTTCTGATTTAAGAAAGAAATAGTTTTTGCTCAGTTCTTGGTTACTGGTCGTTGTAATTAATACAACATAGAGGTCTGGGTGTTGTCACAGGAGTGCTGTTTTCACAGCTTAGATAATGCAACATTTTGAGAACCCCTGTTTCTTTGGCACAAGGTAATTTGTTCAGCTTCGTAGATGGATTTAATAAACGTAGTAAAAGTACTCTTAAGAAATCTTTTGTGCAATTTGTTTAAAGCTTCTCAAAGCTTAACAATGAAAAATGCTACTATATAAATGATAGTAAACTTTTTTTCACTCGATTTATAGACGCAGGGAAGCATCACTTGGTGACAGCTACCTCAATTTATGACTCTGGGAATAGAACAACATAAAGGAAACTTAAAACTGTGTGCTAATAGGAACATGAACTCATTTAGTGTGTACTAGTATATGCCCTATACAAAGAAATAATTCTGATTTGTTCTATTTGAAGGTTATGATGTGGAACTTGCAGAAAGCTCGCCCTCTGTGGATTGTGGACTTGCAAGAGGAGGAAGTCAATGAACATTCGACTGGTCAGCTTTTTAACCCTCCATTGGCCCATTCCTTGTCTGTTTCTGCTTGTGGCAATGTTTTTGGCTGTGGAGCTGAAGATGGTAAAATCAGAATCTTTAGGGTAACAGGTACCAAGTTTGAGCAGGAGGCAGCATTTAAGGGCCACTCCTTAGCAGTGTCACAGATTTTCTTTCTACCAGAAGCCTACCGGTTCATTACAGGAGGAAATGATGGCCGAGTGTTGTTGTGGGATGTCAGCAATGAACTAGGAAAACAGAAGAGTCCAGTCAAATCCATCCACAGAAGGAGAACTAGGATGCCCAACACCACCAAGAAACTTGACAAAATAAATGCAGAGTGTTCAAATGAGCGTGTGGCAATTTTACCAAAACTAACGATTGAACATGGAGAGAAGGTGAACTGGATTTCATGTGCAGAGATTAAAGGCTCTAGAAGAATACTGGTTGCTGATCAGAGTACCAGTATATCAGTCTATCCTATTGCTGAAGCTTAGACATGCCTTGGCCTAACCGTTTGTCTGATACACCACCTTTATTACCCCTAATGTGTTTTAAACCAACTGCAGCTTTTCTGTATATTGCTAAAAATATTTATTTTAGCAGTGGATAAAGTTTAATTCATTGTATCAGTAATGGGATATCTTGTGATAAACCAGGTATTAACTTGCTGATGAGTTTGAAATAAAATTCAGTTGTGAATGTGTGAATAACTTTTTGACAGGAGGAAAAAATTGCATATTGGTACATGCTATTGTAAATTCCAATGCCATCAGAAGACTTTCAAAAGATCCCTTCATGCACACTTAAGCCAGCTGAACTACATCTACCCAGTATTTGGATTTGAGCTTTAATGTATAATTTATCCATGAGTATGCCTGAATTTCTCCATGGTGGATCCTAGAAGTTGTATTTTCCTCTATTGTGGTTCAAAAGCAAAAAGCTGATTCCAAGGAATCCTTGTCTTAAATTATGCAGCACAATCTAGGTTTCTTCTATGAAGAAATCAAACATGAGTTCCTAATTAATTTTTTCAACCAATTGTTACATACTGTTGCTATCATAAAATGTTATCAATATGCCCAGGTTTAGATACTTCTGCCTAGTTTATTTACATTAATATTCTTTTGCTGTTATTAAATCACAACTTACAATTTACTTTTACTACACAAACTGAAAATGTAAGTTTTAAAAGAAAAAACCGATATGCTAGTTTTTCTGCCAATAAAAGCAACTTTCCTTTTATCAGGGAAGTATTTCTTTCATAGCATAGTGATTCTTGGCTCATTCTCATCCTTTTGTTTGTAAGAGCAGAAGATGTGATTGATACTGACAACTGTATGGTACAAGGGATAGTAGCAGCATACTCTAAAATCCTGGGTTTCTTCTTGATCTTTTCATATTTATGGAGAATAAAGCTTTAACTGATAAGGCTTTTGTGAGATCTAAGCTGTGTATACAAATGGTGACTTAAACCTTTTATAAGAGCCTAATATTGTTTCTGGTCATTTTCTGTAAAGTAGGAAGTTTTGGATGATTAGAACAATAAACAAAAGTGTTAACTTTTGCTTTTGCCACAGTACCAAACTTATGGGTATGCAATTGTACTGGTATCTTAAAATGACAGGCAGGCATTGACCATGCTATTCAAATCAGCAAACTCTGGTTTAGAGGGTAAACCATGCATTTCAAGTATGGACTGCAAGAGCATAGTTTGTTGATCTGGATTATTTAGCAAACATGGAACGACAAACTGAAAATGAAGCTGTGTGCTTGAGGGGAAGAGGAGGCACACAAGCCTGCAGTTCATTTCTAAACCTCTAAGCAATGGTTTGAGGGATTGGATGAACTGAGGCATTGAATTATATAACATTTCCTGTGCCCAAAATATTTACTATTTGATATAAACTGCCATATATTCTGAGCAAATTGCTGCACAGTTTTGCAGCCACTACATATTTTTCCCTGCTCTGCTTGCTATACGAATGAATGTCTTATAGGTTAAGTAGCTGTTTCTTGGAACATATTTTGTCTTCTGGTTCTAATAACAGAATACAGAAGCCATTTGTATTCTTGTATCAGGACCAGAGGACAAATGAGATCAATGCATCTATAAATAGCTAGTTTTTTTACTTTAAAACAGATGTGTTCCTTTCACATATTTTGTGTATGCGTAGGTATAGATATGTATATGTAAAGAGGGGTGGCAATTTCTTCATACATGTTCTCTTTGTACCTGATGTGACTCATGTATATTGCTACAGATGGGTACTGGGAGCTGAGCAGCAACTTGCCATAAATGATGTAAATGAAAAGAGATGTATTTAACATGGGTGGCAACATTAATATTTTAAATACATAAAGATTGAAGCAGTAAGCTGCTGTACCTCCCACACAGCAACTCAATATGAATCTAAATAGACATAGATAGAAAATTAGTAATTTAACATGTTAGTGTAGTTTGTGTGAAAATAATTCATTTATCTTCATGTAAGCAAGAGAAACTGTCACAACTGATCCACTGTGGTTCAATAAACAACGTGCTTGTGGGCATGTGTTAATAAGCTAAACTTGGATGTCCTGGCTGGCTATAAAAAGATTTAAGTGAAAATTGACCTTCAGCACAAGTTGGAACTCCTGTTATATATTTGCTGTCTGCTGCAAAAGAGAAGCTAACCAACATTTAAACATACGATTATTTTTCTCTCCCTGAAGATGGCCAGAGAAGCTATTTCACTGTGTGCTCTGAACAAGACATTAAACAGGTTGTGAAGGGGGAACCAATTTGCTTTGTTGGGGATAGATTGTGAGAAACAGCAAAAAAATTCACACCTTATAAATTAGATGTTTATAATATTGATACTGTTTTTCTGCCTGATGAATCTCCAAGGCAGCTTACAAAAAGTGATATATAATACATTATTTTGGAAGGCAGCATTTGCTACCTTTATATAGTAACTGCCTTTGTATGTCTGGATGATGGTGGAAAATGTCTACTGTCCAAGCCTTAAATACTGTATTATTGAATGTTGTTACATATTCTTTTATTTCTAATGAAATTATAGAAATAATGAAAATATTAATGACTTGGTTTGCAGAGTTTACAGTGTTTCTTCTTTACTCTTTTAACCACCACCAGGTGTTTATTTTTGGACTGGGGCCCTGCACACATATACTGTATTTAGATATAAATGTCCATTGGTTGACATATTGGTAAATGTATTTAGGACTGAAGTTCTTGTATGTGTTACAATATGCATCAATTATCTTTGCAGTAATTTAAGGTTAGGGAATTGTTTCCATATTATATGCTGATTAAAAAGTGGTTAGCTTGTGATCAGGACTAAAACATGGCTTTCCACGTGGCTTTGATTCTGGCTTTTCTATAATAATAATATAATAATTTATTACTTATACCCTGCCCATTTGGCTGGGTGACTTCCAACAAGAGATTAAAAATACATTAAAACACCAGTCATTAAAAATCAAATTAAGAATCAAATTAAGTTGGAATGCACTTGCATGCTCACTATGTTATACATAAGACTTTGTAAGTTTTGGACCCGCATCTCTGGAATGTCCCTATTGCGCTACCATTTGAAGAGTACCATCTAATGTTGATTTGCTGTACCCAATGCTATTTTTCTAGAAAAATTGGTGCTCAGCATGAATGCCTCCCTTGTTCTCTTATAATGGCAATGGCGCCTACCTGAGAGGTGGTGGAACTGAGTTCCAATGAGTTCTGGCTGGGGAGAAAAAATACCTGGTTATACCCCAAACAATGAATAAAATTCTAGTTCTTAAAGGGTCTGTGAATAAATGAAAAATATGTGATGCCAAAAACTAACTCCCTTTCAAAGGGACCTTCTGATGTTAAGATACCCATGAAATATTTGATCACTTGAAACTGAAGAGTATGTCCTTTATTCTCCATTAAATCTATGTATAAAAGGCAGTGAATAAAAACTCGGTTGTGTACACAATGGTGTACATATTTGCTTGAAAATAAGTGTACGTGAGCTCAGTATGATTTGCTCCCAGATAAGCACGCATAGCATTGTAGATTTAATATTGCTTGGTTATCATCTTGCTTTGTCATAAGTTCAGTTTTTCGCAGTGGCAGCAGCCATAATGCAATACTGTACAGAGTTTAACATGCTTCCTGATTCAGAAAGAGTATTGCTACATAGCCATATGCTGATTAAATTCATCAAGTGATTACAATCAACCTGTAGATATGAGTCTTGGGATATGCTACAGAAGTGGAGACTCCTGACTAACTTGTTCTGACTTTTAATAACTTCTTCTGGCTTTTAAATCGTAACAGAGTGGAGAACAAGCTGCAGGCTTTAGAGGGTCAGTTTACAGTGCTAGACTCTAGCATTCAGAAATTAACAGAGAAGTTTGAGTTTCGGACTGCAGTAATGGAGCATCAGTTCGACCAGGATGAAATGTGGTCATCACTGCTAGAAGACAGGTGAGAAAGAAAAATCAAGGGCAAAAAATCTAATAAACGTTTTAATAATATTAACTTGGCTGTAAAGTGCCTGATAATGGTATCATAAGATTGTAACCATCATTTGATAGGTTTGACAACTGAGTAACACATGAACATGTAGTGATTGATGATTTTAATTTATAATGATGGAATATTGGAGAGAAATAATTCTATTGAGGACTTCTGAATAAATTTTGAAAACTTTCCAAGTTTATGTCCAAAATGTAAACCTAAATGCTGACTTAGCCTTAGTTTTAGGGAATTACTTCAAATAAACATTTTAGGATTGGGCTTAATTATCACAAACATGGTTTCTTTTGGCTCGAATTAAATTTCCACTGGTTCAATAAAATACACACCTTAAGAAGTGTGGTCAGGATTGTAGCTTTATAAAATCTCCTGTTACCTAAATAGCAATAAATCCTGGTCCTGTTGACTTTAATTATTTGAAAAATGGGTTATATTTCTATATCTTCTTGCAGATTCTCTTCTGTGGAGGTAAATCTTTTCTACAGCTACATTTGTGAAACTATTTGCTGCTTACATTCTGAAGTGGTAGAAATGCTACCAGATCTGGCAAAAGCCCTTCCTACTCTGTCATCTGTTCTGAGACGAAAAGGCAGAAACCAAAGAATTAGGCTGGCCTGGGAGTCTGTACTGGAGAAACTGGGGCTGCAAGAAGGAGATGTTAAAGCCCTCTGTGCATTTTTCATTACAAATTGTCACAATGCCTGCTACTATCCTGCTGATCAAAGGCAAGATTATGCCAATGACATCAGCTCTATTATAAACAACGTGGTGAAGAACCCGCTGCTTCAGCGAAGTCTGCTGTCTGCTATTCGCGTAGTGGAATACAGAAAAAAATGAACACGCTTGCAAAGAACAAGAGACACACCCTAAAGGATTATAACCTAGAAACAAATTGTCTCCAAAACTGCTTATAACTGCAAAGTCCTTAGTAGCTTTATGCAAGACTTCCTCTCAGTCTTTACCCCATCTTTAACAGAAAAAAGTTCCACTGTACTGGTCTAATCCACAGAGAAGTTGTACTGATTATGAAGATTGCATATGTGAAGCATGACTAAAGCTATGCATTATTATTACTACTAATATTAACTCCCATTTTGCTCCTATCTTTTGAAATCTATCACCCAGATCCTACAGTAGAGTATAATCTTGAAGTTCCCCTTTTTTGGTTTCTCACTTGAAATACAGGCCCCATTCTTGAGAGGCAGGCATAATTGCATATATCACAAACATATGTCTTGGTGTGAGTGTAATGTACATATTTGCTGGGTCCTGCTGCATACTTCAGGGAGTGCCTGCTCCCAATTTGTTGATCACAGTAAAAAAGTGGGGTATAAAGAGGAAGTCCTCCTCAGGTGATTTTTTAAATGCATACTTACAGTATTTACTTGCAACCTCAAGTGCACTAAGCCATCTATGATTGGCCATGATTAGCTTGACTTTTGTTCATTATGTATACCCACATAGTTCCTATGCTTTCTTTTGCCATTTAGAAACATAGCTGCATGTTATTATCTTCTTCTCTGTTACCAATGTGGTTAAAAGTTAGTCACCATGTCTTATTCAGCCCCATTTAAAAGCAAATTGACACCAGAGCACACTCTAATATGTACTGTTTGCACCTGATGAAATCACAAACTGCTCAATAAAGTGATTCATAGTTTAAAGAAAATATTATGCACACTCATGTCTAATAGCTGGGCTGCAACACTTCATTATTAGCCATTTTCAGTGTCCTCTTCGTCAGCAGAAACTACTCAAGTTTTGTTTGGAGCATAAAATGGGTAAGGGGTAATCTATGAAACACACCTAGGGGCATACCTTTACATATCCATTTATATATGCGGCCCCATAACATAACATTCTCTATGGGTTAGAATAATATAACTGAAATATATCAATTTTAAAAACTAAGGGAAAAAATGGAGAGGGGAAATTATGACAACATGGCTTCCCACATGGCTTCCCAACATGGCATGCCCCTGAAAAGCCCATTTCCTCCTGCTCATACAGCTCTAATTAGACTGCATAATAATTTAAAAGAGCAGAAACGTATTCAGTTGGCACCAAAACACCCACTGAGATGGCTTCAAGTTGGTCTCTCTGAGAAAAGCATTCCATAGCTAGGCACTACTACTGAAAAGCAATTTTCTTCACCAGGGCTGGCCCATGCACAAGGCAAGGTGAGGCAACTGCCTCAGGTGGCAGGATCTAGAGAAGCAGCAAATCCTGTTGATTTTTCTTCCCTCTCTCGCTCCTGATGTAGATCTTCTCTCACCTTTTCTTTCCTGGTGGGTAGTGGAGTGCTATTTTGGGGTACACTTCAGGTGCCAAAATGTTTTGGGCCAGCCTGGGTGGAGGCACCCACAGTATGCCTTTGAGTAAGCTCTGTGTCCATTTCCATTACAGAAAGCACTCTTTCAGGTAAGCTGGTCCCAAGTCGCTTATTGCATTTAGACACCACTCCCCCACCCCCAGGACCTTATGGTCCTCCAACCTCCTCTTAAGCTAAAAACGGTTGTCAAAATATAATTAACTGCAATCTTAAAAAGCAAATAACGGTTGGTTCGTTTTCTAAAGTCGTTGCCTTTATACCAATAAAGGCAGGTTATACCTATACCAATTGTATAAACACTATGGGGGGGGGGGGACAAAACACTTGAGCATAAACCCAAAAAGATCTCAAAGTGAGTACAGCAATCTTGCAATTATTAGTGTTTCATTATTTTATACATTGTGGCTCAATAGAACGCTTTCCCCCACCATAGTACTCAAAAGCCTACGGTGCTGCGAATCAAACAGCACACACCCGCACTGGCCCTCCCCGCACCAGTTGCAAGTATTGCAACCCGATTATTCCACGCTCGAAGCCTGCGGCAGGGCTAGCGCAGAGGCAGAAAGGGGCGGGATTCCCCTTCACGCGCTTGTAGGCGTGGCTGTACAGGAGTCCGTTGGGACGCATGCGCGCGTCGTCTGGGCGCGCTGAGGCAGGTTAGACGCCTCTCCCGCTCCCTCGCCCTTTCTCGGAATAAAAGCTAGCCGTTGGGCGGGCTCTCTCGCGCACGCGCGTGGGAGGGGAGGGGGGGGAAGTGGCGGGTCAGAATTCCGAGACAGGCGGACAACGAATCGCCGGGCTCGCGCGCGGTTTCCTCTTCCGGGGTCTCCATTTTGGCGCCTAGCAACGGGAAGTCAAGCCTCGGAACGGTGAATCGGTTCTGGAAGCCCCGCGGCCTCAGGCTCCGCTTAGTTCCCACTTGTCAGCCGGGGCCCCGTGAGGCGAATGTTTCCTAGGCCTCTGGCCTAGAAATGTGGGGCGGACGTCGAGAGGCTTCTTGGCCTTCGCTCCTGACAGTGGGGAAGCTGAAGAACTTTTCTCCAAGTGTGTGAGGAGAAGAGGAGGAGGACGAGGAGAACCAACAGCAGTCACAGTAGGACTCGCAGCCCGCACTTTCCCGTGTTTATTCACTGAAATGTTCGTGGAAGGGAATTGAGCACACATATCTCTGGCCAAACTTCCTGTTGTGCGCGCACACACCTGTAGTCTTCGGGCAAAAAAAAATCTTATTAAAACAAGTTGGGAACCAGAAAACGGTGCATGTAGGTGAGTTTCAGGTTAAATGCGAATAGGATTCTTAGTGGTTTGACTCGACATACCTTGAGTAAGCTTTTGTTTATGGGAGTGGTCTCTCACGGTCAGCCCCGCCCCATTTTTCTGTTTAGAAATTATCAGTGCTTTTTGAATTGACCTATGTTCCTGCACCAGTATGCTATATCTGTGCACATTGTTTTGTAAAGCCATTTTTGTATCTAAATTGGCAAGCAGCTTTTAATAAAAACCTGCCTACTTATATCTTAAACAGCATGATGCCTACTTGTAATGAAAATACTGTTTTATGCAATGTAAATGCATGTAACTACAGTACTCAGAAGATTGCACTGACTGCCCATATGCTACCAGTCCAGGTTCAAGGATTTTGTATTAATTTACAAGGCTTTTAGCAACTTGGACCTGGGATATCTCAGGGACTGACTGATCCTTTATATTCCTAATCATTGGGGCCGTCAAAGGAGTTGCTGTTAACACACACCACTGCCCCATGGCTCAGATACATGGTTTGTACCCACAAAGAGCCTTACTGTCAGTATTTTGGGCCCCCTCCCTGGTGATCTTCTCGTGCTTACTGAAGATGTTTTTTTATTGCAACAAACTTTTTTAATGAATTCTGATTCTATAGCGTTCATTTATTTTTCATCTTATTGGACCTCCTGTACACTGATTAGAGATGACTATGACTAAGTGTTAAACAAATTGTTGAAATTAACAATAATACTAAGCAGGGTTCTTACTAGAATTTTGAGCTTCACAGGCACATGTAAAAGCAGCTGCAGGTTTCTCTTTGGACTGGAAAGTGGTATTTCAATTCATTTCAACCACTTTCAGTTAGTAAAACATGAATACATGCTTGTTTTCATCCCATTTAACAAGTGAAGATAAGGACTTCTGCTGTATTCCTCCATATACATACATAGAGAAGACTGAAGCCAATAAGGCTAGTTGGTTGTTTTGACACTGACCACATGTAAAGCTGAGCCACAATTCTTTAGCAAAACTAAACTTGGTAGAAGTCCTCCTCTTGCCCAGTTGTAAAGAGAGGGGAACATGCAAGCCTAGTACTTCTAATACCTCAAGCTGTAAATTGGCAGAGGATATCCTAAAATAAAGCAAAGCACAGGCTCTTGAATGAATACCGAATATGTTGATGCAGGCTCATAGTTGATAGGACTGCTCTATGTAAAACTTAAACAGCAGGGGTCGGCAAACTAAGGCCCCTGGGCCGGATCAGGCCCACCTGGCTCCTAGATCGGGCCAGAGCCGTGAAGCCGGAACCCGCTGCGAAGCCGAGACTCCCGGCGATGGCGACGGAAGCGGCTGAGCGGCAGCAGCTCTGCCAATCAAACGCCGCATTTACCTCAGCTGCATTTGATTGGCAGCGCCGCCGCCGCTCGGCCTCTTCCTCCTGCTGGTGCTCCTGTGAGCCAGAGCGGATGAGCTTGCTCTGCCTATCCGCTTCATGAGAAGTGGTGGTGACAGCGGCGGCAGCCCCTGGGAAGGTAAGCACAGCGCCTTCTTTCTCTAGGTGGGGAGGAAGCCCGTTTCGCGCCACCACTGCCAGCCCTTGGGCGAATGAGGCAGGCGGCAAACTGAGAAGGCAGCTGGGGCTGGGAGGAGGACTACTTGCCCCTCTCGCAGTGTGCATAGGAATTCGTTTTATAGATAGATAGATAGATAGATAGTCTGGCCTTCCACAAGGTGTGAGGGACAGTGGACGGCTCCCTGTGGAAAAAGTTTGCTGACCCCTGTTATACAGTGTGCACAGCAAACATACACCATTGGAAAAGGTGTGATTAAAAAGGTTAGATCAGAGAAGGATGTTGAGAACATTGTAAGGTAAAGAGTCAAATAGCTGAGCCAATACTGATAACTTTCTGCAGTTTTGATGATTCTAAGTAGATGCTGTGTCATGGTTTCAGATGCTGATGATGCACTAGTCACCTTCCCTTAGACAGCATGTCGAAGAAATCGGAGGCTCCACTGTCCTTATCTGACTGTCGCTGTAATATCTGCATGGAGATTTTACTGGAACCAGTCACACTGCCATGCAACCACACTCTCTGCAACTCCTGTTTTCAGCTTACAGTGGAAAAGAGCAGCCTGTACTGCCCTTTCTGTCGTCGGCGAGTCTCTTCTTGGGCACGATATAATGCCCGCAATAACACTCTTATTAATTTGGAATTATGGGAAAAGATTCAAAAACATTTTCCAGAAGAATGCCAACGCAGAATTAGTGGACAGGATGTGGAAGAAGATAGTGAGTAAACCTGGCATATATGGCCTTATAAATATGTTATAAATGTTTAAAAGGTTAGAATAATGCTTTTGGGAACACAGTAAATTAAGTATCCAGGCATCCACCTTGTGGTCTGGAGAAAGTAAAGATTTCCTCCAGGTGGCGAGACAATGACACATTTGAAAGCTCAAAAAGGACTGCTTTGTTGGGGAATGTTTTTTAAGGCATTGGCATGCCTACAGTGTGGATAGTGGACAGGTGGATAGTAAAACATTTGTGGGTACCAGCATTTCCTGGTTTATTTGCAAGGCTGAAGTAATAGAATATGGAAAAGTAACCATTGCTGAAAGTGAGCACTACAGAATTGGAATAGTCTTGTCTACATGAATGGGTTTGAAACCTCTGGGCCAGAATTTAGTTTTACACTAAGAGCTTGTCCTAGCCCAGTGAAATAATAATAATAAAAAGTTTCCTTTGACCTTTAGCCAAATTATTATTATTTTTTAATCTTCTATTTCAGTAGCATTTAAAGCCCTTTTAGATTCATAGAACTAGTTGTGTAGTTGTTTGGAACTTAGTTCAAGAATTTGTCCATTACTAAAGAAGTCAAATCAAAGAGTGCAAGGGCTGAAACAAACAATTGCAGTTTCTTTTGAAAAACTTTGAAGCCTTCTTTTACTTATTTATATTGGAGGTTTACTTAATCCTTTAGTGCCAAGGAAGTCAGAAACTGTCAGTGACAGAACAGCACTTAAGTGATCAACTACATTTTGATGTGACTTTAGAAGTGTATTCTGTCATATAGTACTGAGATTAAATTGGAACTTGATGTTTCTTTATAGGAAAACTACAGTCCTTAATTGGTTCATTAATAACTATATTTCTCAAATCTTTTCTGGATAGTGTGCCTACATCAGCCAGTGCGCTGTTTAAGTAAACCTGGAGAATTAAGACAGGAGTATGAAGAAGAGATAAGCAAGGTAAATCTTTAAAGCTGTTTTCACAAAAAAAAACCCACAAAAGCTGCAGTCAAAAGAAAAAGCTTTTGGCTAAGGTATTCAGTCTCTAAACTGCAAGAAAAAGTCAGAAATAAGTTATGATAAACTCTTACTTCAGGCAGAAGCAGAACGACTGGCTCATGAAGAAGAAGCAAGCAATGCAAGCAAAGAGTATATTCAAAGGCTATTGGCAGAAGAGGAAGAAGAACAGAGGCTAGCAGAAGAAAGGAAAAAACAGATGGAAGAACAATTACTACTAGATGAAATATTGGCACGGAAACTAAGTTGCGATCTGGTAAGTAGCAGCTTGATGGTAGATAACTCAGTTCAATTAAATTCTCAGGACAGAATACGCCCCATCAGTTGAAGTCCTGCATAAGGGCTTTCACTTATGCAGTGAGGCATCCCCGCCTGCCCCCAGTGCCTCCTGGCTTAGAGGGGATCAAAAGAATACCCCAGAACAGTGCACAGAGCAAAGAGAGGGGAAGATTGTTCCATTTGGCAAGCTATAATGCTTGTGCAGACGGGATGTTCCAAAAAGTGTGACTTAGAATACCATCAATTTATTTTCTCAAGCCTTAAAATTTGAAGGTACATACCAGGCACCTTTTCAATGTTACTTATCTAAAGAACCTATATATGCCCCAAGATGGGGCTCATCAGCATGGGAAGGCAGCCCATCTAGGAGAGGGGAAACTGATCCTAAACCTCTGCTGCCTTGCAGCTATACTCATTTGTGAGAAAGGCTTTGGGAGTAAACCCAGAGCAAAATACCTCTACCTGCTACTTTGTGGGACATCTTTGGGAGAAGAAAAGGCTAAGAAGTAAACAGTACATAGATTCAAAGTCCTTAAGGCAGTTGGATGGTGTCTTGTATGCCTCTTTCTGGCAACTCCTGCAGCCAGAGAGCTGGTACGAAATGTATTGCTCTACTTCTCTTTGGACCACATCAGCGATGCTAAGAGAGAGGGCTCTTGTCATCTGAGCAGCCCAGGGCCTCCATGCATACTGCCCAGGCTAGCACCTTGGAGAGGTCACTTCTGTGCTGCTAATGCAGCAGAAACAATGCGGGAGGCAGCAGTTAAGAATTACGGGTCTCTGCAGCCACAGCAGCCACTATGATTCTCCAACAGTTTGACATCACCTCTGGAGGACTAATCCATTTTCTTTTGAGGCAGATGGATGCCAACATTTATCTGCTTTCTGCATAAAAAGTAGATATTATCAGCGTATTGAACATTTATTCTATGTAGTCTGCTTATTTCACTATCCCAATGTAACATTTCCCCCTGGTTTCACAAGATCTACCTCCTTTGACTATTCTGATTAAACTGGAATTGAAAAAAGCTGTGTTAAAAATTAAAAGATGTAACTTGGAAGAATTCTAAGTTTTGAAATGACTACAGATTACACATTTATATTACAAATGCAGGAAATTCCAACCTATAACTTTTAATTTAAATTAGTGGGCTTCACTTGTGAACATTTTTCTTTAATATTCCTACTTCTAGTTAAGAATCTAATGCCTGTTATGAATGAATCTTAAGATTAAACCTAGAAGTGTTCCTAGCGAAATGAGCACATATTGAACCAGGTAAAAGCCAAAACCCATTTTCTTCCATAATGGGAGGTGGTGGCAATGAAAACCCACTGGATTCTATTGTAGATGGGAGGAAAGTTCCACCCGGGTTTGGTCTCAGTAACAGTGGTTTCTTTCATTGGTGTTTTACATTAGAGCCACTCAGAGGTTCTGTCCCTGAATTCTTCAATCAGATGTTTCTGAGGGGGGTGGGTTCTGCCCTCTTCTATCACACATATGCTTCTTTTACACCTCCCTCTTATTAGGGAGATTTGGTGGGTGATGGCCTCATGATAGCATTTTATTTCAACACTCTGGGAACTCTGTATGATATAAATAAGGGCTCTAAGAGTTTTCCTTTGTTGGGAACAGTACGGATATATTAGAGTTTGTTTATAATGGTTTAAATCATTTGCATGTATTAGGATTGTATTAAATTGTGCCAAAAGACTAATGACTGTATAAAAACATGTTTGTTTATATTGCTGTGCTTTTTTGTCAATACAGAACAGCTCTGCTGAGGAGCAAATGAACAGCCTGTCACATGGACCCTCCCCAGTTGATTCTGGCAAAACATCAAAAAGCAAAAGCTGCAGTTCTGTGGACATTAAAAAGTAAGTTGGATCCAGTAATTTTTCTCTTGGTTTCTTGGTACATAATTCGTTATATACACCATGGAAGGAGAAATTTAACAGTATGATAATAGGAGCTTTATGATATGACTTTATTTTGGCAGTTTTCAATTGATGGGGTTGTGGTTTTTTTTAAAAAAAAACAATATGAAGGTGGTGCATTTTGGAAAACTTGGCCTAGTTTGGACTTCCTCACTTCTGACCACATGCTTTTCCACTGTCGCTCCTGGCAGCATAAGCAATAAAAAAAGCTTAGTTTTATAACATTTTGCCACATGCTCTGCTCTTAGACTGCAGTCTTAGTCCCACTTACCTACTGACTTCAGTAGGACTTACTTTGAATAGAAATAGGATTGCATTAAGTTAAGAATTATGCTGACTTTGCCTTAAGACTTTGTTCTTCACATGCTGTAAAAGTATACTTATGTTCCTTTTTCCTTAAGGTATTTGTCTCCAAAGCCCTTTAATTCCTTGCCTCCAAAGAGGTGCTTTAAAAATTTGCAAGAAGAACGCTCTGGCTCCTTTTCTGAGGTAATGTATACATATCTTGATTCCTGTGGAGTATAAAGATTTCAGCATTCTCGTATAAGTACATTTGATATCTATGTGAATTTTAATATCCCATACATTTCCATACTCCGTATTGCCAATATGAATGCCAGTTCTTTTTCATATTTATAACATGAGTACATGCAAAATCTTTTGGGAATAGTGAACTATTTGACAGCTATAATTTGCACATTTCTTTCTTCCAGGAGAGCAGCAACACTAAAAACATCTGTACATCAAGAGAAAAGGGAAGAGAAAATGAAATGCCCACACTATCTCCACAGGCAATCAGGGAGGCAAAGAGAGGTGCAGATGGTTATGACTATAAAAATGAGAGTTTTACAATAGACATGCAGTTGAGAACATCTCAAGAATCCTTCCCTGAAGCAGCAGTTGATTCATACTTAAATGATAAAAGGAAAAGAACGTTCTCACAAACTGATGATGAAGAAGAGATGGATGATATAGAAAGGCAGATAAGTTTGGAGCAGCAGTTTTATGAAAGGCAAAAGCAAGAAGAAGAGGATAGACGTCTGGCTCTGAAGCTTCAGAGGGAAATGGACAAAGAACAGAACATGCTAAATCGCAAAAAAGGGTCTCCAGATGAATACCATTTGCGTCCTACAACATCTCAGTCAGTAAAAGAATCTCCAGTTGCAAGGAAACGGAGCAGGCTTTCAAAGAACTCAAAGTCTTCAAACAGCCCACTTGAAACAGATAAGCGAAAACTACACAGAAGCTCCCACAATGAGAACTGGAAACCCTCTAACCAGCTCCAGGCAAAGTCACCTTCTGTAAAAGGAGGAAATGTTTTGAATTGTGTCAACAGCTCTAGCTCAAAAGATGCAGAAGTGCTTTCAAGCAAGCAAAAAACCATTCTTCAGATGTTTAAGAGGCCTGCAACAAACTAGATGAACAGTAATACTTTCATGACATTGATTGGAGTTAATGAAGGGGCACTGTTGAAAAGCTGACCTAGTCAAACAATTATTTCTTCAGGGATCAAGTGCTCTCAGAATTAATATGAAACTTGATTGGGAATCAGTTGTGCCTGCTGTATGCCCACTTGCTTTTACTTGTTGCAATTCACTTCTTTAATGCATGCATGGTAACAGGTTGCTCTGAATGTCAAGAGAGATGTTTGTTTAAAACCATCATGCACTACAGCTCATGTAGTGTTCACTGTGTAATCAAACCGGTTTCCTATTACCCCCTCCCAGTTCCCTACCACAACAATAGTAAGAAAATTTGAAAAAATATGTAAACTTGGCTTGAACTGAGACATCACTCTGTTTGATGGGTCAGTGTAAGCTTGACACTGTTGATGATGTTGATTCAGACTTACACTTTTATTGCTGGAACACATAGCAAATGACCCAAATGTCATCCTTCACATTTCCCCTATATATATCTGCCCTGAACTTAAGAATTCCTATTTTTTTCCCTAGTGTTTTTTCCTGTTTCTTGGAATTATTTGGTTAGAACATAATCCATTAAAATGGCTTTCAAGCTTCATGAGAAAACTATCCTACCTTGAATGAATTTCCACAGTTCAGTAGGGGATCTTAATATATATTCAAGTAATGTCTGAAGATGGAGCCTGTGCATATTCCCCCCCCCATTAATAATTAATTCATATTTTTTACAGTAATAAGTACATTTCCCATAAAAAACATGGTGACATTAAATAATTTCCACAATATATAAAAATGAATATTTCATATTCTAAATTTCATAATAACCATCTCCTGAGCAATATTTTTATAATGTCCTACAATCTCTAAACTAGTTACAGCTCTGATAAAAATGAAACTTAAAGACCCCTTCCTGAACCTCAGAGTTAGTTTGACGAAATGAAGATTACTTCAAAAATTTCCTGGCCAGTGTTATGTAGAAGACTTCTCAGTTATTTTCTCCTTTTTTGGAATATTTGTTGCAGATAGTATATTAATCAGAAGTTAAGATCATCTGGAAAGTAAATCTTCAGATACAATTAGAGTAAGTAATCTCCTTCCTTCCACAAACACATTATTTCAGACTGTTTGAATAGTACAGCAGCTCCATCACATTTACAGGCAACTCCCCAATTGCACACAATCAGCACACATCCTCTCGCTGACTTGCACACCAAAAATGGTACCAAAAGGGGGTGAAATGGGGGCTGAACAGGGGAATCCCTGTTTGCATGCATCCCAGAATGGAACTGCTGCATAAGTGGGGATTCCCTTGTAGTTTGCTCTTAATTTGAAGCACTGCCAATATTGTATATATTCAACTGCATTGAGGTACACTTTATAGAAAACTGTAAAAATAACTTTTTGTAGTTCCAATTGATTAAATTCACTTTAAAAACAAATTTTGCACATTTCGGAGAGATTATCATGGTGGTCTGCCTACCATTTTTTAAGAAGCTTTTAATGCTTTTATCATACTGAATTAGAATTGTGGAGTGTTCCTGCTCAGTGTTCCAGTCAGCCATACCCTCTTCAATGACATTCTAATTGTTATTTATAGGTTTTTTAAAAATTCATGATACCCCATTTGATATTCCCTCACACCCATTTTTCCATTTTTCATCAACAGTATTCTGTGACCACTGAACATGTTCAGTACTCATTAGACTATTCGGGGGGGGGTCTTCCCTCTAAGATTTTCAAACCTCAGAGCAACATGCTGATACTGCCATTTTGTGCATGGATTGTGCTGTTTTAAGCAACAGAACTCACTTCCACATCAGAAACATAGTTGACTTACAACTTGCATGCATTTAACTTGCACAATCACAGCTTTACGCGCTTGGTGGCCAGTCAGAACTCAATTGTACAGATTGCACACTGGGTTTCTTCTGTGCAGAAAGAGCTTTTAAGCTCTCTGACCTCTGGGAAGGTCTCACAAGATCTTGCGGGACTGTCCAAAACCTCACAAAGGCCTCCAGAGTTCATGCAAGACCTTCCCTTTCCCTGCTACTTCTACCTTTCACCCTGGTTGGTGCAAGCACGGCTGGATGTGCTTCTCCATCATACTTCCACTTCTTCCAGTCAAGGATTAGGATTGTAACCTAAACTAGGAATCATATTGACCTGACCCAGCTTCAAAACTCACTTCATGAATCAACTAGATAGCCTTAGATTAACTAAGCACCAGTCCTTTTTGCAATGTGGGAAATACTGATTTACCATATATGATGATGCCTATACAGCAGAGGTAACCAGAAGTTGGACTACAATTCCCATCAGCCCCAGTCATGGTGACCAGTAGTCGGGATTCTGGTAATTTAGTCCAACAGCATCTGGAGGGCACCATGTTGGCTGTCCATGGCTTATAGGCTAATTGTAAAAAATGTCGTAGTGCACTTTGGGGCATAAGTCCAGCAGGAGGAGGAGCAAACGTATACATTTACCTAAGTACTCCACTGAACTAGAACAGATACTGCATGAAAGCGATATATAAAAATGATTGCTACCATTTCCATTCCAGATTTTTACCTAGCTCAGCTGGACATGGCTGTGCTTATGTGGTCCACCAGGAGAGGGTGCATCTGGCTTGTCTTCAAGGTGGTGCCATGGGGACTCCATTCGAAAGCAGCTCATGTCAGTCCCACTACTTTCTGTGGCTGTGCATTACTTTCCATGAAGCAGTTGGTGATGACGGCCCATTCTTTATTATTATTAATTAAATTTGTATACCACCCTTCATCTGAAGATAACAGGGCAGTTCACAACATAAAAATACAAAATGAGAGAGCAGAAAATATATAACAACCCCCCCCCCAAACAAACCAATAAACCCCACTCCCATAAATGTATTTTAAAAGGGCTAGTTACTGAGAAATGTTTTTGCCTGGCATCGGAAGATAAGTAATGAAGGTGCCAGGTGAGCCTCCTGGGGGAGAGCATTCCACAAGTGAGGAGCCACCACAGAAAAGGCCTGTTCTTGCATTGCCTCTGAAGAAGGGCCTCTGCTGATGAATACAGGATCCAGGCCACTGAATATGCGGGGGGGGGGGTGTATTTTAAGTACAGTCATACCTTGGGTTGAATATGCTTCAGGATGAGCACATTCAAATTGCGCTCCGCGACAACCCGGAAGTAACGAAGCACGTTACTTCCGGGTTTCGCTGCTTGCGCATGCGCAGACGCTCAAAATGACACGCGCATGTGCAGAAGTGCCAAAACATGACATGCGCAGATGCGCGAACACAGGTTACGTTTGCTTCTAGATGCGAACGGGGATCCGGAACGAATCCCGTTCGCATCTAGAGGTACCACTGTACAGTCATACCTCATGTTAGATCCACTTCATGTTACGTTCTTTCAGGTTACGTCCCGCGGCAACTTGGAAGTACCGGAAAGGGTTACTTCCGGGTTTCGCCGCATGCGCAGAAGCACAAAATGACATCATGCGCAGAAGCGGCAAATCGCAACCCACGCATGTGCAGACGCGCCGCTGCGGGTTGCGTTCTTTTCATGTTGCGAACGGGCCTCCGGAATGGATCCCGTTCGCAACCAGAGGCACCACTGTATTTTTAGGTAAGGTAAAGGTAAAGGACCCCTGGACAGTTAAGTCTAGTCAAAGATGACTGGGGTGCGGCACTCATCTCACTTCAGGCCGAGGGAGCCAGCGTTTGTCCACAGACAGCTTTCCGGGTCACGTGGCCAGCATGACTAAACTACTGGCACATGGGAGGACCGTGATGGAGCGCATGGAAACGCCGTTTGCCTTCCTGCCTCAGCAGTACCTATTTATCTACTTGCACTTGAGATACTCAAACTGTCTTGCCCCAGTGAGCAACCTGGCCGCCGAATTCTGCATCAGTTGTACTGAATTAACCCTGCATGGAAGCACCATGCAGCAGTGCTTCCAATATCTAACTCAGGGAACATGGCATGGACATAGCGAGGATTTTGTTGAGTGGGGGAAGAACCTCAGCTAGCTATGTGTTTTTATTGATTGGGGGAGCAGCTGCCCCTTCCCTGCCTCCCTTGGCTGCGCGCATGCCAGGGAAGCAGGCCTTGCCACTACACCTGACGGTATTAATAATAATTTTTATTTATATCCCGCCCTCCCCAGCCAAGACCGGGCTCAGGGCGGCTAACAACCAATTATAAAAACAAGTTGATTGAAATACATAATAATAATAATAATAATAATAATATATCGCCCTAGACCTTTACCTTAGCTAAAATTATATGCATTACTTGTGTCAATAATGACACAACCCAGAAATGGCAACAGGCATGAGCTGCCATAAAGCGCTTTCTTCCTGCCCCGAGTCCCGCAGGAGAACTGCGCTGCCACTTCCTCGGATTCCACTTTATCTCCCAGCGGCTTCCGCCGGCCGCGAGTTTAGGGGGAATGCAATCCGCCGGCCGCTAGAGGGCGTCGATTAGCAACTGGGATGCCCTCTGTTTGGGGCGGACGGCAGGAGCGCGAGCACCGGCACACAGAACCCCTCTTCCTCTTCCCTGTGTCTCACAGCGTCGCGCTCCCAATAAAGCTTGACTGTTGAAGTTGAAAGCGAGCAAGGGGAGACTGGGGTGCGGTGGTTCTGCGCCTGCGCACTGCAGCCGGCAGGTGGCGGGTGTTGTTGTTCGGCGGTAGAGGCGGCAAGATGGCGGCGCCCGGGGGCTCCGCTGCCGCCTCAGCGTTGAAGGGGTTAATCCAGCAATTCACCGCCATCACGGGTGAGGCGCGCGAAAACCCGGAATAAGCTTAAGCGAGGGCTGGAGCCGTTTCTGCTATGGGGCGGGATGTAAGGCTGGGGGAAGAGGGGCTTTGCTTGGGGTCGGGGGAGGAGAGGAGAGGAGGGCGACGTCTGTGACGGAGTTGGCGGCAGGCAGAGAGGAGAGAGAGACCCAGAGGGAGCGGGCGGGGGGAGCGGGGTGGGGGTGGCGGTTCTCCTGTAGAAAACGGGATTGTGTGGAGGGAGTCGAAAGAGGGGCCCGGGGCTGTGCTTTGCCACGGGTAAGGGCAAGTACGATGTGCAGCGGGGAGTTGAGGGGGAATTCCTTTGTGGAGGAAGGTAGGGGGGGCATAAGATGGGGTCGAGTATGCATTTCGCAGAGAGCGAAAAGGAGAGCGCTCAAGCGGGCCGCAGTGTGACATCCTCCAGGAGGAGTTGAGGCTTGATCGTTGCCTTTGGGGGGTGGAGGGAAGATCGAGACCTGACGCTTAGAAATGCCCGTCCCGTTTCATTTCCTGAGATAAAAGATCCTCTCCCGACCTCCCTTCTTTTTTGGCTTTCTGTGCTGCTGGGTTGAGTCATTATTGACACAAGTAATGCAGTAGAGCAAAAATCCATTTTTAATTGGCTGATAATGAGATAAGGAAGGGTATACCCACTCTCTACAGTTGGGAGAGGAAGACTGTCCCACAGAAGTATTCATTCTTATCAGATACTTACAAAACAGAATTTCTGCAGGACGACTTTATATCTGGGTATTTGAGAAAATTTGTAACTGCATGAATTAGGCAACGCACATAATAAAAACAAAATACAGTTCTACTAATGTAACATGGACCCTAGCAATGGATGTTTCAGGGCATGGGGGGAGGCAGCTAGTGGTAACACATTAATTGTTTCTAAGGTTAGTGACGGTCTTGTGGCAAGGCATTTCATAGATTAATTGTGAACTGTTTAAAGAAGTCCGTCTTCTGTCCTGAACTTACTGCCTGTTAGTTTGTTGAATACTAATCTTCAAAGAGTAGAACGTCTGGTAATACTGTCTATATATTGTTCATAATTTTACAAATTTCTCTTAAGTCACTACTTAGCAGTCTTCTCCAACCTTCTTCCAGCCTTTTCCTGAGATGAAGTTATCCCCCTCTGTTTTCTAGGACTCACTGACAAATTAAGGCTGCAATTCTATATGCACTTATTTCTGAGTAGATATACATAAAATTGCCCTGTAAACTTTGTTAGATTACATGAACAGTTTAAACTGGTGCTGCAAGAGGCAGATCCTTGTTTTTTGTTTTCATAATCTGTTGCACCAAGTTAAATCACCTTGCTTTAATTGGTCTGTGCTACTGAATCCTTAACGTCAAAGTAACTTTACCCTAGGGAAGCTAATGTACCTTTGAAATGTGGTGTTAGAATTCCTAAGTGACCATAATAATATTGAGTATTCCCTTTATCCTAGCAAGGTATTGTTTGTTAGGAAGGTTTTTTTCACTGGCTAGAGTCTACTGATGTAATTGGAACTTTCTGTTTGCTTCCTTTGTGGGGGTGGGGAACTAATATCTCTAAAAGTGTGTTGAATAACAAAGATACAACTGACTGTACTTTTTCTAACTTTTATTGTAATTTTAGATTTACTGTGTTTGGGGCAAAAAATTACAATATTACTACATTGTATAGTGGTAAATCATTCCTGGTGTTATTACTTGCTGCTGTATTAATTCTGTAGTGAATACAACAGGCCTACATCAAGTATTGTGGCTGAGAATAATTATTTTACTAAATTCCACATCTTAAAACATATTTAGAATGTAGAATTAAGTAAAGAGAGGAAAACAGAATCATACTGCCTTTTTAGTAAAAGGAAAGGGTCAAGTTCACTATTTAACTTCCTTTCAATGTCAGGAAGTGCGTATCATCTATTAAAAGGAGACAAATGTATCTTAGTATATACCAAGAAAATATTTATCCCCTATTATCAGTCTGTCAGGAAAAATGTCCCTTGGGAAGAGTTCTTAATTGGGATGCATAATCCTGTTCATCAACTTTCTCATGTCCATGGAGATAATAAAAGTACACAAAAATAGTTTTATTTGTTTAAGGGTTAATGATGAATTCTTAATTAGATGAATTTGGCCATATTTAAATGAATGCTCATCATACATGATCCAAAGCACAGAGATGTAAAATGGAAGACTGTTTAGATACAAATATACGGTAAATTGGTTTATATCTGTTTTCAACTGATGTATGAGCTGAAAATAAGTTTTGCAGCTGCAACCTCGATATGTATGATAATGCTATGCTGAAGTTCTAGATAGTACATACTAGAGAGTGTGGCAGGAATTTTAAGCTCTTTTACTTTGAAGCATATCCTCTTAAATCAAGAGACCTATTTGTTGGGAAGGCATACTAGGATTGGTTTAACTGTTTATAGCTCATGGAAAGAGGAGAGATGGTGCACTGAGCTGAAGCCCCCCTATGCTTGTGGGGTATTTTAATATAGCTAGGAGTCCTTCTCGTCCCAGCAAAAAGGCACCTTATCTATGGGAGGTGCCATATTCACTTATTCCTTTAATTTCTGCCTGGACTACATGGGAGCGAAGCAGAACTGACCACCCCAGTTACTTCTGATTGTTCCGCCTTGTTTAATGATGATCTACCCCACTGGATCATCACCTTGTTGTGATGAGTGGGCTTGCACATTCCTATGACCCTTGTGAGTGCAGTTGTCGGGAGTCTTGTACTCCCAGCAGGGTCAACCAAGGCGGTAAGGTCAAAAGGGAGGAACTAGACAAAGAATGATCCTAGAAGTCCTCAACGACAGAACAGGCAAAAGATAACAAGCAGTATGTTACAATGGCTGTGAAGGAAGATGAAGGCTGCAGCAGATAAAAATCTACCGGTCATCATGATACTCATGCCATCAGAATACCTCGGGTTAAGTACCGTATTTTTCGCCCTATAGGGCGCACCGGCCCATAGGGCGCACCTAGTTTTTTTGGGGGGGGGGAATAAAGCAAAAAAAATATTTTTTTTCCCCAGGCGCAGGGCTGGGGCGGGGGAAGCCCGAGCTGCCCCCAACCCCAGCCCCCAGAACAGGCTGCTATCCGCAAGCCTTGGGAGCCCGGCGGAAACTCCCGCTGGTCTCCCCAGGCTTGCGGAGAGCTGCCCGAAGCCTGGGGTGCGCTCCGCTGTACACCCCAGGTTTCGGGTTGCAGGCTGCTGTCTGCAAGCCTTGGGAGCCCGGCGGGAACTCCCGCCGGGCTCCCAAGGCTTGCGGATAGCTTCCTGAAGCCTGGAGAGCGAAAGGGGTCAGTGCGCACCGACCCCTCTCGCTCTCCAGGCTTCAGCGAAAGCCCGCATTCGCCCCATAGGACGCACACACATTTCCCCTTCATTTTTGGAGGGGAAAAAGTGCGTCCTATAGGGCGAAAAATACGGTACTTAATTTGTTCCGGAGGTCCGTTCTTAACCTGAAACTGTTCTTAACCTGAAGCACCACTTTAGATAATGGGGCCTCCTGCTGCTGCCGCGCCACCGGAGCACGATTTCTGTTCTCACCCTGAAGCAAAGTTCTTAACCTGAAGCACTATTTCTGGGTTAGCGGAGTCTGTAACCTGAAGCGTATGTAACCCGAGGTACCACTGTAGAGCATTATTGCGAAGACACTGCGTTGGTCAGCGTGCACTGATCTACACACATAAAACAAATTATGCACAGGCATCATCCAAAAACCAATCCCAAACCCAAAAAAGGCCCATGGCAATTGGCAAATGGTAATGGGGGCAGGGCCATGAAATCTGGAAGTCCCTAGTCATGAATTGGCAGATGGGCAGTAGATGCAGATTCATTCATTCCGACTCAAGGAATGAGGCAGTTGAGTAGCTCGGCAGCTGTATCCACAACATAGCAGTCCTGTTTAGGATCCACTCTGCTCACCCCAAAAAGGGGGAGGGCTAGAAAAGGTTCCATAAGCATTGTCTGCCTCCCCAGTGGTCATAAAAGACAATTGAATTTTGGAACATGGAATATACAGACGTCATTAGACAATACAGGTAATAAGCATCCCAAACGCAGGACTGCCACCATTGCAAGAGAATACTTCGATATTGCAGCACTTCAAGAAACTTGAAGATCGGATGCCGATGAAGACATTAAAGAAAATTTTCATTCTCAGCTGGATGCCATCCTATAAGAGACATCTAAGGAAGATGAAATTATCCTCCTGGGTGATTTTAATTCAAGAGTTGGGCGAGACTATTGGGAAGAAGAAATTGGCAACAACAACCAGAATGGAATCTTACTTTTGACCATATGTGCAGCGCACAACCTTGTTATTACCAACACACTCTTGCAACAAAATAAATAAATTTAAAACGTCATGGAGGCATCCTCAGTTGAACCACTGGCACCTCTTAGACTATGTAATCGTCTAAAGATCACCACGATGTGCTCCTTACCAGAGCTATGACAGTTGCCGACGACTGCTGGACAGACCACTGATTAATACATTCCATGATGGCTATCAAGATTATACCTCAATGCTGGCTTCAAGGATGAAGGCACAAAATGAACACTCAAGACCTTCAAGCTCCTATTAAAGTGGGATTGCTTCCAAATGACTCTTAAGGACCAGCTTCTTTCAGAGTTCCCTGATAACATCTAGGACTAAAAACATCCATTATTGCAGCCTGTGAACAAACTATTGGATACCAAACCAAGAAACACCAGGACTGGTTTGATGAGAATGAAAGTGAGATTGAACACATTTATTGACAAAAAGAAAGGCCTTTCAGATCTGGCAAAAAGATAGAAACTGCGCCACTAAGAAAGAACCCTATGCCAACGCTAAGCCTGAGATTCAAAGAAGAACCAGAGAACTAAAGAACACCTGGTGGATAAAAAAAGTTCAAGAGATCCAGCACTTAGCCGACATTCATGATGCACAGAGCTTCTTTAAAGCCACAAAGATAACATGTGAGCCAATAAATCATGGCATATGCCCCCTATGCTCAACAGACGGTACCACACTTCTAAAAGATAAAGAAGCTATTGTATTGCGCTGGAAAGAACATTACCAGCATCTCCTTAACAGCAACTTCCCTGTAGCTGCTGAGGCCCTCTCACAAATTCTGCAAAAACAAATTAGAGATGATCTTGCAGTATCTCCAAATCTGGGAGAGTTGTGTACAGCTATTAACCAAACAAAAAACAACAAAGCCAGCAGACCTGATGGGATACCTGCTGAAATCTTCAAAGTGGGCGGAATTGAACTTACACAACAATTCCACAAGCTCATTGAAAAAATTTGGGGGAGAGAGGAGATCCCAGTAGACTTTAGGGATGCCAAAACTATCAACCTTTTTTAAAAAGGCGATAAAACGGATTGCAGAAACTATCAAGGCAGGTCTTTATTAGCTGTTGCAAGGATTGTTGCAAGGATCTTAGCAAACCAACTCCTAATTATATCTGAGGCTACCTTTCCTGAATCCCAAAATGGTTTTCAACCTTCAGTGGACATGATTTTCACTGCTCAAAAGCTTCAAGAAAAATGCAGAGAGCAAAACCAACCCCTGTATATGATGTTTATTGACCTGACTAAGGTCTTCGACACTGTAAATTGTAATGCCCTGTGAACTGTCTTACTGAAAATTGGCTGCTCATATAAATTTGTGAACAGCGTATGCTGTTTTTTGTTGTAAGCTACCCTGTGATCTTCGGATGAAGGGTGGTATATAAGTTTAATAAGTATTAATAATAATATGACTAACCATGATACAAAAGAGGGAAAGGTAATCTATTTCTGTCTCATTCATATGTGTAGGCTGCTGTTTCAGTTGGGTATTTCAAAGAGCATAACATGCAAAGCAAATGTATTATGAAATGTCATTTTATTTAAGACACAAAAAAGCTTACCTTTCTGATCTCATGTATTGTCCAATTTCTTTTTAAGATCTGAGCACTAATGTTGTCTTTCCTTGTATCACAGGTGCCACTGAAAGTGCAGGCAAGCATATGCTTGAAGCGTGCAACAATAATCTGGAAATGGCTGTCACTATGTTCCTTGATGGTGGAGGGATAGCAGAGGAGCCCAGCACTAGTTCTGCAAGTGTATCAAACCTTCAACCACATGCAGAGTATGTAACTTTGTGAATATCCATCGGATGTATATAATTTGCTTTAAAATATGGAAATGGCAGATATCAACATGTTTTTCTGTAGATGTTCTTAGTTTCAGTTACTAAACTCCTTGCATCTTACTGTTGTTCTAGAAACCTAACAGTTTAGTTCAGGTTGCAATTTGCAGAAGTGGGAAGGCAGATGTGCAAGTAGGATACAGTTCATACAGTGCTATATTTAGCACTAACTTTAATCAGTTCTCTCCCCCCTCCACTTGTAGACAGGCTACATCTGTTTACAGTATTATTCTTACATTTTAAAGTTGTTTCAGTTGAACATACTGTTTGTTGCCTAAATAATCTGTTTTATAGGGGGATCTCGTAATACATTTATTTATACGTAACACTTGAAGTTTATGTTTTTAGGACCCAGCTTATGTTTATGATTGCAAGTTGTTTTACATTGTTTTAAATATTGTGTTTTACTTCTGTAACCTGCCCTAGGACCTTAGGAGGAAGGGCAGGAAATGAATGAATGAATGAATGAATGAATGTTGTATCCAACTAAGAGTAGACTCATTGGAATTAATGGACCTTACTTAGTCACATCTTATTATTTTCATAAGTCTACTCTAATCTTAGGGACACGGGTGGCGCTGTGGTCTAAACCACAGAGCCTAGGGTTTGCTGATCAGAAGGTTGGCGGTTCGAATCCCCCCAACAGGGTGAACTCCCATTGTTTCGTCCCTGCTCCTGCCAACCTAGCAGTTCGAAAGCACGTCAAAGTGCAAGTAGATAAATAGGTACTGCTCCGGCGGGAAGGTAAACAGCATTTCTGTGCGCTGCTCTGGTTTGTCAGAAGCGGCTTAGTCATGCTGGCCACATGACCTGGAAGCTGTCTGCGGACAAACACCGGCTCCCTCGGCCAGTAAAGCAAGATGAGCGCCGCAACCCCAGTGTCATTCGCAACTGGACTTAACGGTCACGGGTCCCTTTACCTTTACCTTTTACTCTAATGTTAGATGCAGTCCTAAATAAATAAATTGAAGTACAATTTTGGCATTATATGGCAAGAATGGAAAAGTTGATTTTATTTTTAAAATAAATCTTGCATGTGGACAGAGGCAACCAACACAAATTAGAAAAATATTTCATGTATTATTCATACTCCCAAACAAAAATGTGGGTTTAGAAATAGGGGCTGGGTCCAGCAAGACCTTTGCAATTACAGGTGTCCCCCAACCTGTGCATGATTTACTAACACATGAATGCATGTGTTCATGGCGCTGGGACATAAATAGATTCAAACTAGGAAATGGTGGGAGATTGCTGTAGAGTCCTCATGGCTTGCAAGGAGATCCTCCCCAGAACCCAAAGAGGACTTCAGTGAGGGTGGAGGAAGTCCCAAACAGACTGGAGGCATAGTGGGGCTTTGCTTAGGTTGCTCACCCCCCCCCCACTTAACAGCTGACACGTGGTAACACAGCAGCTTCTGTCCTACACATTCTCCAGCCAGCCACAGAGCTTCAACTCCAGCTGAAGAGAGAGTTGTGTGTGAAGAAAGCAGGAGAACAGGAGGAAATGGTGTTTAGAGGCTTTTTAGAGGGTGCTCCCCACTTAGGCATACTTTGCTTATGCATGTGGGGCTCCAGACCCTCCGCCTATGTCGGGAACACCTGTGCATGCACCTACACTTTCCCTATATATGTGATTATATGTGCAACTTCCTTATATTCCTCATATTATTACCCTCCTCCCCCACTACCGTTTTGTACAACTCTGAGCATCTCGAGCTGTCATCCCCATTTAACAAGACACGTTAGCAGCTCCTTAGATATGGGAGCTAAAGATTCCCATATCTATAGGTTAAACAGAAGAGGTGGCTCTCACAAATTGTGTTAACTGTCAATCCCTTTTTATATATACTAAAGAGCATCTTTACTTTGATACCTACCAGGAATATCTCCATTCCAATAATACACTTTCAAACCTTGTACAACATAGTTAGCACCTATGCTGTTCTGCCTCCACTGCGTTGTAGACCCCAAGTATTGGTTTAACTATAGTCCTATTTGGGGCATGTAGTATAGCTCTTGCTGTCATATTCAAAAACCTATGTTTCTAATCCTTCTAGAGATGAAGTAAGAGCACCTATTCCTCAAAAACAGGAAATTCTGGTAGAACCTGAGCCTTTATTTGGTGGTAAGTGAGCTTCATTTTAATGTTTACCCTTCCAAATGTTGTAGTAAGGAAGGAAGAACTCTGCCAAACTGCCTTTTGTCTAGGTTGCTCATATCCATTGCTCTCTCTATAGTTATAGCATGTGCTCTTGCAGTACTGAAGTATTTATACAAAAGTCATATTCCCACTACTGTCAACTAAGCATACATAATTGGTACTCCTGGGAATGATATTTCAAATACTCATTGCTGCTGCTATTCTCGTTTTCTAGATAGGGAACGGTGCCAAAATGTCAATGCTAGCTGCTAAGTAAATTTCTAGCAATAAAATATTATAGTAAAATATCCATAATAAAATACTCTTGTCTGAAGGGCTGCAAATAAATAGTAATTTATGGTGTTAACATGTGTTCATAAGAAATTGCAGCATATTGTACTGTTGAGTATTTTGCATCTGAGAGTTTTTAGAAACCGAAATCCAAGATTTCCATGATAGCTTCCACTAAATATAGTTTCCAAAATTATGTACTGATAGATTTCCATTATATTAATAAGTTAATGGGGAACCAATTAGCTGTATTCTTAAAATCTAGTGGAATGGTTAACAGTAAATGCTGCCTGCCTCTTTAAGGAAAGGCTGCTACTTTGGGATATAATGAGAAATGCATTTTCTAGAGGCCAGTTGGGTTTGATGACTGGAAGCCATGTGATAATTATAAGTTACACACTGAAAAGTATCTTTGCAGTAATAAGTCAACATAAGATCTGGTGAGAAGCCCTTGAAGTTACATGAAGCTGCTTACTCAACTGTAGGAAATCAGCAGACTTGGGGGCGGTAACTAACATTTGACATAAGATTCATCACATAAGATATTACATAAGATGCACCTCAGTTTTACAGGTGAAGTGCCATAAATAAATTTGCTGCAGTAATGTATTGAATACATGTTAGAACAGTTGCCATGTTAGCCTGCTGCAAATAACAGCAAATGGGTTCTACTACGCAAAAGCCTAAGTCATAATAAATGTGTATTTAAGGTGCCCCAATAAATGTATTTAAGGTGTCTTTGCTATAAAGCATCTAATGTAGCAAAATGAAGTACAACAGTTAGAACATAGACATTCACTGCATGCTTACAATCTGGTTAATGTATGCTGTTCACTTGAATGGGATAGCCAATACAGTTAAAAATAAATTTATTTTTAAAAAATTTAATTTATGAAACAAGATAGGTCAAGGGTCACCCACATGGTGCACCACGGGCACACGTGCCAGCAGAAACCTTCCCATGCATTTACAGCATTTCCTCACTCCACTGAAATTAGATTTTTAAAAAGCATTATATTATAGGCAGTGTTACAGGTCCATGACGTGTGTGTGTGTGTGTGTGTGTGTGTGTGTGTGTGTGTGTGTTTGGTGCCATTACTCCAGTTTGGAAATGTGTCCACAGGCCCCCCCAAAATTGGCCACACATTGCTTTTTAGATTGAATTGTTATTAGAACTAATCTCACTCTCCCTAAAGCTGTCGTCTGCCATTTATGACACAATTTTTGGGTGCAAAAAGAGTGCGGCAAATGCTTTCATTGGCTTACCAGCTATGCTATGCATTATAATCTACTACAAAAGGTGTCATGTTTCGAGCATAGCCTAAATCCTGATTCAATCCACTTTGAGAAATTGCCTTATCAAATAGCATGTGCTTAAACAAATAGGACAAAATCATGCTTTAAGCTTTTTTCTGGGAATTGTTCCTCCACTAAGTATAGTGAGATCAGGTCAAGCAGCATATGCTGCACCATGCCATTATCAGAAGTGCAGTTGGGGGTTACATGGGTAGCACCCAGTTAGTGCTAGCACCCAGATAGGGTTCCACAATCTTCCTACAGCAGTGGAAGAGGACACTCAGGCCCAGAGGCTGAGAGCTGCTCTCTATGGTTCTCTAGTTGACCCCTGGAATTCTCCCTGGGCTACAACCGTTCCACAAGCCATAGTCTTCACTTGATTTGCTCCATATCAACCTTGAGTGCTTTTGCTTGGCCTTAATATGTCTTTGAAGTAGATATTGTCTCTTTCTTATTTGGATGAAGAGGAGTATTTGTAGAAACCTCTGACTTTAGTCTACTGTACATATTAAAAGTCCTATCTGTTGCTCCATTCAGTTTGCCTCTGCCTCCAATACTGGTATGCAGCCCCTGAAAGGTTGCCAACGTAAGAATGCAACTCTTGGATAGAAAAGGGTTCCCATCCCTGTCCTAGAGCTTCGTGTTGGAGTTTTCACCAAGCTGGGGAAACTTTATTTTGCTGTACCACTGGCTTTGGATGAGGTTTTTTTTACTGCCTGGGTCTTTGCTGCTGGTTTCTATTGCTATGTTGCATTTTGCTGATATATCTCGCTGTTCCAGGTGTTATTATTTCTATGATACTTTGTTGTATATTTTTGTATTTTAGTTGTTTTTATGTGTTTCAAAGGCCTTCAGGCAGAAAAGCAGCCTATACATTTAAAATAATTTAACATCTACAAGTAGCCTGATAACCAGGAACATGGACATCATGTCCTGATGGGCACATGTGTGTAACATATTAACATAATGCATTATTGGTATTCTCAAATCACCTGGTCACCATGAGTTCAAATCTGTCTTGAAGCTTCAGCCTTTTCTACCACAAATCAGTTCCATTGAGAGGTTTCTTATGACTAATATGAGTTTTAAATTCTGTTCTTGATAAGCTCCAAAAAGACGCAGACCTGCTCGTTCAATATTTGATGGTTTTCGGGATTTCCAGACAGAAACAAGTAGGTATCTGTGAATCATTGTCTTCACATGCCATTTTCTTTGTTTATTGGCTTTATAGAGGTTAACAATGTGGATCCCTTAGACCTTGTACTATGGGCCACATTGTGTACCCCACCCAGGAGCTGCATACTGATATACACAAAAACAACAACCTGAAATCCCACTAAGGGCTGTTCATGTAGCCATATATGTATAACATAGCCACATATGCATTACATACATGAGGTCTGTAATTTTTAGGTAAAAAGAGCCCCCTGCATCAGGGCAGGAAGGTCAAAAACAGTCTATGGAAGCCAGCCAAGTTGTTCACTTTTTGGCTGCAGTTATTATATATGGTGTAGTTAGATTGAGATTTTTATTTCTTTAATATTCTTTATTGATTTAAAATACTGACATAAAAGATCATTTACAGCAGAGACAAAGAAGAAAAAGGAAAGGAAAAAGAGTCAAGATAAAGAGAGAAAAGAAAAAACTATACAAAAAGAAACTGCATCTTCTCATTAAATAAAATTTTTGGATGTAAAGTTAAATTGAGATTTGAGACCAAATTAATGGCAGCAGCATGGTTTCTTTTGCAGCATGGTTTATTAAATCCAGAGTCTACATTTCATTTTGCCAGTGGCAACAACGTCCCCACTCCCAAAATTACCTGTCCCCTAAGCTGTCCTAAGAATTGCCATGGAGGTCTCTGTATCTTTTTTGGGTGGGCTCTTGCTGCTTCATGTTGCTTATGCAAAAACCCTATACAAAGTGAAATAAGACCCAGTCCTCGTATATTTTTCTACTAGAAATAAATAAAACCATTCCTGTTTTAAAAATATTTTGTCATATAAAAGCTTGTGTTAATGGTTGTGGTGTGTTTGCATAAATAAAAGAAAGGGGAAATTGCTGGCCAAAAGTTTAATTCCAAACTTTTGGAGGAAATAAAATAATGTTGGCCTTCTTTGGACCAACAAGCCAGGACTGAAATTGGTGCCAAGTGTGCTGAATAAAGTTTAATGTCATATTTTGGAAGATTTATACCTTAGTATTTGGAAAACAGGTGTTGTTGACCTTGCAGTTACTACTGTCTTTTTTATTATACTGAAGTTGTTTCCCAGTTGCTTATTCAACAAAATACTGAATAAATAGCCAATATACTTTACATCACATCTCTGTCACTGAGAAACTCCCCTTTGTGACGCATCATCATTCTCTGAGGCAAAAAGTTGTTTTTGTGCAAAGGACATTAATGAGCAATGACCTTGATCTATAGTTATTAGGCTATCACAAATGGCATTAGACCACCCCAAATGACACATCCACACCACCAGGGAAATGAATGTTCCCTATGACATACCATAGAGTTGAGTCTGGTCCACTGCTTTTTGTGCAAGGCAGTGTCAACTATAGCAACTTCACAAGAAACATTGCAATTTCACATGTTAAGTGAAATGCTTATTTAGTTTGTCCTGGGCATGTATGGTCTTACTTGTTCATTTTCAAATTAGTCATCATAATTGTCTTCCATCTCTTCTTCAGATAGATGTTCACCATCCCCTTTCTTGTTCTTGTTACCACAGTTGGGGAGTTCACACATATCAATGTACGTGAGACCATTTTTCACGCACACGCATCTTGGTAGCTCATACAGTTAAAACTCATTCACCCTTATTCAGCAGATGTGGTACCAATTAAACATTTTTGATGGTGTCTCATGTACTAGTTCAGGTATTTAAGCTTCAATTAGTTTTGAGTGTTGCTCAGAGTTCAACACTACAGCTATCAGGATTCTGTCAATTCAGGTATTTGTTGCATTAGTCTTCTTAGAAGTAAACTTCAATTAATTGTTTTTGGTTTTTTAAAATTGTCCTATATATTCATGACTCTTGATCAGCTGTAACAGATGCAGCCCTCATTTTAACATCAAAAATGTTTTTCCTTATCCCTCAAAAATGCTTTATCATACTTTTATGTATTGAAACAAGGTGTCAATGATCTCTTGGTGTGTGGGTTTAGTTCTTAAGACTATGTAAATAAAATTGCCTATGAACACGTGAAGTATGGAAAGTGACACTCAGGCTTGGTTGGTTTACATCCCAACCTGCTATATTCAAGGTAGGTAACATACTTAAGCTTAATATGAGATTTAACAGGGTAATGTCTTAACAAGGCTTCATAGTCACAAATGTATTTGCATCTATGTAACTGTTCACTTTGGATTGCCAGATTCTGTCAAGTCTTCTGTAGTTTATTATTCTGCCTGATTTTGCTATTTGTGCTTCTCCCAGATTATCTATTAAAATATTCCATTTTAAAATGGAAATAGCCTTTAGTGTTGCCAAAGTGGGCTAAATATTAGACCTTACTGTCCCTTCTCAATTTAAACAGTAAGTGCGCAACTTGTGCACATTCAGCTTTATGTGTGGAACCAAAGAAAAAATAAAATAGAAAGGGGGCACAGTTCCAGGAGAAACTACTTTGGCAGTCCCTCCACCAATGAACCCAGTGAGGTTTGACTATACACAATTTTGGCTTTAGGCACATGTCCATAGTCTAGGAGTACTCCTGGGTTCTAATCTGTCACTGGAGTTTCAAGAGGCCTCTATGGCTAGGGTTGCTTATGCCCTGTTTAGTCTTGTTCACCAGCTTTGGCTGTTCCTCCTAGACTGGGATAGCATGGCCATTATACTCTATGCTCCAGTGATCTTCTGTCTGGTCTACTGCCATTCATTCTGTGTTGGGCTTACCTTGAAGACGGTCCAGAAATTGCAGCTAGTACAGAATTTGGCTGCAGATTGGTCAGTGGGCGTCCTGATGGCACCATGTGTTCACCAGTCCTGAAGGCACTGTGCTAGCTACCACTGAGCTACTGGGCCCAACTAAAGGCATTAGTACTAGCATACAAAGCCCTAAATACTGTAGCTTGGGACCCAGGTACCTAAAACATCACTATTCCCCAATATCAGCTCAAGTCTTACAATCAGCCTTACCTTTTGGTAAGTCCATAAGAGGACTTCTTGGTAGCAAATTGTATTTATTTTGATCAGTTGAAATGGGGTGATATGCATATAATCCCACGTCCATGTGTGTTGGCAATTATATAAACTTATTTTGAAAAGAAATCACCCTTAACACTTCTCATGTAGAATTTTCAGTTAAGCTTTTAAAATATAACCATGCTGCTCTTAACACTAAAGTGAGGAAAATTAAAAAGAGCATTTTTACCAGTAGATGAAGAGCTATATTTCAGTAATGCTTAAGCTGTGATTCTATATAGACACTTATATGGGAGTATGTCTCATTGAGGCCAGTGAGGCATGTTTTTCAGTACAAATGTATAATATTACGCTCTGAGACTTAAGCTTAAAAATATATAGTGGGCTATCAAGAGAGAGCACCTAGCAGAAAAAAAAATTTTAGGATAATAAAAAAAGATGCTTCAGACTAAGAGTAATGATAGTCATGTTGGCTCATAGGAAAAATTCAAAAGTCCATATAAGGGCCAACCCAATATGTCATAAAATGGTCTTCAAGCTTTCAAATTCCCCACAACTCTTTGTTAGTATGTTAAGATGTGACTTCTATACTTTCTTACTCTCCCCTTGTTTTTTTCTTCTCCCTTTCTGATTTCATCTTTTAAAACAAGCTTTCTGCACTTTTAACAAATGTTTTGTTTATAGTTGCCAAAAGCAGTTTAGCATGTTGGAGTAAAAATGTTGTTCACCTCCTATTTTTCTTCTTCTGGGCTCTGCAGTTCGGCAGGAACAAGAGTTGCGGAATGGAGGAGCAATAGACAAGAAACTCACCACCCTTGCCGATCTCTTCAGGCCTCCAATTGATCTGATGCATAAAGGAAGTTTTGAAACGGTAGGTTGCTGAGCTTTGGTATAGTTTCTCTGTGGTAGCCTGGGCCCAGCTGCATGTGAATATGTGTACATTTGCAGCCTGATAATTCAATATGATGCTTAAAGAATTCACTTAAGCATGATGGCAACGAGTTGTATTTATGTAACTTGGACACAGAAGGCAACTTTTAAGCAATTTGAATTCATTTTTGAAAAAGTACCCTTCTGCAGTTGTGTTCCTCTGCCATCTTCTATATCCTCTCCCCCCCCCCTTTCTTAAGATGTGTTGTTCATAACTGAGCAATATGTATATTTGCAACTAATTAGGGGTATAAGTAGATGCCTTATACTGAGTTAGGCCCATTAGTCCATCTAGCTCACTATTGCCTACACTGACTAGCAGTAATTTTTCAGGGTTTCAGATGGGGGACAATTCCCAGGCCTATCTGGAGATGCCAAGGATTGAACAGTGACCTTCTGCATGCAAGATAGATGCTCTGCCACTGTGCTATGGCCCTTCCCAATACGATTGGAAATACTCTGGCTCAGTTCGTAGCTCCATTTGATGGGAAAATCCTGTTTCTATTCATTGGGAAACTGTGTTGCTCTTTCTCTTTGTCAGGCTTGTCAAATCCTTCTATCGGCCACTTGTTTTGATATATTTGGAGTTTTGTCCAAAGTAGAGAAGGCTTTAAGTATATAATGTCATAAGCTGAATCCTTGATATTTGGGGGTCTCTGTTTGGCTGGGTTAGCAAGGATCTTTGCTTGAAATCCTGAAGAACTGCTGTGAACAAGTAGGCAGTAGTGTGCTTGATTGGTAAATTATCTGTCTTGTTTTTAATTAACTTCTTATATCATTGAGTTTTCAGTGGAATTTGCATACAAGTAAGTATGTTTATATCTGTAGCTAAAGAACAAAGTAGGATAACATTAAATAATTGTCATAAAAACCTTTTTTTATCACACACTTTACACCCATTAAAGAGGGCTCACAAAACACCCTTCCTATTTTATATAGCATTAATATGAACTAAACAAAACTGAATGCTAATCAAAGAACTTTAGTTGTAGGGCATGCAGAATAGGTCAAGGATGCATGCCTAATGTTCATATCCTTGGTTGCAAGTGGCATTACTGTTGCAGCTGCAGAACTTAAACAACTTCTATATTTTTATGTGTAAATAACATCATACTCACTCTTCTAACCCTTCCATTTCTGCATATCATTGAAACCACTTTCAGAAATCATTTTCTACCAATATCTGCTGTACTTTTTGCCCCGACTTTGTGCTCCTGAAACAACGGGTATTGAACAAATTGTCTTAGGTCGATAGTGTAGCTGGTTTCAAAGGTTCACATTCTGTCATCCTCTTCTAGTTCCTTCTAATTTGTGGTAGTATTTCTTACTCTCAGTCATGACACCTCTTTCTGTCCTGAGTAAAAGTCTGCCTCTAACTTCTGTGTCTTTAATGGAGTCATTCCTCATAAAGCTTCATATACCTGCATCTGATTAATTTTCCTTCAGTTTTTGATCTGGCATTGCCTTTTATATTAAAATGTTTTGTGTTCTTACTTGCTGTATAGTTCCTTTAGGCAGAGTCTACTCTCCCCCACCCTGTTTACTATATAATACGATAGAGATTTACAAAGTAAGATACTAGTGGATTTCTACTTCAAGGAGACTCTAATTCATATCAACACACGTTTTCCAATCAATTCTTTCTACGTTATGTGCTAGAACCTCATAGTATTGCATTGAAAGCACCTTTAGAATCTACACCTTTTAATGAGTAAAATCATTTTAGGCAAAATAAGAGTGAAATGTTTTACTGATTCTAAGCAGTACTGTACTTTTAACAAATCCTCATTTGGCCATGAAGCTCACTGGGCGATCTTTGTCTGGTCACTAACTCTCTGCTTTCAGGGTTGTTTCAAGGATAATATGTGGAGGAGCATTATGTGCCACTTCAACTCTTTGGAGGAGAAGTGGGATAACAATAGAATAATAAATAATGCATTTTGTTATTTTGTTTATGATAAACATTAGAAGAAGAAACTTGGCATGAGATGCAACGGTCTCATAGTTTTCTTGCTTCATAAGAGGAGCCACATTTTCACAAGAGTTTCCTCTTTTACATAAACGCCTTACACAGCTAGACCACTGGCATGAGTTGGTTTTTCCATGTATTGGAATGGGGAAGAGAGGAAGCAGATGGAAATTCCCAGCACTTTATCACCATTGATACCCAGTATGCAGTTACATATTTCTAAACAACTGTGAATGCAGAGGTAGTCTGGTGCCTGAGTGCTGGTGTCTTGTTGAGCTTGGAGGCCCTTTGTCCATCACAGCTTTAGGAATGTTTATATTCTGTAACATTAATTACTTCGAGTTGCTTTCCTTCTATCTTCTTCCAGATTTAGACAGGGTTGGCAGTGTATCAGTTAAAGCAAAAAGAAACCAGTATCTTTTATTGTTTCTCATGTTCACACATGAGAAAATGAGCTTCAAATCCTTGCTTGGTAGTAAACTAAAAGGGTAACTCTGAGCCAAGTCAGTACTTCAGACTAATCTTTCTGATAAGATAGTTGTGAGGCTATACGGTATTTGAGAAGAGTTTTAAAGCATCCTATACACTGCAAAGTGATGTAGAAGTGATTGATAAGAGTGTATCTTTTTCTTCAACAACTTGGTATGTTCTAACTTTCCTTTGCCTTCTCTGTATATTTAAGAATTTAATCAGCAACCTATGGCTCAAGTTGGGATGCAGTCATTTTTTTCTTGCATTTATGCCCATCTCTCTGAGTTGAGGGGTTTCATACCCATATAAAAATGTAGCTTTATATAGAGAGAGAAAACAGGAAATATGCTAAGGATGTAGCAGTGCAGAGCAAAAAGTAGAAATTCAGTTATTAAAATTCAATTATTAAATTCATTTATTAAAGTCAAGCATCCATGTCCTTTTGTGAATACTTTGAAAATTTGCTACAGCCACTTTGCCTAAATTGGAGCAGATGTTTTACTTCTATTATTGTAGCATACACCATATATCAGTCTGCTACAGGTTATAGAAGCAAGATACATTACCCTGAATTCATAAATTGGCAAATTCACTAGTTATATACAATGTGAGCACTAAGTTTGCACATTTAAAGAGATTTTTGAGTTTGCACCATGTGAATTTCTAAGATATACTAGCTTTGAAAATTCTTGTGTTATAACAATAAATTATACATACATTTTAATAGCAGTTGGCAGGAGGAGTCCACACTTCACTGTTTAGGTGTAAGCAGTAATTCTAATCCAAGAATACTATTTCAGCTTTCAGTCTTAAATGCCTACCGTCTGCCAACAAAATCTTAAAAACATAGGGTTGTATTCAGTGGTGTTTGTGTGCAAGTGGAACAAATTCTACTCACACAAAAGGACTTTACTCTCCTCCCTGTATCTTTCTGAAATCTGCTCCAGAGACTTGAGGACACTTCAGACAGATTGAGGGAAGAAGAGGAAGGGTAAGCCTTGCTGTGTGAGTGGAATTTTGGATTATGCGACTTTGGATTCAGTCAAATAGTTCGTGTATCAAATGATTTAAATACTTTTCACTTAATACAACTAAAAGATTATTTAATATACACTTATTTTTGAGCATCTAGTACCAAATGTTCATTTTAAAATGTAGTAATTTTTAAAATTCCAGACCTTTTTCATATGTAACACCCTTTTTCTTTGATTGGGAGAAATGACTGTTTGCTGGCCCATGCAAAAGTATTGCAAAGCATAGCTATGAAACGTGATTTGACAGTGGGTCTGCAATCCACAATTTATCCCGTTGATCACTCAGTAGTCAATAGATCAGATACTTCACTTTTACAAAGTGAAATCTTATTTTCCAGAAAGCAAAATCATCAGGAATTGTTTCCTTTTTGTGAAGAATTCAGTTGGTGCAAACCCATGAGTAAAATCTCTTTTAAGGAAGCCCAACCATTTCCCCCCTATTTATTCAGGAAATATGAGCATTCCAAATTTTGATATAGCACTCTTTTTTTCAACAGGTATGGCAATTCAGCGATCAGAATTACATTCTTGATCAAACTCCTACATTAACTTGCAACCAACCAATCAGGCAATGCCAGCTTTGTGACTCAAACCAGTAAGATCTCTTCCTGCAACTTCAAACCCTACCACCTCCCCCACTTTCAGTCTGAATTACCATCAGAAAGTGGCTCTTGGTGCTCCAATAATATAAAAAAAAATAGCATATACAAACAGAAAACCAGACGGAATGAATAATGGAACAAGGAACTGCTAGTTTATCAAGAATGCCAATCCACCACAATTTTGGCTCTTGAATTGACTTGTCTGTCTTGCGGTCAGATCAATATAACTCGTTTCCTGTTCTTCATTACATAATGTTTTATTCAGGTTCCACTCTTGGGTTTGGATTTCCATACCTCAACCCCCCCCCCCCATGCTTTCTCCCCAAACTTTCTTATGCTTGACATGTTGACATTCAACAGTTTGGGATAATCACCGTGTGATCTTTAGTAAGACAAGTTGACCTGCAGAATTCTCTAACCCTGCACACCGCTTGTCAGGCTGGTTTGCAGATTACCTTTTTGAGTCCTGATTGAAGCCTGCCACAATAAGTAGAAGCCGCCATTGCTGGCATTGTTTCTTGCTAGACCTTCATTTTTGGCTAATGTTCCTACTGTTGTTTCCTGTCTTCAGGCCAAGGAGTGTGGTCAGATGCAGAACAAGTGGCTCATGATTAACATACAGAATGTGCAAGATTTCGCCTGTCAGTGTCTCAACCGTGACGTTTGGAGCAACGAGGCTGTGAAAAACCTTATCAGAGAGCACTTCATTTTCTGGCAGGTGGGAAGGCTGCTTTCCTCAGTGACGAAAAGCTTAGTAAAAGAGCCAATGTCTGGGTTACATTTAATTTTTATTTTAGCTATGTTGTGGCTCCAAGTTGGGCTATATTGTGAAATTGCTTCTTCAAGCATTTAAAGGGAAATCTTGGCTGTTCCATAGGTGTACCACGACAGTGAGGAAGGACAACGATACATACAGTTCTACAAACTAGCAGACTTCCCTTATGTGTCTATCCTGGACCCTAGGACAGGTAAGGGGTGAAACACTTGCTTCTATTGCAGCTATGGGTATTTTATAAATAATACCTAAAAACTTTCCTTTAGAAATGATTGTTAACTGGGAGCTGATTGCTTTGTAATCAAGATTGCTGTGTTTCAAGGTATATCTCCATTTAGCTCAAATAAGGGAGGGATTTTGCTTTCTCATCTTTTTCATGATCTTCCCAGAGGCATCTGACTGCTTTTAGAATGCAGGACCAGAGTATGATCTAGCTGGGTCAGTGTTCACTGTTCCTTTGCCCATGTTACTTTTAAGTCCATTAGGTGCAGTTGGCTATTTGATATCTGTGGTTAAGATAAAGATTAGCATTTATTACTTTCCAGCCACTGGAATTGATCCTGCTGTTCCCTTTGCAGAATCATTTTGCAAGTGTGTTAGGAGTCCTCTTAAAATAACACATATGGGTTAAAATCCCCAGCATATTGCTGTACAAATGTAAATTCTGTAAAGTCAGTGCTTCTATTTTGTTTCATTCTGTCTGCTACTGTTTCATTCTGTCTGATATTTTGAAACTCCAATTTTTGAAGTATGGTTTATTACTGTTTTAAATAGGACAGAAGCTAGTTGAGTGGCACCAGCTAGATGTAACTTCTTTTTTGGACCAAGTGACTGGGTTCCTAGGTGAGCATGGACAACTGGATGGACATTCCACTAGCCCTCCCCAGAAGCGTTCTCGTTCTGTGAGTATAATAATTATAATCGTTGTTGAGCCCCTCCAACTCTCCCATTTTTACTGGGACATCCCAGAATTATGGAAGCAGCCCTGGCTTATGATTCCATCCTGGGATGTCCCCGGATTTCAGCCAATAGCTCAGAAAAGAGCAAGGAACCAAAAGACAGACACACACATGAGGAGGACTGAAGCTTCCTGAAGTATAGTGCCACTTCCGGAAGTACATTACTGCGGCCCTCCTCATGCGTGTGTGGCAGCACACAGCCAGCAGTGGCACACAGATTAGGGGCAGTGTGTGGTGGAGTGCAGTGGCAGGCACTCACACACAAGCCAGTAAGACGGCATGCAATTGAACAGTGGTGGGATGTTCCGGGAGGGTGGTTAGGTGGGCAAGCGGCGGCAGCAGCTATGGAGTGCAACCAGGCAAGTGTCTGCAGGGTGATGGGGGGTGAGTGGGCAAGCGGTGGTGGCGTAATGTGGGGAGAAGTCCCAATTTCTTCTTGGGAAATGTTTGATATCCTAATGGGATTTGCTGATGAAGGACAGGTCATAATATTAATGATGATAATGACATGCTCCACATTAACATCCAAAAAAAGGTAATACTTTGCTTTGTAAGCAGAAGTATTCATAGAAAGGAGGAATAATTTTCTGTTGTCTCTGCCCTACTTCTCAGTGTAATATAATGTCTCCCTTTTTGCTTTATGGTCATATTAACTAGGAGAGTCTCATTGATGCGAGTGAAGATAGCCAGTTGGAAGCTGCCATCAGAGCATCTTTACAGGAGACACATTTTGACTCTGACCAGGTCAAGCAGGAAAGCAGATCAGATGAAGAGTCTGAATCGGAGCTTTTCTCTGGAAGTGAGGAATTTATTTCTGTTTGTGGTTCTGATGATGATGAGCCAGAGAATCCTGCCAAGTCTAGGAAATCTCCACATAAGGATTTGGGCTGTAGAAAAGAGGAAGGCAGAAGGCCCCAACCTGAGCCCACAGCAAGGACTGAACCAGAGGTGGTAACAAACCACCGAGGACTATCTTGCATGGATTCTGGGGTAATAGAGGAGATTGGGGCTAAGCCAGAAGCAGCAGTGAAGGAAATTAATGTGAACGGTAAGTGTGGTGGTTAAATGTTTCCTGTCATTAAAAAAAACCTAATGTTAAATATTCAGTCTGCTAAATCCATTATGGGGCTTTTATTCTGGTGGTGAAGGAATAGTTATTAAAATATGAAGCTGCTTTATAGTGAGTGAGACCATTGGTCCATATTGCCCAGTACTGTCCACTCTGGCTGGCAGTGGCTCTTAAGTTTCAGCCAAAGGCCTTTCCCAACCCTGCTAAGTGTATCTTCACTGGGGATTGAACCTGGGACCTTCTCCATGCAAAGTATGTAGCTTACCACTAAGCTATGAGCCCTCAAAACTTTTTGAAATGTGTATTTTTCCATATTGATATGTACTAAATTATCAGCACACAGATTGCTAAAGCTTGTTCATGTATTCTGTTTTATTTCTGATTTTCTTCTATTAGGACCAAAGGCACAGCTAATGCTAAGGTATCCAGATGGGAAGAGGGAACAAATTTCACTGCCTGAACAAGCTAAGCTTCTGGTAAGTAGAAGTGATTAAAGAATCACTGCTTTTTTGGTCTTAATGTCCTTTCCAGTCTCTGTGTGCATTTCAGACATGCTTTTGTTTACCTGGTTTTTCCCCACTTACACTTCTTATAGTACAACATATGCTTTCCCTTTTCATGTGTGACTTCTAACCACCTCTTAACAGCCTAGTCTTCTGTCAGGTCTCTATCCAAGACTGGATCCCAAATTCTTGTCTAGAGTTTTCTACTGTCCAAATGTCCTGCTCCAGACAAATTGGGCTGTTTGTTCTTCATACTACCTTTTGCTAACTTAGGCATTCACAACACAGTATATGTCGTGATAACAGCAATGCCATCAGAGTGTAGGTTAAAGACCTACAGCAGCGATTGCTGCCCTTTTGCTGATGTAGCTTTCCATAATAAGTTGTCATACATTGCATTGAAAACTACGGTATCCAGCAAAGTAGTGCAATATTTCCATTTGCGTGGTGGAACTTCCTGTCCCTCTCATCTTCCTACATCTTCCCCAAATCTTCTCTGGAGGGTTGGGGGAGAGTTCTAGGGCTGGGAAACCCCAGAACAGATTTAGGAGAGAGGGTAAGTTGTGTTGCACAGTCCTTGTGCTAAAATAACTGTAGTGGATACCACCCTGTTGTATTTTGGTGCTGCATCATTAAGACACTGGTCTCTGCTTTCTCTCCAGGCTCTCATCAAACATGTGCAGTCAAAAGGATACCCCAATGAACGTTTTGAACTCCTCACCAACTTTCCTCGAAGGAAACTTTCCCATCTGGACTATGACATCACATTACAGGAGGCTGGTCTTTGTCCTCAAGAGACTGTCTTCGTGCAGGAAAGGAATTAGTACTCCCAGCCTTGCCCACCCATGTTATCTTTGCCTACAATATTAACTCACCAGTGTGTAGTTGGCTCCATGGGATTACAGAGCTGAAATCAGGCAGCAGTTTGCTGGCTTCTCTTTTCTCTCCCTCCTTTCATGCTACTCTTAGCAAATGAACCATATGGAAACAACAGGATAGGTTTGCTTGGCTTTGACGCTGGAGGAAGGCATGTTTGCTGTATCAAAATCAGAAGCGCTGTCTGTATATCAAGCATGCTGGGGGCACTGAACAGCCAGAATAAGAAAAGTTTCTCATTCCCCTCAGAAAAAAAGAAATCTATTTTCTTTAATATATTTTATTTTCAACCGGTCACATGACCAAATATTGTGGGTTTCTTTAGAGAAACATTTCAGCATGCGCTGACTGCATTGAGAAAGCTTTTAGTCCCCACTGCCATGTGCAGGATTAGGTTTTCAGCATGCAATAACAAACAAGTTTTTTCCCCCCTGGGGTACCAACATATGCTGAAAACCAAATATTTTGTGCGGTGGCAAGTGCACACAACTGACTTGCCACAGGTTGGCATGCACACAGGCTTTCAACGCAGTTAGCACATGCCCAGATGCTTATGTCAAAAGTCTTGTCCACATGTGGAGAAAAAAATGGAAACAGCTGAAGATCCATTGCCCATTGTAGCCCTTTGGGAGTCATCACGAGCACAGTTCCCAGAAAGGCGCAAAATGAACCACCTTAGAACATATGTTTGAGTTTATTTGTATGTGTTCCTTTTGTTGCAGATGGGATGAGTTGCTTTAAAAGAAGGTGATGTAGTCAGTAGGTCTAGTATAATCTAACCGTTGTGCTCCTAACCCTCTGTGCTTGGTCTATAGCTTCAGGGCTTCTTCTTTCCTTGTCACAATTAAAACTGGGGGAATGCGGGATTGATTCTCCTCTTCTGTCAGGATTTTACCATCAGTGGAATATGACAAGGTACTGACCATGAATGTAAAACTTATTAAACCTCTTCTGTCATAACTCAAAAGCTGTTTTCATTAACTGTACCTTTCTGGAATTATGTCAACACTGGGCTTCAGTGTATTTGTACAGGTACTCGGCTCTAAGGAAAGCCTTTCTCTTGTGCTCTTCTGTTAATTTAAAAACGCTTAGTTAAATTAAGATGCTAACAACATAAAATAAGATAGTTTCAAGCAGTAATATTGGTGTTCTTGAAGCTCAAGTTGTTCAGACAGCTACTTGCCACTATTTGTTGTAATTGTCCATTTAATTACGGTAGGTATGGTGTGGCTTCCTCGGCTTGGTAAAACTTGCTGTAATCGAACCCCAGTTCAAAAGATGGTTATATTGTTGCCACACACTTGATAAGGTCCCACAAGGATCATTCTTGCAGATTAAAATGCTTATACTACATTGTACAGCGGAAAAAATTAACCCCTTGCTTCTCTAAGGTGTTGGTGGATATTTGACCACAAAGGCCATAATTAAAGAACCACACTGTTGGCAGTGTGTAAATTCACAAATAAAGTACATTAACGGAGTCATACTTGAGTGCTGGTTAAGAAATCTAGCTTTTGACAAACCCCCGAAGCTTCTTTTAAAAAAAACACCAGTGCCAGCATACATTTGATTTGCATAGTTGATGATCTTAGCGAAGGATGAAAGGCAAAATTACCTGTTAAAACTAAAAGTGTAAAGTCAAATAATTGCCTGGTTAGTTACTAGTTTGTAAAACAGAGACTCACACACTCACCCTATATATTTGTAAGGTGCATGTTACTCTGAGGAGAAGATGCTGTTTGCACTCTACTGCTTTGGTTAGATTGCAAAGTGCAATTATGGAAAGAGAACTGAATCCATTGGGTGTCATACTCATAATAGGTCCAATGGGTTGTGTCCAATGTTAGAGTAGATGCATTGACATTAATAGACATGGCTAACTTAGGTTCATTAATTTCAGTGATTCTACTCTGAGTATGACTTGGTTGGATAAAATTCTGCCAAGTTGTAATAGTATTGCTTTGTCCTCACCCCCCGTCCCATAGTCAACACCAACTTATTTATTCCCCAGCTAAACCTTTTAGGCATTGGTTAGTGCAAGCCTTTCACTGCTTACTGACCATAACCGTTGCATTCATTCTAAGTACACCAAGCATAAGGAGCCTTATGTGCATTTCCCACTCTCTTTTCACCAGCAGTAGGTTGGCCCTTTCCTCAGAAGATTTAATTTAAAGCTGGCTTGTATCCAGTGGTGGCTTTGCTTTAGCAGAAGTGCTTCCACTTGTGGAAGTTGGGGCACCTGATTTTCACTGATGGCCCTTACCCTTCTAAGTCTCCCCAGATGCTGCTTATGGGGTTGGGGAACCCTCCAGAACAGAGTGGGGCCTGCAGTATGTAAAGGAATTGATGAAAACTCGGTAGCCAGACTTGAGCTAGCAGAAGCACTGTCTGCTAAGCCATTGGTTACAATCCACTGCTTTTAGATGGCTTTTACAAAATGCTTTGAAATGGGTTAGGTAAGCGTTCTTTTGGTTTTAGTCATTGTTAGTCATTAAGCTAGGCATCTTTCGGCAGTTTACTTCTTATGCAGCATCTTTCAAAGTGCACAAGTGACTTGCATGGTTTCTGAATGATCAGATCCTACTGAATGGATTGTAACATCTAGGGAGTAGACAATTTGTGCAAACTCTTGCTGTCCTTATTCCACATATCAAGCTCTAAAGAGAGACTGAGAATGGGGCATGGGGGTGGAGAGATTGAGTTTCTGAGGCACCATTTAGGCAACTTACTGATGGTTTAAAATGCCTTTTCTACGTACTAGGTATTTCAGATGAATTGGTTTTTAATCTTTCCTATGTTTTACTGTATCCTTAAAGCAGTTCAGCAGCTTAACAGGCATGTGATACAGAATTGTTCTAAGATATGCAATGTATTGGGGTGAGAAGGTCTTGACACCAGTGTTCCTGTAAAAAGTGCCTTGAGAGCAGAAAAGCAGCATATAAATAAAAAGGCGTACCAATTTGAAACTTTAAACTGTACTGTTCTTAATAGTGTGCTCTTACAGGCCTTGTATTTCAGCATGTACTTTTCAAGAAGATATTTGGACTCAAATTGTTTAAGCTGTGCTGTGCATTTGAACCTAGTTTTTGATTACCTCCAGGTGCCTGCAGATTTATTAACAAGATAATCCTCACTGTGTTAACCTGAATAGCTTTTCTAATGTTTCAATGTTAGCAAGACTGTGCTTTAGTTCATTTCAGGGCCCTAGGTTCATATTCAGTTCCTTTGGTGGATTTGCTTTGCTATGGAAGCTTATGACGAAGAAGCAAATGTGTACGTAGGAGGCTTTTGATACCCTTTTCTCTCCACTCCACCCCCCCCCCAACTGCAACACTATCAAATCATTCCTGAAACCTGGATTTTAGAGAGAGGTCTTTGATGCAACACAGGTAAACAAGGATTGTGAAGCTAGTTTTTAGTGGCAAGCATAGCACATGGAAATGTTCCAAAATGTATATAGATGTACCATGTTAACACTAATAATGCTACAGGAATAATACTGAAAGGCAAATTCCAAAAAGAATTCTGAAATTAAAAATAGAATGACAGGTTATGGGGGGGGGGGTTGAGGTGTTAAATTACAAACTATTTAAGCTGGGAGCATATGGTTTGGATACTGTTATAATCAAAGTTATGGTACTCTTCAAGACATTTGGTTGACTTTTTAATGTTGGGTTGCGATCTTAAAACTTTATAGCTTAAGCTATGTAAAACTGATCTGCTACATTTTCAGTAGAAGCTGTTTCCTTTGTAATTATGAGAATTCTAAGATGGGTGGGGAGAAGAGAAGATTTCAGCTTGCTGTGATGGGAAGGACCAAACTCAAGGCAACCTCTGATATACATATATATATAAATATATATATACAATTGCTGCATTTTTATAAATATGTGTAAATGCCCTTCCTACTGTAATATTTTGATCCTGGAAATAAAGCAGACCTTTTCACTAATTCTTAGCCTGTTGATTTTTAGAAGGGAATAAGTTCTCCTGGGATACAAAAGGAAAAATGTGTTTTCTGTGAAGGCAAATTTTCACACAGACCTAACTCTGTGTGTCTGCCTGCTGACTTTCTAGTAAATAAATGTGTGATGCCAAGGGTGGACATATGCTATCAAATGATTGTTTCAATATGATTATTGCCTCTACCCCGTTTCTTTTCGGTAGGACTTCTTTTATATCAAAGATTAATACACTCCATTAGAAAGTGGAGGATTTAGAGAAGCAACCATTCTGACAACAGATGTCCTAACACTTGTGGCACTTCCTGTTGCAGGAGTGTTTAGGAACTGAAGCCCCAATGTTTACATTTAGTTACTGTAGGGGAAATGCATCCGGAAGACAAATCATATCGAGGAGTTAGTTATCTGACATGGAGCCCTTCCTGCCTCTGTTCCTTCCCCCTCCCCTGCTCTTGTTAAGTTTTCTGATGGTGTGAGAACAGTCTTAGATGTCTTTAGAACGTTGGGAGGAGGTGAATCACACACACACACCCCACACACAGAGCTGCCTCATAAGTTGTGGGTGATAATGCTGGGTATCTTCTTTGATGTTGTACATTGTTTTGAGAAAGTGAGGCATTGGGAGGGGGTGGCTATCTATAACATCAGACGGTTTGGGCAGAGTTGCTTTGAAGCTTTTCACAGACTAATGGGCCAGAAGGCCATGCAATCTGAGGCTATCTGGGGGAGTCTCTTCGTGCTTCTTGAGGGCTTCCAGGTGGCAGATTTAAGTGCTTGCTTGGTATGTATACACTGCTTGCTGTTTTAGAATAAAACCTTTAATCTCAGCCACTTGTGTGTTTTGTATTACTTCTGAATCTCATTTTAAATGAACCACCTTCCCTTTGGCAAGACAGTTACCTAGGTTATAAATGTTCAAAAATTGTAGACATGTATAGTGATGCTGGGAAAGATGGAGGGCACAAGGAGAAGGGGGCGACAGAGGACGAGATGGTTGGATAGTGTTTTCGAGGTTACCAGCATGAGTTTGACCAAACTGCGGGAGGTAGTGGAGGACAGAGGTGCCTGGCGTGCTCTGGTCCATGGGGTCACGAAGAGTCGGACACGACTAAATGACTAAACAACAACAACAACATCATAGTGGGGTTGAGAGGAAGGGGACACCGCTCAGTGCTGCTGTTAGAAGCTGGCAAAGCCTCCCCTGCCTGTTCTCAGTTCCCTTAGATTGAGTCAGTCATTAGTCCTAGCTTGGTATTGCCTATATTGTCGGGCAATGACTATCAAGGATTTGTAGACAAGGGTAATTTCTAATCCTGTTTGGAACCTTATGCATGCAAAACATGCTTGGCCATTGAGCCTGTGGACATATTATGTAGCATTTGTTAAGGAACTAAGGCAGGTTTCCTCAACATCGGCCCTCCAGATGTTTTGAGACTACAATTCCCATCATCCCTGACCACAGGGCCTGCTAGCTAGGGATCAGAGTTGTAGGCCAAAAACATCTGGAGGGCCGAGGTTGAGGAAGCCTGAACTAAGGGTTGTCGACTATTGTTTCCTCAGAGTAGACCCATTTCAAGTAATTATCATTATCAACTTAGGTTCATTAATTTCATTGCGTCTGCTCTGAAGAAAACAAGTTGAAAACCCTAAATGTTTAAAAGATGCTATAAAACATTTGCCTCATTTAACAGATGAGGAACCTGAGATTGTGACTAGCTGTAAAACATCTGGAAATCTGCACATATTGTGTAATAAGGGTCAAAATTGTACCTATATTAAAGAGGAGCAAATGTTTCCTCTTCAATGTGCCGTGCTTCCAAGTGTGTGCGAGAATGTTATGTTTCAAAAAGCAATAGAGTACTGAAGTAGGAAACTGAGGCAACTCACTTGCTCAGTCATCGTGGTTCAAAGAGTTAAAGTTGCCTGACCGTATTTTCCACAGTCATGTAAACCTGTACATTTGCTAACGAGAGTGCAAGAGTCACACTGGGAAAGAACATGGAAACTGCAAGTTACGCTGATACAAGGGAGGCGTGATTGTGGCTGCTAGATGGACAATTCTTACGCAACTTCAAGATTTATTTAAAGCTGACAAATTTGGAGTGGGAGGAGAACTAGGGCACACCCACTCTCTTTAGGCAGCAGTTCAGTTGCTCAATAATAATCACGTGTGATGCAAGGTGTACTGCTAATATAGGAGTGCTTAAATTATCAGATGGAGAAATATGTTGAAAGATAAGGATGGCCCAACTTCTTTAGGGGAGTGGAGGCAGCACTCATCTTCCCTAGACTAGACTTTATCAATACTACAAATACATCCAGGTAATATCAGCCCAGCAAACATACTGAACATCATGCACTAATTCCACTCCTACCCACCCATGGCAGTTTGAAATCCCCACCTATTGTTTATTTAACCAATACTGTAGTGACTCTTCCACTGTTTGAATCCATGCCCTATCCTTTTTTCAAAAAAGGATTTTCCCTGAGCAAGGCTCTTTCTCCCTACTAGACCCCAACTCCAATTCGCCTCAGCCAATATAGTTACTGGTCAGGAATGATGGGAGTTGGAGCACAGCAACATTTAGAGGGCCATACATGTGTCATTAATGGTCTAGAAAGACTCAGAGAAAGGTCTGCAGTGCATACCTGCCCTCTCTGTGGATACTGTGGCAATTTTTGTAGAGAAGTGCAAGTCCAGGATAAAGCATGAGAATGAAACTAGTCGTGGATGAGCCTCCGTCTCCGGCATGATGTGTGGTTGGTTCCTCCTTAATCTGGAATATTGGCGTTAATAAAGAGGCGCTCCTGGACCGACATATGACAATGTGCTGCAATCAATCAGCTGCCAAAGGGACTGAGCTTGGTTCTTTGAAGGTACAGTGGTACCTCGAGTTACAAACACCTCAGGTTACAAACGTTTCAGGTTACAAACTCCACTAACCTGGAAGAGTTACCTCAAGTTGAGAACTTTTCCCCAGGATGAGAATGGAAATTGTGTACCAGTGGTACAGCGGCAGCAAGAGGCCCCATTAGCGAAAGCACGCCTCTAGTTAAGAACAGTTTCAGGTTAAGAACGGACCTCCGGAACGAATTAAGTTCATAACTAGAGGTACCACTGTATCTGAATGTTTTTCCTGAAGCTTGGGATTCCTCACAACAGCCGGGAAAGGAAAGGGGAGGACAAGGTACTTTGTGCTTTCATACGGTTTTCAAATGGTCTTTTTTTTCTTCTTGTCTTCCCCTGTAAAATGAAAGAGATGTGTGTAGCCTTGGCTATGTTATTCTGTCTGTCACCATGGAAAAGGGGGGGGTTGTCTTTATGCTCAACAGGAATTCAACAACAATTTATGCCCTCCCCCCTCGACTGAGGTTGAATGGACTTTATTTAAAATTATCTTTGGATTGGACCAGGAGTGTGAGGGAGCAATGCAGAGCAAGATAAATGAACGGCTGCTGAATAGATCTGGCAAGAGGCCGAATTTGAGAAAAGATTTTGTTTTTAACTGTGTGCTGAGGAAGAACTCCAGAGCGGAATTTTAATGGCAGAAACTGGACATGCACTCTGTGAGTTATTTATGGCCGCAGCTCGTACACTAGTCGGTAAACAGCGGAGGGAATGGAATGTAACTTTGTCCTGTCCAGATTAACACTGCAAATAACTGAACAAGGGAAGATCGTAATTAATTCTCCCAGCACACCAGGTCTGACACAACAATGTATATGAAGGACTACAGACGTGAAATGGAATTTATATTTATAAGAAGTAACAGAGGCACTGTTTGTAAGGAGGGGAAAAATGTGGTCAGCTGCAAGAATGGACTAACAACAAGCGAAGGATCAATTGGACATTAAATAAGAGATGATGCAGCTATGGGAGGAAATGATCGACATATGTTTGCAACAGGAGCGGGAAACCTGATTTTAATACGGTAAATTGTATTAAAGTAATTTAGTTTGATCTGTAATAATTTGGAATACTAATTTTAAAAAAGAGAGAATGAAACTAGTCATAGTTCTAAGGATGCACCATCATAGTTATTTTCAGGGCTCCCCCCCCCCAGCTGGAACTTGATGGTTCTGGCACCTCTCAGGTGGGCACCATTGCCATTCTAAGAGAATGAGGGAGGTGTTCATGGTTCTCTTTTTTCAAGAGAAAACAGCACTGGTTATTTTATGCCCTTTTTGGTGTGTGTGCAGGTTTGCTTTGCTAAAATCTTGCTTTGGCAACTGGCATTAATGGTCAAAAACATTTTGCTGCCTGAAGTGGAGCAGGCTAGTTCTCCCATTAGGTAGAGTGAGGCAGCCGATTTCACAAATGGCTTCGCAAATTATTAGTTAATTTATTATGGTTACCATTTTTGTGTTAGAGGAGAAGAGAGGCTTGTTGGTTTTTCTGCCTCAGTTCCCCACAAAATGTGGCCAGCCTTGGGTACTTTACACACTGACCTGTGGGGGTGGGGGGCAACATATGCTGCTTTGTCTCAGGCAGCAAAATATCTTTGAGTACAAATATTGCCCCACCCTGCTAGGCCATCACTTTAAAATTCTTGCTATAGCATTCAGGCACTCAATCTGCAATAATAATTTATTAATGCAATAAAAAAAAAGCGCTCTGAGCTCTTCAGTGATTGACAGCTGTCATGGTGGTTTTATAAGTGGCACTAGGCCAGCTGCTGTTGATGATACATCAGCATGTGGTAGTTCGCTTGTTAGCACTGGTGTGAACTCTGTAGGAGTTCTAACACTGTATGAAGTGCCTGAAATGTGAAAGTAGAATCACCACACCAGACTTGCTCTCAAGACAGCTGATCCAAACAGAGAGTTGTGTGGCTGGCGTGACGTAGCTGGAACACAAGAGTGAGTTGCAACATTTCCCCAGTGGTGCCAAAAATGAACCTTCCTCTTCCTCCACTCCCTGAAAATCGCAATGTGATTTATACACTTCAGCTGTTTCAGTGTGGTGATTGTGTGTGTGCGTGCGCACACT